TAGAATTTGATGGAAAAACATGAAATCCGGCACGGTGGTACTTAATGGCTTCTCATGAAATAATATGAAGTTAAAAGTGAGCAAAGTGTAACCAGAGAGTGACCCTGGAGCTGGTCCATACCGTTTTTAATAGAAAATAATAATATAAAATCTAACAAACATTTAAATATCCACAACACGGAGTTTGGTAATATTATGTCAGTCAATTAGGAGAAAAATTTAGAAATCTGAGTCACGGAGTCAGGGACTCTGTCCCTGACTCGGGCTATATGGAGTCTGCAGTGTAGGTTTTAAAGTATAAATTTCGTGATTTCTTTAAAATTTGAACGATTTAAGTATTCTTGATTTGTGGATTTCATCTGACATGTCATATCTATCAATAGAACATCGAAGTATTTTCGGAGATGGGTGCATATGTAATATTTAATTTGAGTGAAACATAGATCCTGTCCATCCATAAATTAACTAAAGGAATTTCCTCCTTTTCATTTTTCTTGTGTGGGTTGGTTGAAGATACAGCTTGAGTATTTTGCTGCTTGGCTAATTTGCATTCGACGCATAAGTTACTCTGATTAGGAATCTCATTAAAGAAATTAAGTAAGACAAAATTGTGGAAGAAAGTGGAAAGGTTTTCGTGTATTTTCCCTTAACGGGAGGAAGATAAGAATTTGATTAGACTTTTTGATTGAAATTTCGGAGGAAAAATAAAATATTGAGCAGAATTTAATCAAGAACTACAAATCTCTCAGCATTGCATTGAATGAATTTATTAATATTCAATCTTAAAATTGAATATAAGATTAGGGAACTCACGTCAAAGTTTGTAACCTTCGTAACTGCGTAAGGTTTGTAAGCTTACAAACTTTTACGAACTTTTAACATTTCTAAGGAAAATTGACTTACGAACTTTTACGAAACTTACGCACTTCAAACGCATGTTTTTGGTTCGTAAACAAAAGTTCGTAAATAATTCGAGTTTGATATTAGCATTTTCGGTTGAAATTGTCTTAGAGACGAATTGCCTATTGTAAATTTTTTGTGATCTCGTCCCATCAACATGTAAATTAATTTAATTATTTAACAAAAGGTTGCTCCCAGCCGAAAATATTGGTCGCTATCCAAATGTCAAATTTGGACTAAATGGACACACTTCATCCAGAGGGGTGTCAATCGATCGGTCTTGATCATACGATCATTTTGGTATATTATAGAATTTTGTGACATAAGAAATGGCTGTGTAATTCCTTAAAAACTGATATTTTAGGCACAAAAATTAAAAAATAATTACATTTCATTTGGTGTACGCTAGGATAAAGTTGGCTAGCAACATTGGCTAGTCTTATATATGACATTTTTTTTACCAAAAAAAATGTTTGCAAAGTCAACTCACGTCAAGAGTGTGTAAACTTACAAACCTAACGCAGTTACGTAGGTTACGAACTTGACGTGAAATCCCTCATTGTGTCGTAAAATTGCTGCTGCTGTTGGGAAACAGAAACAAATTTATAAATTGGGGAAAGTGAGACGTCTGAGAATATTGGCCGAATAGTCGAATTGTTGTCGCCTTGATAAAACTTAGCGTCCATCCCACACACATAAACAGACATATTTTGATTTCAAAGTTGTATAGATTCACGAAAAATGCATAATTTCACCTTAGCAGCGTGTGATGACTGGTGGCTATGAAAGCTAAAATAAGGAGGAGGATGCATTTCTTCATTTCTAGAAAATGAAAGAAACTGTCGAATTACGACATTATGGGAGAAAGTTGGGTCGTCGTAATGCGTGTTGCGTAACTGGTGTGGACAACGGGGAAATCGACAGCTATGAGACCATTTGTGATTACGAGGGGTGTGTTGATTGGATATTTTGCTGTATAAAAAGAATGACTTAACGGAAAATATGTGGGGTTTAGGAATATGTATTTTGGTGAAAGCATTGAAACAAAATACTTTGGCAATCCGACAATCTTGTTTTCTTAATAACCTGTAAAACACTTTCAATATAATCTCCTTGCAAGTATTCTATGCTACCAAATTACAAGTGATATTTTTGCACTGAATTTTTAACCTATTTTATACGTTTAATCATGTATGTATGCAGTTGCTTGCTAAATAATCAGATTTGAGTAATTATTATTTAAAATTACTCAAATGTATATTCGGATAAAAAATCTTTAATCGGAATGGTATGGTATCCAATGATATGTGATCAATAATTTTTTTTTTTGAATTTTTGGTTGTAAAGAAATGTAATGTTTATGCGTCAAGAAATAAAAGGTGTTGAATCTTTATGTAACATGTAGTAACTTTAGATTTCGTTAGAGGAGAAAACCAAGTTAGTAATTGAATAAGTGCAATGCAAAAATACTCTAAATATTGTAAAGTTTAAATTTAAAAAAAGATAGTAAATCACAGGTAAAATTTTGGTTTTACGTGTTTCATATTAATCTGATTTGTTAGAGTTTAGCTCCAAATATAAAAATCCAATTTAACTAGTTTACAAAAAAGCTAACAGGTTAAATTGTTCGTCGTCTTAATACAATACAGCCTTGCTAAGATGTGTTTGTTGTATTATTTCCATGCAATTTTACACATAAATGTTAATCATATTCTGATTACCTCATAATTTAATCAAAATTTATTAACTGAATTATGCATGTAAAATATAAAAATTTCACAAACAAAAAGATGTTTGAAGGACAAGAGCAAAATAATTTCAACGAAGTATTTGAAATGTGGAAGATAACCTTGATCCAACATTTATGTGTGGGTAGGTTATCCGAAAGTTCAAGAGGTTAAAATGGGCGTGCAAAGGAAAATAGTCAGATAAATCTAAGCCTGCGAGATTTTGTGGACTAGGAAATAATGGTATTCAGAAAGAAATAAAGCTGTGAACGGTTTACTTTATGCGACTTTATCCACTCAACAGTTGGAAAATAAATCTTCAAGGGTGAATAAATCTGAAAGTTAAATCCTGAAATCTCAGAATTTAACCTTGTTCTGTGAAAAGGAATGCTCTTTATCCAATTTTTGGGTTGTTGAACTTGACCGTGGTGTTAAATTATTTATTTGTCTCATAACCAAAAAAATTTTTGCTTGAAAATAAGGGCAGAAGAAGTAAATAAAAGACAATAAATCAAGTTTCCATGTTCCACGAGCCGAAATTCTTTACTTGTGTACCCATACTTCCCACCCTCAATTCGCATCGTGTGCACTGCACATTAAGTAAATTCTTTCTCCTTGAATAAATAACTAAATTGTCGACATCCTCACACTTCATGGTCATCAAGGCTGATGGTTCATGCATTGTAAATACAATCTCGATCCTTGGTCAAGCAATAATTTCTCCATTTGTCGACTGGAAGCGTGCCAGCCAAGAGAAAGGAACAAGAGAAAGTAAATGGAGTGGATAATTTTGACGCGTGAATTCGATGGTCAGCTCGGCACAATTAGAGCAACACCATCAACGAACACACGAGTTGACTGATTGAGCTAATGACGTGTAATTTGTTGTGTCCACGCCTATAGCAGAGAGTGAATGCATGCGTCAATGTGTGAATATCTGGACATGCCGTGACATAACATTGTCCCATTTTTCAGTTAGGAGAACACTGCTTAATGACCACGAATAAATGTGTGAGTTTAGTGAATCCAGCCCAATTAGCAGATTCGATTAAGTACATAGTCGACGGAGTACGAATAACTAAACCTAATTTAGGTTAAAATGAAGTGAAAATGGACTGAAAGCAATTAGTGGTAGAGATTTTGTTAGCTCAGAAACGTTCTCTGTGAATTTTCTTAATTAGGAGGTTAACAGGGTGCATCTGGTTCTATGGCGTATAAACAAAGTCTGTAGAAACGAGAAAGTAAACCATTCACCCTTAATTTTACTATTTCAAGGCCGCAATTGTCGTGTTTAACTTATTATGCTTCGAAATAGGCATTCCGATTGACTTTCTTTTATGCTACTCATGAGTACAGCAAGGACAAGGAAAGTAGAAATAATAATCTCAACCCAACAAAGATGCTAAAAATTATAAAAGAAAGATTAAGACAAATATCTAGCTTGGATGCAAAAATGGAGACAATTTCTTCCACAACATGACTTCATATTGTAAACAATTTATGAACCTCACTTTCACCTTGTGTGTCGTTACGTCTAAATAACTGTTGATCACCTTGCACACCAGACTGAATAAACCTTCCGTAATTATGTGAGTTTCCCCTTTTTCATCTTTTTAATGAAAAACCGGAGCACTTAATAGTCACGAGTAGGAGTAAGAAATGGGTCGAATGGTGCAATTAAAAATTCATAGGTAGCAATCTCCTCTCACAACACGGTAGTTCATTAAAAACCAGAGTGAAAGTTGCATACATCAAGGTCGTGGAGAATGATGTTTGTTATTTCATCCCTTCAAGAGAAATGGCGGTGGGATTATATAATGTAAATTAAATCTACATAGTTCTGACAATGATAACTTCAAGCATCGTAAGTTCCACTCATTTATAATATAACCCACTAAATCAGTAGAACTTTTTTTAATTTTCCAAGCTCTGGATGCAATCTTTTACGCTTATTTTTTCATAAATATACAAATTGCAGGTTTCTTATCGAGATATAGAAATGAATCAAAAAAATAATGATGCTGATGCATATTTTGAGCAGCATAAGAGCATTGATGATCTGGTAGGGATCAGAATGAAAGGTTGTACATGAGTTTCTTCTCATATATTTATCCAGCCATGGATCAACTTGACGTGAGTCGATGAACGATTTTAATTATTTGAGAAATAATGAAGCCGTATGTAAAATATGAAAATAAATGCTCAATCAATATAAATAAAGATTATGGCAAAGTTCTTCCAGAAAATGTTTTAATTATAACAAAACTGAGAATTTCAGTTAATCTCATTCGTATAATACGTGAACAATGCAGGGCAATTAGATGAAAGACAATACAACTTTTTTAGGTCTTCGGCCCATTTAGCACAAGAAAATTTTACATTTAGTACAACAAATTTATTATTCATTTTTAAAATGGTCATATATCTGTAAATACAATGAGTATGAAGATTAAATCTATATTACAATTTAAATCTTCAATTATAATGACTGAACACAAATTAAACGAGATCATTTATAAATTTACACTGTCTGTAATTGATACAAACCTGCACCTTTCATTAATAGTAAGCACTCATTGTTTAATTTGGCAATTAATTCGTCCGCCGTCGCTGTTAACTGTAGTCTCTGAACCGTTTGACGGATATCATTAGTCGAAAACATCTTTTTTCCTTGCAATTCCGCAGTTTGCTGTAAAGCTGCAACAAGTCGCTTAGCCTACGATAGAGGATAGACAGCATTATTATAATTTCAAGCTTAATAATGATGGGTACATGTTTTAATAATGTATTTATACTGACTTGGTTTCTCGTTTGCGTTTTACTCGTTAAAGACGGGGTTCCAATCACGATAGACTGTGATAAAGCCGACACGGCTATAACTTCGTCGCTAAAAGCGCTGGAAAGACTAGACTCGAATATTTCCAATACATCTCTGGCGTCATCGGCAGTTGCGATTTCTCGAAGCTCCAATTTCGCTCGAGCCTTAATAAAAACATTGTTATTATATTTATTAGATTAGATTTCATGAAAGTTAAGACTGTAATAAACCTCAGTTAGACGAATTAACGATTCCAATTGACGCGTAGTAATTGGGGTCGAATCTCTCTGCCGGTGTCTCACCCGCAGCCGCAAGTAGTATTCTTTCAGAACTTCTCCACATTCCAGAGAAATTTTAGGATGGACATATTGTCTCGCGTAGGCAATGTATTTTCGCATTAATTCGTGCGGCATTATGTCCAACCTCTTTCCATCAAGCACCTTCAGCCGGTCACTGGATATGAAAATACAACAGAATTATTTACTATAGGTGAGGTCTAACAAAAATGTAAAATCTACAAAAATTTTACACTGCACATACATCAATGGAGTTCCGAAACCAGGAATACCGTCGTCATCGCCCATCAAACTTTGCCCGTTTTCCATTCCTCTACTACTACCAGCTGCCTGTGTTGTTACACCTTTTTTATTGCCGCCGATACCCAAGACATGATGACCAAGTCGCTTATCGAATTCCTGCAAAAAATATGAATCGTTTCTTAGTTTTCGTATAAATGTACAGTAAAAAAAAGAATAATGATGAAGTCGCTAATTCTCACATTGCTAGCTTTGTCAATAAGGAGGAATGTGATATCGAATCGAGAAAAGAGGGGCGTGCTAATCTTGACGTTCTCACTAAAGCTCTTCAACATGTCGTAATGTCCACCGACCGGGTTGGCTGCAGCAATTACTGTACTCCTGGCAGGAAGGGTACGAAGGACGCCAGACTTGGCGATACTGACGCTCTATAGGAGGAGAAAATATGCACCAAATAAATATAATGCAGATATAACTACCGGTGCTATTATTAGAATGAACTACTAACTTGTTGCTCCATTGCTTCGAGTAAAGCCTAGAAAATGCAATTTAGAGTCACACTAATTGTTGTTATTAAAATTGCAATGTATAATCTTACGGAATGGTGTGGGGCCATTTTGTCCAACTCGTCGATGCAGCAAACTCCCTTGTCGCTCATGACTAATGCACCAGCCTCTAAAGAATATGCATTGCCATCTTTGACCATTGTCACGGTCAGCCCAGCAACTGTACTACCTGTCCCACAAACGTATACCCCTACGAAATAACGAAAAAATATATTAAACCGTGGTCATTCGTATTGTGCTTATTATCGTATTTAAAAATGCGAACCTCTTGGAGCGACCTTCGTGACTGCGTGAAGCATTTGCGATTTGCCAATTCCAGGGTCACCAACCATGAGGATATTAATGTCGCTTCGTCTCGAGAGTACATCGTTTGCGTGCTGTCTCCCCCCAAACAGACTTAAAATGAGGGCCGCCTTGACAAATTCATGCCCAAAAATTGACTCGCATAGCGATGCGACGAGCAGTTTGAAGAGATCCGGAGTATCAAAAATCTCCTGAAAATCAAATAACTCCATTATGCATAACATAACAATCTACAAATCATGTATAAATTTTTAAAAAAGCACTCACTCGGACGGCACAGTAATCCAAATCACTGAAAGTAAACCAGTGACCACCCATTGAATGTGCCGAGTCTTTATGGTTTCGCATTGCAATTACTTCAATATGCATGTCCTGGAGGCTGGGATCATTTTTGAAATCGAATTCTCTATTCATCTAGTGGTTAAATATGTAAATTATATAAATTTTAATCAAATTATCTTAATATAATATTCAAACTGTAAATTTTATTCCACCGACTTTTAAAACTCCAGTTAATGTGAGAGTATCTCCAGTGTTGCACTGATCTACAAGTCCATTTGTCAATTCACATTTAATCGTTCTGGGCAGGGCTCCATGAGTTTTCTGTTAATAAACGGTACCAATTCTAAGAATAGCGATACTTTGATTGGAATGATTGGAAAATATAAAGACTTTCACTTTGACATACCTCGAAATCCTCCACATCTTGTAACTTTATCGTCCTGGAATCCATCATTAGCAGATTTGGGGATGTTTCCATCATCTCGAAGTCGCGTTTGTTGTTACACTCTTCACTTAAGCCACAACGTTTCGGCAGCGTGTAAATTCCATGGGGCTGATCCACGACAAACTCTTCTTGACAAATGTTGCACATAAAAGGCATTTGCAGACAGACAGGTTGAACTTCCCCAGCACCGGCAATTTGGCCTCGTACAATGACGAATTTTTCTGTAATTGCAAGTTCTAGTTAGTAATAAACTAAACGTTAAACAATATCGAAACAATTAATCACCTACCTAAACTTAAAGAACTTAACCCCGCAAGACTAATAACGGGTTCAACTTTTAGGAGTCCTGCATGAATTCGCCCTACATTGTTCACCAAGCCGTTTCTTCCTCGACAATCACCCATTAAATTTCCTCCCTCATCATCCTCACCATCTTCATCATCATCCATCCCATGTTCTCTCCGATGACTTTGACACGCCAACTATTATTATTTTGCAAGACAAATTACTAATTAATTTTTGAGTAGTTAATTAACGAGAATCAACCGTATTTATATTGTGTACCTTATGCATCACTGCACCCCACAAGTTGACCACCTCCATCGGAGTGTTGGTCAAATCGTCCAAGAAGTTTGTCCACCCAGCCATAAAGACTTCATCTTCGAGCACATCCTCGCAAATTACTTCAAAGTACTCCGCCTCACATACTTCCGTAAACCTGTCCGTGTTGTTGTACCCATTATTTGTCAAGTAGTCGGAGATAAGGCCAATTTTTATATCTGGTTCGGGAAGCTTTGGAGGAAATTCTGGGTAGTAGAGACGATATCCAGGCAGTTTACGTTTCCACGCGGTAACAACAGAACTCGTGGGTTTCCTCGGTTTTCGATTTCGTTTTGGAGGTGGGGACATATTCCCGAAATCTTGAGAGGGGTTACTGCGACTCGGTTGTTCTTTGTTTGCACCACTACCGCCTGGTCGTGGAACGGGAGCTGGACCAGTGTTGTTGTCATCGACAGAAGACCCGGGGTCATTTCTTGCTCCCCTCCCGCGACCACGATTGTTTCCTCTCCCAAACATTCGCCATGGGCGTCGATAGTACCCACCGCGTCCCCCGCGGGTTGGACCGGCACCTCCTCTTCCTCCTCGCAAATTATCCATTTTTCATCGACTAAAAACAAAAGGCGAATTATTTATTATTTCACGATTTAACTTGACATTTTAAAATTGTGATCCAGAAAATTAAATAATTCTTACGTTCTTACGTTCTTACTTATAATAATTACTTAATGCAATAATTATTTAAACTTTGAATTTAATGTTTTACAACTTTTACAAGTCCAAACTTGTAAAATAATCTGACGTATTAGAAACGCTCGCCGGTGAGAGAAAAAGCAAAACAAAACAGAACGGAGACTTTCCCTCAAAAAAAATCACAAAAGTGGTTCCAGTCGATTTAGAGTTGGGGTTGAGAGAAACTTTTGATATAATTGGACATTAAAATTGTAAATTAAAAATTTGATGCAAATTATGCATGAATCAACCCTCAACCAAAAAATTAAAATAAGCTTTTGGTATCTATAGTGTTGCCAGTGAGGTGAGTTGAGGTGAGGTGAGGCGAGTTTTCTGAACAACTCACCTCACCTCACCTCATCCTCACATTAAAGTTTGAGTTCGGGTACAGTCTGTGCATCCTAGTGAGCGAGTTGACTTTTCCTGCTCGCCACTTACCAGTAATGTAAATGATTTTTGTCACCAAAACTTCTAATTTGCAGCTAATACAAAATGGATTGATTTCGTTTTGGTGGCAATAAATTCCTGAGTTTGTGCTTTACAATTTCCATTGGGCAAAAATTCCATAATAAATCTCAAAGAAAAGTATTGGACTGAAACATGTAAGTTATCATGTTTTCAGTCCAATACTTTTCGTTGAGATTTATTATGGAATTTTTGCCCAATGGAAATTGTAAAGCACAAACTCAGGAATTTATTGCCACCAAAACGAAATCAATCCATTTTGTATTAGCTGCAAATTAGAAGTTTTAGTCGGGATTGTTCTCCCTTTCTGGTTCGCGATGCCCCGTTTGGAGTTTGGGAACGGTCACTCTCAAAATCCAAAGCAACTTTTTACATGCAACTGCCTGCCTTGTTTACATGAAAATCAGCTGCTCTCTTCGCCCCGCCCCCCTCCATAGAAAAAAATCTCTCGGTACACAAGGAGACGCAACCGTCGTCTCTGTCTTTTAGTTATGAGATTTTTTCAACGTATATGCATTCTTAAGTGAGGTGAGGTGAGGCGAGTTGTGAGTTTGGGTGATCTCAACCCACCCCAACCCGTATGCTCCCTACACACGCTTCAACTCGTGAGTTGCCTCACAACTCACCTCACCTCACCTCACCACAATCTGAGCCAACTCATTTACAAGTGAGGTGAGGATTGGCCCAACTCACCTCACCTCAAACTCACAACTCATGTGAGTTGAGGTGAGTTATCCTCACCTCACCGGCAACACTAGGTATCTAGAAGTAATAAAGTATTTTACTTTACGAGCAGAATTCATAAGAGCTAGAAAAGTACTAATGCAAAGTTGTATTTTATAATTTTGTAATTTATAATTTGTATTTTATAATATTTTTTATATAATTAATAAACTACTTGTACAACAGATTTATCCAGATGACCATAAAATCATTACAGAAAGAAAAATATAATTATTAGAAATATTAAAATAAAATATATTTGTAAAAATCATGAAAAACGTAGCATTGGGTTATTCACCAAATTTCATGAAACTTGTGCGAAATACAAAGAAAAAAGACCACCGGTGTTTTCCTTGTTCAGTAATTCCATCAGTTTGATTCTTGTAAAAACTAATTTTGCATGCAAAAGTTATAATTCATCTTAATGAATATCCAAAAAAATTGGTTAAACAAAAATTATTCGTCCGTTTTTATAATAATTCTCACTTGTGCAATTAACATGCCTAATGATGAGTCTGTCTACCTTGTTGAAGAAACTGCAGAAGTGTACAACAAAATAGTGAAACCATTAGTAAATGAAGTAACTGTGGATTTAGAAAATCAGGTACATATCAAAATTTAAAGAATCTACGTAATTTATTTACTAAATATATTTATTTACATATATACAGCCAAAATATCAATGGATATTTGAAACCGTAGAGCGTCGCTTGCCATTGGAAAAGATCATTTACGACGATCCATGCCCTATAAATGGATTTATCATGATTCCAAACATACTGTGGGACGGATCTGATAAAAATCTGTATTTATTAGCAATCATTAATCAGAGAGGAATTAAGTCTGTGAGAGAATTGAACGAAACACATTTGCCACTTTTGAAAAATATACTTTCATCTGGTTCTGTAAGTTTGTACATACTTGCACTTTTTTAACTACAAAACTAATTATACGTAATTGATTACAATTTAACTGCATATTTCGTTCTTATCAAATTAGAAAATCATAGAAGAAAAGTATGGTCTGAGGAGATCTCAGCTTCGCATATATTTCCACTACCAGCCAACCTACTACCATTTGCATGTGCATTTTAACCCTCTCAATTATGATGCACCAGGTAAGATTTTCGTAACTAAATCATTACCAACCCTTTACATTTTCATGCCAATTTTAGGAATCATGATGGAAAAGGGACATCTTCTTCAAGAAGTGATTTCCAACATAGAAAAGAATTCTAGCTATTATCAAGAAGCTACATTATTCTTCAGAGTACGGAGAAAACACGAATTGTACAGAAGATTGTTAAAGTTTGGCTACAAATTCTAATTTTTAGAGAATTTAGGTATTCTCAAGGATCGTACAGATTGATTTTTTGTTTCGTGCATATTATACAGATCTATTTAATTCATGGAAAATTGACTAACCAGACATTCCTAAAAAATTCCATAAATATGTATAAATTATTCAATATAAAGTTCTATCGTGTTCTTTGTTAAAAAAATAATATTTGGTAAAAACAAAATTATTAAATTGTAATTTGCATACAAAAATAAGTTGATTTTAGTTACAAAATCTGCTTCGGACTGCATGAAATGTTTATGAATTTAGAAATATATACAAAATATGTTACAAAATCAAAATCATACAAATCATCAAGTATACAAAATCATGTTAAATTAATAAAAACCAAAAATTATGAGTATTATGATTTATGAATATTATGCATTTTAATCTATGACCATTCTTAAATTATAAATGTATCATGCAAATTTGTCGACCACTACATAATAATTCAACACATTCAGTAAGCTTAGTCATTGCGAAATACAATGAGAAATGTCAACCCGTGAATTTTAACTTTAATGACAACAGTCGAAACTATTGTAACTAATTATTAATTCAAAAATTTCCAAATTTGCTTAATTAACTGCATAAAATGGTGAACCCAGACCTTCTCTATTTAGTAGAAGAAACTGCACAAATTTACAACGAAGTGGCGTTACCACTAATTCACGAAATGACTTCAAATCTAGACGACCAGGTATTTGTTTACTTGCTAAAACAATTTCATTAAACTTTAATAAAATAATTAAAATTCAATATTAATACTTTGTACCCTCAGCCAAAATATAAATGGATGTTTGAAGCAGTCAAGCGTCAAGTACCGTTGGACATGATCATTTATGACGATTCCTGCCCCACAAATGGCTTCATCCTCTTACCAGATAGAGCTTGGGATGGGACGGATAAAAATATATATTTATTAGCTATCGTAAATCAGAAGGGGATTAAATCTCTGAGAGACTTGAATCAAACACATTTACCACTTTTAGAAAACATACTTTGGTCTGGATCTGTAAGTTGCTTGATTAATTTCATGAAAATTAACTAATCTCATGAACCCCAGAGTTAACTGTGCTATTTAATCCATCCCTTTTAATTAATTAGGAAATTATGGAGGAAAAGTATGGCCTAAAAAGATCCCAACTTCGCATTTATTTCCACTACCATCCTACCTATTACCATTTGCATGTGCATTTTAACCCTCTCAATTACGACGCACCAGGTAAGGGACTTTCGTAAAACAATAGCCATTTTTTACATTTTCATACCAATTTAAGGAATCATGATGGAAAAGGGACACCTTCTTCAAGAAGTGATTTCTAACATAAAAAGCAAATCCAGTTATTATCAAGAAGCTACAATATTCTTCAGAGTACGGAGAAAGCACGAATTGTACAGAAAACTGGTAGATTTTGGGTACAAATTCTAATTTTCATAAAATTTTAAAATTTTTCATTAATCGCATTGATTGATATTTTTACTACAAAGTTTTATAAAATCATGTATGTAGGCAGACTGTTATACGAGCATGCAATTTGTGTCTACTAAACGTAAAAGTTTTATGCATTCAATAAATATAATTCTTTATTTACAACCTTACAACAATTGATCCTCAACCTTTAATTTAATCCTGTTGCTAAAAGCATATCGATTTTTCACAATTGAAATCATGCATACCCATGTTTGTTTTGACCGAAAAAGGATTCACTATTTGTTATGAATCGGGTAAAACAGGAAATTGCTAACCGCATAGAACGAGATAAAACCACGATATTGAATTGATGATACCCCCGATAATTCACCTACTCTATTGATTTTTAACCCCTAATTAAAGCCTCGTAAGTGCACACAAAAGTCAGATAGCTTCTCAAATTGTGGTACTGTCAGACGACGACGGGCATCGATCCCTCCCACAAATTGTTTGCCTAGAGCAGAACACGTACATACATCCATTTCATTTCCTTTGCACTACCTGGAAAGAATTACGACTTGCTTAATGGAATAATTCTCGAGGTGGAAAAGGGTTGGATATTCTATTTTAGCTCATCCATCTCATTTAATACTAATACCCACACCACTTTCCTAAGGTGCCACTTATGCACATAAAGTTACTACCTATTACATATGCAATTTTCTACCAAAACTTTCCATTCCCCACTCAGACTTTATGACCGAGTGACTAAAAGCCACATAAATTAAGGATAAAAAGCACAATTATTTATACAATTCGTACAGCAAACAAAGTACATAATTCTTGGAACGAATCGGGTTTTAAACAAATAATATATTTACGATACGTGAAATCAGTAATCATATCGATATAATTTATTGCTCATTTTTGTGCTGGATTATCTCATCTCCATTTTTTTAAAAGTCAATTGCATGCACCTCGTCTGCATACAGATTGAATCTCTTCACGTGATTCCATCATTATCGGAATGGATGGATTACATTATCCGTGGGCTTACTTCACTCCCTCATCATCGATACTCCATTAACTAACTGTTCTTTCATAAAAAGTTGTTTTTTGTTTCTGTGTCATTAGCCCTTCTGCATATCTACTTGAGTGTTCAGGTGTCAGGAAAGCATCGCGTTACATAAAGTTATAAAATATTTATTCTGCTTGTTCATCGATTTTATCTCGACAGCAAATTTATTAGCCATGGCAGGTTCAAGCTTCCTCGAGAAAAAACTTAACTTTGTTTTCGACACGTTTTTTGGTGAGGGGATTTTTTTGTAAAAAAAATTGGGAAGGGATTTGTTACAGGGTGATTTTTTTGAAATTTAGACGTAAGTAAGGATGGTGCCATTCAAAAGGAGGATTTCGATTTGGCAATTAAGGTAGGTTGTATTGTGCGAAATTTTATCAAGTAAAACTTGCATGTTTTTTATTGGTTTTATTTTAGAGTATCTGCAAAGCGAGAGGATATCAGGAAGGAACTCCAAGCTATGGACAAGTTTCGGACGCATTTCTTAAAGTTTGGGAAGGATTGAGACAACAGGGAGACGCTGATGGAGATGATGAGGTGAAAATGCTAAAAAATTGGGAGAGAATATTTGCAAAATTTACATATTAAAGTAACAATTTTTGCTGAAATAAGGTCGACCGAAACGAATGGGTCACCCTTTGGACTTCCGGTGGCGCTTCGGAATCGTGGAAAAAGCTTTACATGGACTTTATGTTCAAATTGTTTGATGCGGATGGTAAAAATTTGTCATTCAAGAGGGTGAATTAGATCTAAAATCAATAAATAAATCGATTCTTGTCCAATTTCAGACGATGGATCAATCAGTGGAGAAGAATTTGTTATGATAACTGGAGCATTCGGGGTTCCCAAGGACGAGGCAGTTTCAGCCTTTAAAAAGATTTCAAATGTACATATGTAGTTCGCAAATTGAAAATTCATTTTAAAAATGTATACAACATTTTTAGTCAATCTGACAACAATGATTAAATTTTTCTTATTGCTCCATTTAGGACGGAAAAGTTGAGGTTAGCAAGGATAGTTATGGCAAATTGTGGGAAGAATTTTTCACCTCTGACGACCCCAGCAAGCCAGGAAATAACATTTTCGGAAAACTTTGGTAAAAAATGTGGAATTTTACAGTGTGTTCTTTTTGATGATAATAAATTGAAATAAAAATTTGTACGATTCGATTGCAACATTGGAGTACTTGAAATTTAACAAACAATCTTATTTCGTTGGTGTCACTTTTATTAAGCAGCACATAAGAACGAAATACGTTAATAATCAACTTGGCAAAATTTTAGCGTTCAATTTGCTATCCAGTTTTCTCCCTTTTCGGTGCAGCAACGAACTGTAACATGACCATGGCATATGTTAAGCAGATGCTGAGTGCCTTTAAAAAATAATATGGTAAAAATCATCTCATAATTTTATAATTTTATGCATGCAAATTTTGTACCGATCCCAAAAATGGATACGAAATCAAGAAAAATTTCCACCCAGTTAAACCATTTTGTCCTGGAGATGTCCTTAACAAGGCTTGCATAGCCTGAACTTGCTTGGCCACTTTGCCCTCCCAAAGTCCTTGATGATTTTTATTGGCCTCTGACCTATCTGATTCTTTCATGACGTATGAAAATATGATGGACTTTTCCAGCATGACAGCCTAAGAAATAGGGATTTGTAAATAAAATATATAAATTGTCTCATTTTGTGTGGTCTTTTTAATTAAAAACTCACTTTGCAATGAGCTTCTGCAGCAATCACCAGAATTGCAAAGTTAATTGAATACTTGATTAAGAAAAAAATCCCGTCGTACCAAATATCATCACTTGGTTTGCCAAGAGCGGTTGCAAGGTGGCCGAGCATGTCAATCTTTGATTATTTGCATAATTAATTAAAATTGTACTTTAAAAATGCAAAAAAAAATTCAAAACCATTACAAAAACTGCGACCATCATTGGCCCATTAATTTCATTGACGACTCCAATTTGTTCCTTCATTCGGACGAGTTGCATAATTTTGTCCTAAAATAGACATCATTGTGTACCACTAAATATATAAATAAAATTCAAAAACGGAAATGCATTTCATACTTTGGAATAAGTCAACTTTTCAACGTTCTTCACAGTCTCGTTGACAATCTCGTAAACGGCAACGGAGGCGATAAAAATTAGCAAATGGGTTATTTGCGTAATCAACGTGATGTAGATTCGGAATATGAGAGTAATAATTATGTAGGCTTGTATTCCTGATGGCTGGCCCAGGAATTTTAGCTTTTTTGTACCGATGGGAGGTTTTGTGCGCCAGATTATCTCCGCCATTTCGACCATTTCCTGAAGGCCTCCTTCATGATCATTTTGGTTTGGGAATATATCGAAATATAAAACTGCAATGTCCACCGCGATCCCGACCAAGAGAAAAACCTTCATGAGTAGGAGCCTCCGGTAACGTGTCTTCTAGTACGAAATAATTTTACGAGAATTGCAATTAATTTTGAGCTAGCAAATTACCAATTCGTGTAACACATAGTCAGATAAACGAGATGGAATTGGTGTACAAAATTAATTCTAGTTGTCTGTACTAAAAATAAATAAATCAAAATTACGAGTTAACAAAATTTGCATATAAATAGTGTTATTCTAGGTGACGCCCAACTAAATATTTTAATTATTGTCAGAAATTATTGTCAGAAATCAAATTAACATGGTTTTTACTACTTTACCCTGAAATTCATGAGATAGATAATTTATTTACCATGTTATTAGCCGACGCCATATCATGAGGGTAGAGATTCAAGACATTTAAAATTTTTCTTTTCCTTCGCCACATCAAATGAATCATAAGAAACGTGTACGCTGTGACACAGAAGTGTCCAAAACCTTCGTAGCTTTTTTCCGGTTGCCTTACAATGTCTACGGATTCGAAAAAGTAGAGGACATAGACGAGGATGCTGGTCATCCCGAATGTGACAACTATACCGCTGGCAATCTAGACAAAATATTTTAATTTCCTGGAATTTTTTTTACCAAAATGTAATTATGAATAAATGAATGACCTTATGGCAAAGGCATGATTTCATGATGTACACCGTCTTATTTTTCCCATCGGTTAAACTGTAGATCCAAAATGGGGAGGTCAACAGGACGAAAGTAATGTTGAAAAAGTAGGAAAAATATGCTGGGAAAAGGTACGAGCTGGGGAGGACGACATGCTTCGACTCGTCAATGGTGGTGGTCGCGTATGGCATTAGGATGACAGGGTCGACGTCGATAATGGTGAGGTCCAGTTTTACCTTGGTTTTCTTGTCAGAGATGAAGGAACTCATTTCAGGAAGTTTGAACTTGTCGGTTGATGTTTTTTTCAAAATTTCCATCTGAAATACCAAATTCCGTAGGAATCGATTTTGTGAAGCTACTAAAATGTAATATGTAGCACTAGCAATATCGGTAAAATGCAAGACGGTATTGGGCGTTTTGAACCCGATGCCACGCTAGCGATATGTCTAAATTAGCATTTCGAGTAATGAGCTTTTGCAAAAAAAAATTGGCAAAATAAATTTCCATTCTGATCAAGGGAATTGTACGATTAAAGTAATCAAACTGACATGTTTACGTCTTTCGGGATAATTAGTTCTCATACTTGGATTGGAAATTCCAATTTGGACTGGATTCCGTGTCGTCAATGTAGGAGCAATTTCGTGATTGCTGCGTATTTAGTTTCTCGGTGTCAATTATCTCGTAAAGTATGGCGGAACTTCATATAGGCATGAGTATATGGAATTTATCTAATAGTATTTTTCCTATCTTTGCTTCCAAATTGTCATTACAAATAAAACATAAATAACCACTTTGTCGTGTTTATTCCGTCATCTCAAGTTTATTGATCACATCTAATTAGAAATTACGCACATCAGACAAACATATCATAAATAAAGTTGACATCTTAATTTCGGCCAGGAAAATTTCGCATATTGGTAGACTTGGTCGTATCTCTTTATTTTTCAGCAATAAATTGCAGCATTATGATCGCATAGGTGAGACAGACGCTGACTGCCTAGTATACATAAATATCAAATGATCACTACTTATTTCTGTACGACAGATATTTCCTTTCTCCCAAAAAATACTCTTTAAAAGATTAGTATTATACCGATCCCAAGAAGGGGTAAGATACGATAAAGAACTTCCACCCAAGACCATTTTGTCCTGGGGCTGACTGTATGAATGCTTCCATGACATGAAACTGATCCAAATTCTGATGATCCAGCGTCTGGAATAAGACTGACTTTTCCAATGCAGCCGCCTAAACGATATGCAAATTACAATGTATATCTCCGACATAATTATTGTATAATATTTTTACTTGGCTCTGCGCATTTGCAGCGATGACAAAAGTTGCCACATTAATAAAATTCTTGACCAGGAAGACCGTGTCACCGATCCATCCACCAGCACCACCGCCTTCATCGTCCACCTTGCCAAACACGGTCGCAAATACGCTGAGCATATCGATAAACACGGCGACCAAGATGGGTCCATTGATATCATTGATGACCCCAATTCCTTGACGCATCTCAACCAAGCTATTTATTTTAGCCTAGGAAAAAGGCGATATATAATTTAACCTGCAGCCCAATTTCTCTCAATTTGACCGTAAATTCCATTACTTTGTAGGATTTATCACATAACAATGTGTCAATTGACGTTTTCGTATTCTCCACAATTTCATGAACGGCCAAAGCTGCTATGAACATTAGGATGTGGGTCAATTGTGTCACCAGCAGCATGTGTAATCCAAACAATGCTGCAGCAAATATCGCAACTTGTTCTACCAGCTCCAATTCCGTGAAGCGTTCAGCCGTAGTTTCGTTTTTAAAAAGAAACACATTTCTCCAAAATATCACAATCTCAGTGTCAGCATTTTTAGAGTCGGGATTCGGTAAGAATAGTGCAATCACCCAGGTCAGATTTACAGCAAATAGGAAAAATAGGAAACCAGTCATAGCCATTTTTCTACGAGTATTGTGCTAAAAAAAATTGACAAATATTTAGAATATTTTTTTTAATACGCAATAATTTCTCAAAAATTCTATACCATCGTTGAGAAAGCTGAGGTTGGGTGGAGATCTAAGAGTTTGGAAATCAATGGTTTTCTACGCCAGAGTAGATTTATTAAGAGAAAAGTGTACGTGATAGCGCTCGCGTTTCGGTAGCTTTGATAACTTTTTTCTGGTGTTTTTAGTAAATCAATTTGGGCCAGATAGTATCGATGGAAGAGGAGAAAAGTCAAGATTCCTATGCTTTGCATTGTCCCACCGATTATCTAAATTGAAAAAACTATTTGTAATTCAAATTTTGGAAATACATGTCATATTTATGCAGATCAGAAATATTACAAACCTTGTGCCACCAGTATGACTTGAAAGTGTAAACCGTGTCACATCCTTCCTCTTTAACTTGTCGGATATAAAAGGGCGAAATTAAAAGTGCGAATGACACATTGAAAAAATAAGTAAAGTATGCAACAAAATTGAATTCTTTAATTTTTTGGTGTTCAAACTTGAGAAATTCATCCAAGTTCTTCATGCTAGACTGAATTTTGGCCTGCTTTTTGAAGAGATGCATTATTTACGGGAAAATGAAACTGAACTATGAAACTACACAGACCACATGATACAAATGCTTAACACTTTCCTTTATTCGATTTGAGACAGAAACATGGTCACTTAGCTAATTAATCTGCTGTAACACGTGTCTGTCACGCACATACAGACGTATCGCAATAATAAATGGTTTCGTGCAAAAATACTGACAAAGAACCACAAATGTAATTTAGTCAATTTACTTTCTTTCTTCTGCGAATAAGTCAGAAGTTGATTGATTTGATTGACGCCGTATTTCCCATTTGTCTTTGATAACTTATAAAATAGGAAACTATACAATTCTATATTAAAGTTTAAAACAAGATAATCACTCCTTCTTCGGCGCGGCGACAAATTGCAGTAATATCATCGTATACGTTAGGCAGACGCTGAGTGCCTACGTTAATTTCATGATTTCTTTTACTACTAGTTTTGCAATAAAGTTTCTATATTTAATACTGACCGATCCAAGGAAAGGGTACGTAATCCGAAAGAATTTCCACCCAACCAGTCCAACCTCTCCAGGCGCAGTCTTCAGAAAGCAGTGCATCATCGGTACCTGACTTCCAGTCCTGCCCTCAGAATTTTTCCCGTCTGTAAATGATTCCCTCTCTATTGCTGAGAAGAGGACAGACTTTTCCAATGTAACAGCCTAAAATTAATATGATGAATATTTATTTATGAACGAATGACCGAATTTATGTATGAATTTTAATCAACCTGACTATTTGCTTGCGCCGCGATGATAAATATCGCCAAGTCCATGGAATATTTGAAGAAGAAAAGTACCCAAAAACCCCATCCTTTATTTCTGTCTTGTCCCAAAATGGTGGCAAACATGCTGAACACGTTGATGAAAACGGTGACCAGAATAGGCCCACTGATTTGGTTGATAGCCCCGATTTTTTTCCGCATTTCGACCAGCTGCATTATGCTCATCTTAAAATACGCAAAATTATGTCATGTTTTTTATCAGAAAAAATTAGATATGTTTTTCTAGCTCACTTTCAAGTTGCAATTCTTAGCAGCCAGACTTTTCTCAGAATCTGTCACGATTTCGTGGACGGCCAGGGACAAAATAAAGACCAGTCCGTGAATCAACTGGGATACTGAGGCGAGGATCAAGAATAACACGTAGATCGAAATCATCACAATTTTTTCAAAAATATTCATATCATATTCGATCTGATTTTGATAATCCTCATTTGCAAATAGGAACCCGTTTCGCCACATGTGCACCATGTATTTCCCATTGTCCTGGTCTTGGGTATTAAAGTTGGGGGCTATTTCATTAATAATGTACAAGAAGCCGACAATGATGTTCAAGACGATGTAGATTTTAACCGCTATAATTTTGCGATCACGGTATTTCTGCAAATTTAAAGTGTATATATACAATTTTGCAGTAAAAATTTGCATTTGCGAATCTTACCACATCGCTGGACGAAGGTATCTTAGAAGAAGAAGGGCGAAGATGTAGCACGTTCATAATCTTGGATTGACGAGTCCACATGAGTCGAAAATGAAGTACCGTGTATGCAATGGCACTGATGCCTTGGCAAAGTGTATAGCTTTGCTCGGGTTGTTTTAAGAAGTCGATATTGTCCAGGTGAAATATTTGAAAAGATATGAAGATGTAGATCCCAATTGTTTGCAATGCACCACTGAATATCTGTAAATTATTAAAATCCAGGGTTAAATTGGGATAGTTAGTAGTAAATTATGCTCATTAAGTGCGGAACCTTGTGGGACAAGTATGACTTGAAAATGTAGCCTTTGCCCTCTTCGGCGTGGACGCGAAATGGGCCGCTTAATAGGAAGAAGGAAACGTTACAAAAGTAAATTAAAAGTGTTGTAAACATATAGTCGATACGTTGCACAAAATTTTGTTTTTTCCCATGTTGGGAAAGTAGGAGGTGACTACCCGGTCAACATCGACCGTTGCAAGGTCAAGGGTCGTTTTTTGCTTGAAAAAGGTCATCTTTCCTCAATTGTGGTACTCACAGTAAACGACTGAGCGGAATTGGTAACGGGTTAAAAATAAGCATGTATTTAATAATAATAATAATAATAATAATAGCCTTTATTACCCTCATTTACTAGTACTAGGGAATGCACAAAATGAAATTTTAGCATAGCACACTAGCCTATTTTCGTGAGCTTACAAACAGAAATAACTTACTTTAAATGATTAAATAACAATAACTAAGGGCTAAATTACTATATTTAACTTAACAATATATATGTACGTAAGATATTATCTACTCTTAGTTTGTATAAAGTTAGCTATAATCTATCAAATTTGTTAGAGCTTCAAATGACAAGCCAAAAACCGTGGATTTTGATTTCCATTCGTCATTAATTTTGCTGATTATCATATTAATGGGGGAATTTTTAAATTTTGACGACTTAATTACCGGTTGAAATAGTAAATCCTTGTTTGACCTCAATGACACACCACTGCACGAAGCACGCTGGAATTGCGGCAAAAAGTGCCTATACCTACCAAAAAATAATTTGTAAGCAAATTTATTAAGAGCCAATTCTCTCCTTTCATTTAAAGTTATCAACTCAGCTTCCTGCATGCATTCAACATAATTTAAATGATCAACTCGTTTTCGGAAAATTATACTTAAAGCTTTTTTCTGAACACTTTCAATTTTGTAAACTAATTTCTGGTTCAAGCCAGAGCCAAACACAACTGAACAATACTCAAGATTACACCGAATATATGCACCGTAAGCTATTAATAATTCTTTACTGGAGAAGCCAGCATTGAATAATTTTCTTAACTGAAATAATTTAGAGTTTGCTTTCGCAACAATGTTTTTTATATGACTATCCCAACTAAAATTTGGGCAAAAAGTCACCCCTAAAATTTTTAAGCTCTTTACAACGGGTATAGGAACTGAATCAATACAAAGGACTTAGTAGGAAAATTAACTCTTCTTCCATCAAAATTAACTACCAATATTTCACATTTACGAGGATTGGGCGTTATTTTAACTGCCTTACACTCTTCACTCAAAATATTGAGTGCAGATTGCAATTTGGGTGCATTACCAATAACTCTTTCAGCAATAACCAAATCATCAATATATCCAGCTATACAAAAATTGGGGTTAATATCAAGTAATTTGATTTTTAATGCATTCAGAATCGGATTAATTAAGATAATAAACAGAAGAGCAGCTAGTTTGGTACCGGCTGGTGTACCGCATGTTAATCTCTTGGGATTTGAAAACGACTTTTCAAACTTAACAATCTGCTTACGAAATTTTAAGAAGGATAATAACCATAAAATATCAATGTCGTGTACACCAAGATCAACAAGAAGTGCGGCCAACAACGAGTGGTCAACTAAATCGAATGCTTTGAGACTATCAATAGCAGCAATTAAAACTGTAGCGCCAGGAATTTCGATTGATTTTAAAATAAAATGGTTAATTTGAATTAAATAATGCGCAGTAGACGATTTTTTTAAAGCACCAAATTGGTTAACGTTGATTTTATCAATTATTTGAGAATAAATCCTGTCAAACATAAAACTCTCTGCAATTTTTGAAAATACGTCAGTTTGAGTTATCGCACGGACGTCATCAAGTGATGAACAAGTTACTTTCTTGAGTAAGGGGGTGACGAAACCGATTTTCCAACAATCAGGGACAGTAAAAGTTGCAAAAGATTCATTGAGGATAATGGCTATTAAAGGGCCCAAGCATCAGGTTGAGACAACTTACGTAGCAGGCTGTCAACTGAGTAGGGTGGTGACCAACAGGTCCCACAGTATCCAAGAAATTCGAAGCGTACTTTATAAGCTCAGTAGGGACTAAATTCGGACAGTTGGACTTTTTCTTATTTAGTTTTCTAATTACTCTCGCTACCTCATGAGCACTGACTTTAATAGGGGAAGAGTCTAGAGGGAGTGGACACAGCGAAATAGACTCACATTCATCAAAAGTGTTACAAATTAGTGAGAAATGTGAATTTACAACATCGGCTAGCTCTTTATCAGTTAGCTGACTAAATTTCAGATCTATTAATTTAATTTTGTCGATGGCAGACACGGGATTTAGACCACAAACTTTACGAATTAAATGATACCATTCGGATGAATTCATACCAGGTATCTTATCTTTGAATTTTTACGCACTTCAGACTGAGCAAAGGAAATTTGCGTTTTAATTTCGCTTTGTAACTCGAAAACTAGCTTGACATTATTACTCTTTTTTGCTTTGCGCTTAGCTTTGAATAACCTTTTCAATGTAATATTCATCCAAATGGGTTCACCATCGTTTATAACCTTGTCATAAGGACACGATACTTTAGTTTGTATTGAGAGTAATAAAGAATTTAACTCATTGACTTTGGTATTGATTGGTAACGATTCAAATTTTTGGATATCAACATCTAAATTATTTAATTCTTCGACAAAGGGAATAGCTAATTGATTAAGTTGGGGTTTACATTTAATGATTTTTAAAGGCTTACGTAATTCAAACCATGGACAAGGTGAAAAGGAGATACAAGCATGTACTCTATTTCTTGCCGTTCCTTTAACAGTGGAACAGGCTCGCAATAATATGATTTTAAATTAGTAAAAATTAAGTCAAGGTTACTCATACTATGTGATCTAGAATTAAAAAACGTAGGGAAACGTACTACTAAATCTAATTTAGAAGTTTCGACAAATTGGCCATAATCCCACCGGTTAAAATCGCCAAACAAAAATATACCAGGCTTAGAAAATTTGGTTTTTACATTGGTTACCACATTACTTAAAAACTCGTTAAGCTCTTGACTTAGTTCAGTTACATATTGGGGCGGAATATAAATTAATATAATAATTATATTTGAAAGTGAGTAAGGCAACAAATCAGGTTTAACAGATATTACAAGAAACTCAATACGTTCGTCGACTTTGACATTAGGATTATATATTCTACCTCTAAATGTGTCCCTGAGAAAGATAGCTAATCCACCACCCTTTTTTATACGCCCCTTACTATCAGTATAATTTCTGTTCCTAGCGAAAGTATTAAAATGCGGGATATTTTTAACCTGGTCATTTAGCTATAGTGCTCAAGCAGATTGGTAATTGGCTTTTGAACTCAATTCAAGAAAAGTAATTTGGGTAGGCTGTTAATTACCGTATTGTAATGACACTTGAGCAAAATATTGCATGTTTTCAGGAAAGATGATTGATCAGTCAGTGGATGGCTATTTACATATGTATAAAAACGTAATAAATAATATAGCATGTTTTGTTTTGTTTTGACGAAATATGGACGAGACAAATGAGTACATTTTGCAGCTTAATTGGTCTGAATTTCAACGATCACTTTACACTGTAAAGGGCTGCTATAATGCCCAAGGGTCAAATGAGGTGGAATTTTTAACAGAAAAAAATGAATTTCTGTTGTTTAGATCTCCGGTAAACTCGATTTCCTTCAAATGAATTTTTTGTCCATAACTTTGTAAAGCTTTTATTCAGCCAAAATTTTCAAATCCGTAAGATAATTTCAATAAATTGGCATAATTAAACTTATTCAGTCTCCAATTACATATTTCACAAGCTTATGCTCATAAAACATTGCAACATAATTTTATATTCTCCCATAATTTGCAAACTTATTAAAGCTGCTGCTTAAACTTTGTTGGCCGGACCGTAAACTTCCGTGTCTTCATTTTTAATAGTATTTCTCCACTGTCGCCATTTGTTTCCTCGCCCCACTTCACTTTTTTGAGGTACGGCACAAACGCAGGCAGGTTTCGAGCACTTGGGAAAACCAGTCGAAGTGGACGCTCTTCGATTCGGGTGATGGATCACCATTTCAGGTAAAGCCGTGGTCGAAGCAGACCGGATGCGTCCGTGCCGTGAATATAGGTAAGGTCGACCCTCCTCGTCCACCGGGATGGAGATTGGACCATACTTTTTCTCCGTGTAGCACCACCAGATGAAAAATATCTGAATAAAGGAAAAAAAGATGACCAAATGACCAAATGAAGTCTTTATGGGTGAATAATATTTAAAAGTACCACTGCTGCCACGACGAGTAGTAATGCTGCCAGAAGTTCGGCAAAGTAAGCTCTCCACCATTGCGGATGTTCCCATTTTTCTCTATCTCTCTGTGCAATGACAGATTGGATGGTAAACTTGTTATGACTTTGGAACGATGGTTTGACTATGAAATCGGGAGCAATGCCTGTAAATTTTAAAAAAATTGTATATTTGACCCGACAAAATTCGATATTATTATCATGTATTTTATTTATTTATAATATTACCCTCTGACGAATTTAGACTTTTAGAAAATTTTTGCGAATTGACAAATGACGATGTCGAAAATAAGACGAGAAATATTAAGTAATAGTCTCTCATGTTTTTTTCTATGCTAACTTTCTCCGTCGTGTGCGAAAGTAGAACGCGAACTGAAGCACGTCGTCATTTAATTGAGCAGAGAGGTAGAAGTAAACACAGAGAAAGTGCTGAACATCCATCCATCCACCCACCAGTATATCTGTTAAATACCCGGGTTTTATGGAGAAAGTGGAAGCATTCTCCGTCACGAAGGTATAAATCCGGGTAATACCGAGAATGAGAAAATGCTGTATGCAATAAAATTCTGTGGACCGGTTTTGTCCAGTTCTTCTTCACATTATGATCAAACGGAGAGGTATGTGGAGATCCGGTGAAAGCAGGAAATGACACGAGGAGACAGTAATCCTGCTGGCATTTGTCCTCCTCCGCATACAAAGTAAATTCATTAATTCGACACGACGCCATCAGAGTAATCCTCTTGGTCTCCAACCTGTATTTTTCTAAGGGTTTGGAATACATCAGAAATAGAACAGCTCCACATAAGGGTAAAATTAGCTCGTAATTGGCTCGTGGCTGGCTGGATGAATAGAATTGTACTGAACGTTTGGAATGATCCAGACTGGTGAAAAAGTCTCAATAGAACGTTTTTTTGTACAAATGTTGCAACAATCAAAACACATTTTATTTGTTGTTATTTATTTATGTATGCAAAATCAAGGTTATCTAATGTTTGTTATCAACCGGTGACAAATCGACTGACTCCATGACATATTTATTTATGCATGAAGTTAAGCACGTATTGCTTACTCGTTGCACTATGTAACATAGCACAGCAGAGCGAACAACATTGTTCTTTAAATATGTACGAGTTGTTATCTTGTTGGGTAAAATTGAACCTGTTTTCCCCAGTTAATGTTTGTTTATTTATTCTAATTTTAATAATGTAGAATATCGAGAGCCTTCTATTTTACTTATGTAAGCAGATCATCCTTTTTTCCGTAAACATTTAAAATTAGAATTACATATGAGAAGCTCAGCACGTTCCACACCCGGAATTACGACATGAAGTAAATAAGATACTTAGCAATGATTAGGTAACAAAGTTGTTTTGGATTGATAACCGCGTTCATATTTACGACAATAAAATTCCCAGCGGATATATAAACTCGGGAGAATTCTGCAAATTCTATCATCACACCTACAACACAAACATACATACTAAACGACAGCTTAAAAAAGCACCTTATTACACTTTAAACCTCCATTTTCAACTTCAAATAATTTTTTTAATACAAATTTTTATCCAACTTTTAACCCACAAAATCATCAAAATGAAGATAATTTGTCCCATCTTTTTCATCTTCGTTGCAACTTTTGTCGCCGCATTGCCCGTCGAAGAGTTCGGTGGGGAAGATGGAATACATCCTGTTTGCGACTGGGGAGATAAATGGGTCTGCTTTTCTAACCAGAGGCTGAGAGATTTCGCTTGTCGAAGTATTTTATTTTTTTAATAAACTATTTAATTTAATTTAAATATTTAATTGTTAATTAACTATTTATTTAGGATTGCAATGGGGCAACTGGTGTGACCACGGTTTCCCTGCCCCGATGTGTTATTGCTGTGGCGCAGTGGTCGTCCCGATCCCCGGATGCAACCCAGATATTGGGTTCCCATAAGAAAAACAAATGTTCTTTGTCCATGACAGTTCCCTTCTGTAAAGCTTACTCTGTAAATATTTTATGAAATATTAACTATGTATATGTATATGTACAATAATTTATGAAAATATTTTTTGAAAAAATAAAATATAAAATATATTGATAATTATAATTTCATAAAATTATTCACAATTCTTCTCCCCATTTTCCACCCTCGTCCCATAAATTCGCAACATTGCCAACTTTGATAAATAGTAAATAATCGATTTTTTTTCAAAATAAATGGATCCATCAATCAACACCAAATCGAGTCGAATTCACGACAACACGATAAAATAAGTGAAACATGACACATCGAATGTCACTTCATGCTATATTTATGTTCACATCACATCACATATTCCACCTGTCCTGTCCGACACGAAAAGTTAATACATACGTAATTTCATGCCTGACAGGAAGACGCACTCTCTCCGCATAAACGAGGAGGGACGTGTCATCCATTTTATTCATGCCCCATCGCATCGCAAAAAGGTAACCGAATCATCGGAATCAAACTGACAGACGAAAAGGAACTATGACGTGTCCCAAGGAACTGGAGCACACACACTTTCCCCGGAACATGTACATAAAATGCGTATGTGTGTACGGACGGACGTACGTGTTCATCACCGTCGTTATTATGTAGACAGTTCTAAAAAATGAGGGCAGGTTGGTCGTGTTCCGTGTTGATTTATGAATGAAATAAAGCACGAAACTATATATTTAATACGGTCCCATCCCAAAAGAGAACGTGAACGGACGGACGTACGGATCCGGTAAAAAGTTACCTAAATAAATACACAACTTGTTACTACCGAGTCTCATTTTAGGAGGAGAAAGAAAGAAAGTAGAAAATAAATGAGCTTCTCTTCTTCCTGACAAAAAGCAACCTGTCGACCCATATTGTTCCATGGACGGTAAATAACGAACCAAAGTGCAAAATACATGGAAAAATGGGGCAAATAAACAAAAATTGTCTCAAATAAACTCTCATTACAAAAGTTGGGAAGCTATTTTAAGATTATTTTTACGCACGTACATATGTATTGAAAATAAAGAAATATCAATATCACGTTGTGACGCAGGTGGTACGCATAAATGGTAAAATTTATGGTAAATCTAAGGAAAAAGTTAATTAAATGAAGACATTTTATTTTATTTCGTATATTTTCACCCAATTATTTCCATCCCGATTCATTTTCATATCCATAAATGTATGTGCGGACGGTTATTAAAAGGCAGGGAGAGAAAGTGGGACTCGCTTTCTCTCCTCGCCACGTGCCTGTCCTCTCAGTTTGCGAGTGGTGTAGCTACACACATGAAAATTCTGGGTGAAAGTATGGCCTTCATTTGGGAGAAAGTCCGCCACTTTCTCCCTCCATCGCACGCACTTTCCTCCATTCAACTGGGCCAAGTGGGGAGGACGCTACTGGCGTTAGACACGCATAAAAATTCATGAATCAAACTCCACCACTGACATTTCCTTGTCATCCTCCGGGCTGGCAACATATAGCATTTCTTTTTGGCTCAATTAACCGAATCGTGTTCATACTTAGTACAATTGCAATACATACTTTTAAAACTAATCACTTAAAAAATATTGACAAGAGTTAACACGCAATAAAAAAGAGGGCTCATTTCATTATTCGATACAAAAAGTTGTTGTTAATCTTATTGAGTGGATTCCATTATGCAAAGTCCAATCCGTCGCTTGTCCAAGTCGGGTAGTGCCGGACCGGGTACGCTGGTCCATCTCGTCAACAAGGGAGGATGTGACCACAACGGGGGCGACACGTCGCCCGTCCTCTTGATTAATCCTGTCTTTACCATCACCGCGAATAATTGGGCGGCCGCGTGCGATGCGGCCGCGACGAGGAGATGTTATCCCAAAGTAAGGCAAAAGTCCAAGAGTTCGGGAGCGTCACCACAGAGGCATATTTCTCCGGGGAATTTGGGTAAGTGAGAATTTTAGCGTTTGTTTTTGTTTATTTGGGGAAATTGAGAAAGTTTTGGTTTTACATAAAGGTTTCGGCGAGGAATTTATTAACATTGTGACGAGCAGTGAGTCAGTCGATGTGGAGTTGTTTTGTGGGGAGGGCAGCATTTATGAGGATTATGGTTCGCATCCTTCAAGCCATACCCACTCAAGGCCCAGCTCATACCATTCTAATCCTTACTTGAATACGGGCGAGGGACATGGACGCTATTACTATGGGTCGAACCCGAAACTACTGCAGGTACGTAACAACTAACAAATTTTGACGCAAAAAAAGGCAAAAATTTGACCAAAATCTTGCCCAGGTCCCATCCTCCTCTACCCTCATCCTCCCACAACAACAGTCCTCCGGTCGCCAAGTCCGGTCCAGCTCGATCACCGTCCCCTCCTGCACCTACAACGATCCCAACCACCCTCACCAACCCCGAACTCCGGCGAGATGCTCGTCAGAAATGTTTATTCGGCGCAGATGCTCCTCCACAAGTCCGAACAAGGGAGGAATTAATTCCGCTGGATACTACGACAATCAAATGCCAGCCCCACCACCACCCCGACTCTCGTCAAGCACGCATACGTCCCCACGTGGTCGTGGCTTCTCTCTCACGCCTGGAAACCCGACCTCCTCCCTGAAACGGAGAGCATCCTACTCCACACGGAGGCGAAGATCGTCTCAACATCGACCCCCAGTCTCGTCCTCGTCGTCATCCTCCCTCTCATCGCAGGGACACTCGCCTGGCCGACGACATCACCACCATCATCATCGCCATCTCCCCGCAAAACCACAGCTTCCTCGACAACGCACCTTATCCATGCCGACGTGCGTGCTAGCGCCAGAAATGATAACCGCCACCGCCACCTTGCCTGCTCCCCCTCCGGCCAAAAGTATCCTTCCTCCCTCAACCCCACAGAAGAAGGGCACCCTCGTCAAGAAGAGTAGCACGCTGCGCGACCGTGGCGTCATGTACGACACGGTGATCATCGGTTCGCCCAACGTGGGCAAGTCCACGCTCGCCGAGTACTTCAACAAGGGGAGTGGTTCGTCCGTTCCGGGCAGTTCGGGGAGTGATCAAGGCATCGGGAGCGAGGAGGAGGATTCGTTCGATGATGATCGTAAGTACCAGTAAAGCTTTACTTACGCATATACGTACATCGTCAGCCCCATGAAGGGAAGGAAAGTGGGTTGCACGTGGCACGAGTTACTGGGTTCCTCGGGTTCGTTCATTCATTCATTCATTCATCCGTCCCAACTTGGGAGAAAGTGACGTCAAGAGGGAAACTTGTCCCACTTTCTCTCTCTCTCTCTCTCACGCACTTTACTTTCTCCTGCAGAGAGACAAAGTGAAAGAGATGACTGAGTCGGGTGATGATTCTCTCCTCTGATTATTGTGAGATGGGATGTTCCTTCCTCGTGTATTTCTTGTGTTCTCAGAGTTGAGCCGATTTTCTCGATACAATCATCTTTTGTTTTAAAAAGAGAATGATATTTCCTTTCCCATTCTTATTTTCTTGCTAGTCGTGTCCTCATTTTGAGAAAAACAATAAAATAATGCGTCGTCGTTCCCAATCTGATAATACATACTTGATGAGAAGATGGACAGAATGGTGTACGTACAATTTTGAGTAGGTTTGAACTACATAAGGGACAAAACATATATGTGTATTGCGTATTTATGTGCGTATCCACACCACGCCACGTGGAGGATGGGTAGTCGCCTGCTTTAAAGTTAAGCCATCGCTAAACTAACCCAATTCCCATCGCCACGAAACCAGGATCAAATCAAATCAACAAACTTTCTCCACTCGGGTAAACACCAGGAACCACAAGTGGTGGAGAAAGTTGTTGCTTCCAATTTGTCTGTCAGTTCCGCTTTCAATAGAATTCGGTCCTGTCTTACGCAGCCTTCTGAAAATGTACATCTACGCGTTGACACAGATACAATTTTGCAAAGAAAGAAAGTTTTCGGCCTAATTTCCATACGGCCTTAATTTTCTCTCCAGCTATAGACATTCCTTTCCGCTTGATAGATATGCATTCTTCTTTAAATTGGTGGTCTGGTCTGCCCCGAAAATTAGGAGGATGAGAAAGTAAATACCCGGGTTAAATTGGAGACAAGTTTTATGCGGGTAGTGGTGCTGGATTGTTATAAGGATTAGGGTAGTGATCCACTTGATCCAATCCAGCAAATCCACATCCACCCGACAACTACTCGCCCGTCCGCATTTCTTTCTTTCTAGGTCAGACCATATGCATCCAAATCCCACCAGCACCGCTCCTGCCACGCACGCCAGCCAAGTTGTAACCAAGCCAAAGCAACGGTGTAGTTACTGTTACTTTCTCTCCGAGAAATGAAAAGGTGTCCACGTGGCGTGGCGAAGGGGGGATAATAACGATCAGAAAGTGATCCCTTCCAGCTTAACGGGGAGACTTTTAATGGGGTTTTGTATTTTTGGAACGACACCAAATTGACGAGTATGACACGACATGACATGACGTGACGTTAATGCTTTCAAGAAATGTGATATGTTTGTCTCGTCTCGTCATATTTTTGGAAATCTGTGTCCCCATTTTATTATTTATTTCGGGACTTTTATATATTTTGCAGAGGATCTGCTCGGCGGGGGGAAAGCGATCTTGTACCGGCCTCATCACCACCTCGAGCTAAATCAGCCCCACACCCCACAGTTCAACTTCTCCTTGAGGATCTTTTGCCAACAGATTTCCGCCGTAATACATACACGCAAATCAATAATCAATAATAAATCAATACTAAATATGTACCCACACACTTTCAGGTGACCCATCTTTACAAATATGATGCCGTCATCATCCTTTACTCCGTCACGGATCGGGACTCTTTCGAGTTTGCGAGACGAGCTCTAGGAGAAATATTGCCACTTCACCCCAAGAAAAACTCCATTACCGGGGGGTCACCACCCACGGTGACGAACGGTGGTTCGACAAACGGTAACAAAAAGGTGGTCATCTTAGTCGGCAACAAGTCAGACTTGGAACGGTCGAGGTGCGTCTCTTCACTCGAGGGACGCTCACTTGCCACTGCGTATGATGTAAAATTCATAGAAATCTCGTCGTCTTTGGACATCGGGATTGTCCAGTTGCAAAAAGGGCTGGCCACCCAGGTCCTTTTGCGACACGGGGGGACAAACTTGCTCGTGGGGAATGGGGGGCTGGTGCTGAAAGGGGGCGTTCATCGACACGGGTCGGTCTCGTCGTCATCGACATCTTCGTCGTCAACGACCTCGTCAAACTATTTGATTACGGGGTCTGGATCATCGTCCGGAAGTGGGAGTGGTGGTGGTGGGAAAATGGGCAAGTTTGGGAAAGGTGGACCACTCTCGTCGCTTCGATTAGCGCAGAAACTTATCGATCGAATCATGGCGTTAAGAATTGTGGGAGGGCATAAGACCAAGTCGTGTCTGGATTTGCATAGTTTGTAAATGGAAAGAATTTTGAGTTGCATATCAGTTTTTTAATTAATTTTTGTACCCAATTGTGATTTTATTCCTCCTCCGGGGAGAAAATAATGCACCGAAAAGTGTTCATGCATGTGTAAGTAAGCAGGGAATCCATGTGTTCATATTGAAAACGATGGTGTTCATTAGATCCATAAGTAGCGTAATATTTACTTGTTTAAGTCTGTTAAAATGACGATATATTCACCATCTAAATGTCATTTAAATGGCCTGTCAAATTTTGAACAAGCTGTGACGAAGCTTTAATAAATTAGCCGTTATTAGTAACCTCTTGAACAAATGACCTTATAAAAAACCAATCCAATTATTATCGACACGGTATTATAAACCAAAATGTATTCACGTTCACTGAAATTTTCGACACGAACAAACCTCTTCCAAATTATATGCAAATTGGTGTTGTTGATCTTGTTGTTGTTAATTATGGAACTAACCAATTAATCATGGAATCGAAATCTCAAATCAAAATAGTTTTAATTGCATATGTAAAATAGATGTAAATATGTAGTTCTTGACTAATTATGTAGATATGTACATGTGTAGTTGATTAGTAATTATATATGTAGTTAGACCACACTAAATGCTCAGCACTTTAAATACACAGTTAAAAAATGACGTATTAATTTACATCACTTAATCGACTCAATTTCTTAGCCTAGATAATGCAATATATTGTTAGTGTTCATCATTAAATACTAACTAAAACTACATATTAACTGATGTTCATGATCGTACTATTTAACGTGTAGCAATTAATTATTATCATTGTTCATCGTACTACGCTCGGAGGCTCTAAAAAAGTGAATTGTGATTCATCATGTAAATATGTATAAACGTGTCTGGATCAGTCAAAATATAAATTTGATCTGAATTAGATACATAATTTAAGATTGTAAATATGTAAATTGTAAATAAGACGAAGGAATGATCAAGTCAGTACAGTTTAGAAATTGGCAAATTCGCGAGTATTCGCGAATCTGCGTCAATTTGAAAAACTGTAAACGCGATCATTTCTGGTTCTCTCTTAAAGGTAAATCTGTGAATTACTTGTGTATGTAAAGTCTAAAAACAATCTTATATTTTTAATTACTACTCCGCACTTACTTATGAAAAAAACGCACCATCCATCAACCAATCAAAGTATACCTGCACATTTAATTAGTTAATTAAGTAAATAATTTAATTATGTACTACTAAATATATTACGTAAAAACTGTAAATGGCACTCAGTCAGTCAGTCACCAGCATACCTTCCAGTCTACGAATATCTTTCACTAAGGGTTTTCTTTCACAGGAATCGATTCTGACGAGTATAATCTAAATCGATTATTTTATTTATAATTATTCAAAGGAACAATTATTTTGGGATAATCGATTAAAATTATGATCGTCAGAATTGATTCCTGTGAAGGCCTTTACCATTTACTTATTATATTTAACTCAACTACAAGTTTTCTCTCTCATCTTTCTCTCAAATTAGACAGGATATATAGTTAGTTGTAGTGATTTATGGATGTAATTCGGATTAAAATTAGGATTCAAGAAATGTAGGATTTAAATAGATACAAATTTCGAAATTTAGAAGTATCATCTATGTAAAAATGGAGATGAAAAAAGAAATGTCTCAAAATTTCAAATTCTCAAAATTACCCCGATTAAATCATCCTTTGTACATTAGTATGTAGTAGGTCCATTAAAATCAAAGTATCTCGATTTGGAAACCCTGGACAGTATATTAAACCTTGTTCAATTAGAAAATCTGTCTATTACTACATACTTAGAATCGTATACCCATTCCTATTCTCTAGTGCATAGTACATACGTATTTCATCTCATTATGTGTGGGGATTTGTGTGAATGAACTCGTTGGATGGAAATGTTGCCGTAGGTGACCGTGGAAGCAGGGGATGAATGAGTGGTGGATGAGTGTTGGAGATGAGAATCAGTCGTGATGATGAGCACAAGTTATCACAATCAAAATAGTCACATTTACTTCAGTTAAAAATATATTGATGTACAAATTGGGGCGAAATTGAGACTTGTGGACTTGAGTGACAAAGTGACGTGGTCAAGGTACGTACAAAAAGAGAATGACAGCGAGGAGGGAGAAATGACCTCCTTTTATAGGAGACTGCTCAAGGTAATGGAATATTACAAAAAGGACAAAAGTAAAAATAAACTTGAGCAGAGTGAATGATTTGGACTGGAAAAGAGAATTGAACTGCTGATAGATAGGCAAATTAAACTGAGCGCATTGGCTGGCAAAGTTGAGAAAATGGTCAACTACAGTCAAAATCTGAATTACATACACAATGAATGATAAATAAGAATATGGTCATAATCATAAAATTACATAAAGCAAATGAACTCAAACATTATGTCAACCTGTTTCTATTTCTGTGTCTACAAAATAAATAAAAATGTGTCTGCATGCATTAAAATCTATATAAATCCTGAGAATAAATGAATACAAAATTACCAAATGTAGCTCCTTTGTACATATGACATTGCATATCACATATCGCACTCCAGGAACTAAATATGTATATGTCAATTCGCACATATTCATCGTGTACAGTTGTGAAAAATACTCATTGTTATTCTGCAATTCAATGACATTTAGTCCCTTCATTATTTGATACACAGTTTAATTGTTAGGAGCGATGTGTGCAGTCGCAAGGTCACATATGCATGTATGGCTACATATGTACATACATACGTCTAGTCCTATTAAAATCAAGATTTGATTTAAAAAGGATCAGTCACATTTATAATCAGTCATATAATATGGCTCATGTTTATAGCCTTCCGAAGACAATTTCTTCTCTGATGTAAAATATTCAAAAGAAAAAAATATGACGCTCAAATCATGCGAAAAAATTATGAATTGAAATATTACTTCGTCTAATTAATAATTTATTGCATTCCTAAGAACTAAATTCTTCAGAAATTGCATGTTTATCATTTTTAAATGGTTTTCTAAAAGACTAAGTAGATCATTATTCCGTCCAATTACGTAACCTAACACTCATGCTAAACACTATGTTATGTAACCATCTTTTATTGAAATTTGATTTATTTATACTTTCAAACTGGAATAATTTGGTAGTTTTGATCGTGCTTTATTAAAGCACATTACTGCGGAATGATACTACCAAATAATTCCTATGGTATGGGAAATTCTGAAAAACTTAGACAACCATTATATCATATCCCTCCTTTTTAGTTTTATAAGCTTCTGGTTAAAATTTCCGGTGACTAATTATAACCACCTATAAAATAGAGTATACGGTAACCATTACTACTTTTCCGTATAACATACAACGCCATAAATAGCGTCACTGTTGAGGAAAACCTCAAATATTAATGCGGAAATCATAGCCCTACTTTTCTAAATGGAAGGAAGAAGAACAATACCAAACCAGAATAATTACTGCACATGTACACAAAAGTTTTTTGATACGATTCTATGCATGATAATTAATTACCGTTCTTTGTACCACTCCAGTTAATGAGCAGCACATGTGCAACTAACATAACGCAAAGTTGGTGTCAAGTTCAAGTTTAGTTTTAGTTTTCAAAAAAATCCTGTAAGTTTCCGAGAAAAATGAATCGGGCCTCGGCCTCCATCGTCGCGACGGATGGAATTGATCCCCAATCCGTAAATCTCGTCAAGTTTGGGACACGACGCCCATCTGCGCCCACGACGAACGGTGGCGGTGGACAGATGATGATACGACGCAGAAGCAGCCTCCTCAGAGACCTGACTGTGCCCAAACATGCCATTATTCCAGTGAGTTGATTGATTGATTGATTAATTGATTATGTAAATGTGGAGATATGGATTAATAAAATTTAAGGTAGGTCGTCAATTTTTTTTGCTAAAATGAGTACACACATTGGGCGTGTTGTTTTATTATGTCATTAAAAATTATGGAGAATTTTATTACCGAGCGAGATGTCATAACATGAAAATAAATCAGAGGCGACTAAAAAATATTATTATCTTCAATTTGGCAAACTTGGGTACGGCGAAATGCAAACTTTGCTGAAAAATGCAGACCAATTTGATAACTTTTGAACCAAATTAATTTTAATTAAATGCTTTTAGGCGACGATTTATGATTACTCAGGGTACTACACGCTACGACTTAATTAAATAATTTATGTACTTGGAGTTTGAATTGAAATTTATTGTTGTCGCGTACTCATCAATTTCATGTACAACATTCCATTCATTCACGAATTCCGTATTTGCTTAGTCCAACCGGTGGCGAGATGGTATTAAAAAGTAATCAAATTTTGACCTCGGTTCGATTGGACTTTATCTCCAGTTTGATAATTAAATTATATGATGATCAAATCAATAATATTGAATACGGAATGAGGATGAGATCCACTTTTTGGATAAGTAATATGTTTTAAGTGCAGTCGTTAAAGTTGTTAAAATTAGTTCAACATTTTTATTAAGTTTTTGATGAGACGTATATTTTTAAAGTCGTAAAAATCGTGGTCAATTAAGGAATGGCGTTGCTAAAAAGTTGTATTTGTGTAGAGACTTGAGATACTGCTTAGTAAATATTTAGTGTTGTGGACGTAATATCACCAAACATCTCGTCTAGCCTGCATTCGTTATCTGCTAAATCTAGTCGTATTAAGACTACTAATTGTTGTTCTCTGTGGGTTAAATGGGTACGGAAGTGGAGGATGAGGTAAGTAAATGGAGAAGATTTTACTAGATTTTTTTACCACTTTGCACATTTATGTAGGATTTATGCAAGAAAGATCAAAATTATTGGATAAATTATTATGTATTTAGAATATGTCTTCTGTTTGGGGGCAGGAATGCTAAAATTTTAATAACTTTTAATTTTAATTATAATTTTACTTTTGACGTATATTATTCTATTCCATTATCTGCACAATTTTGCCAAAGAGGGTAAGCTATATGCAAACAATCCATTTGTGCAATTGTTAAAAATTTCATAACTGTCAATAACTTGTCTCGCTTGTAATTTATCAAGCTCTAACTCTACAGATGATGACAGAGTTAGACAAATTTATTTGCTCCATTTATTCGCACATACATACATATGTACATTTTTAATAAATTAGCAACAGAAAAAATAAAATCTAGTCTGTATAGACAATAAGCATTTAATAGTGGATTTTTATTGTTGTTCATGCGACGACAGATTAGCAAAATTTCTATGTCATTGTCTAGCTTATGTAGAATCGTGTGCCAAGTTGGCATTAATTGTGACAATTTAAACTGCACTTTTATTTAGCTATCAGTCTATGAAAATACAGAATGGGAGGGATGGATTATGCGATACTATGTCAGCTAAATAAGGTTTTTGTTTTGCAATATAAACATATAGCGAGTTCATCACACTCTATTTTTGATACACAATTTTAATTCCTGAAATGTACATAAATACGATCTGACATTTGGTCAGTTTCATTTCCAAAACTGTCACAATTATAGAAATCCCATAAATAATTCAGCTCCCGAAAAGTCATTATTCTACTTATCAACTACTGCATTATTTAGCAAGTTTTGCCCCAAATTAAATAACCCTTGCCAATAATAACTAGGTACATACGTACGTATTGCGGTATACAGCATTGCTTGTTTAGTTCGAGAAATTCTAAATCTTTTGAAATATTTCTATAATTTGCATAATAAATATTTCCAGATCTTCTGGAAATATCTATTATGCAAAATATTGCGTCATATTCTACATAATAATAATAATACCCAACACCATAACTGGAAATAGAGTAGGCTGGTACTTACAAAATAAACATGCTAAAAAATTCATAACTCAAATCAATCAATCCAAACTTGGTCGATAAAGAAATAGTGTCGTCGTACATCTCAGAGTGCAATTGTCTTTTAACTCATCACAAAATATTTAATAATCGAGTTCATTTCATTCCATTCCTTATAAATGCATCTCTCTGTTCAAGATAAATAACGTCACCTTTGCATATTTAAGTCTCCTCACGATGATACGTACATACATACCTCTAGAGAATTAAAAATACGAAAATTCCTGCATAATTACTTCGAGCAACTAAATATACACAGTGTTGCTTTAACAATAACAATAACCTTCAACTTTAACTGTGCCCAACACACCGCACGCACCTTCACTTCTCTAAAAGTTGCAGCAATTAAATTACCAATTCACAATCCTGTGTAGTACCTGCCAGACTGTTACGTACGATATTTGTTACCAACACCACCATCATCATCGCCATATATACTTGCTCGTTGTTCTTGGGGGTAGACGACGCGTCTTTTTTTTTACATTGGATCTCTGATGAGACGAATATTTAGTGTAGGAGTACTTACTTTTGAGCAGAAACAATAGTGTATGCAATCCACTAGTAACTTTTGTATTGTGTTCTCATTTAATGAAAATAATACAAGTTTTTTGTGCCAATTTTCCTCTAAACTACTGGATTGACTCGGTTTATACGTGCAGTAACATTCTCTCGTTGGCGTGTTAGCAGCGATTCTTTTCATAATAATTATTTTGGTTTTTTAGCTCTTCTGAAACTTTGTCACTTGTATTTAGATCGTCTCCATTATTGTATTTACAGTTAGTTTTCTTGACGTTGTTGGGTTGAGCACGGAAGCGTTGGGATTTCTTTTTTTTAACGCGACGACACATATCAATCAATGTCCAATATTTCAATAACTTTTAGGAAATAGATTTACGTTCGTTGGACAGTTGGAATTTTATTGAGATATTTTTTGATCAATTGATCATATTTTTTGTGAGTGCGTAAACCACAAGTATTTAGTACCGTTAGTTAGTTAGTTACTACTCCTGGATAAGTGGTATAAATGAGGGATTAAAACGGTAAAAGGGTGCATTTGTGGTTGATCATTGCAACATAATAAGTGTTCATCTAAGAATTAAGTACAATTTAAGGAAACATGTCTAAAACTAAAAAGTGGATCAGTGGTGCATTTTCTTGTGAAGAGTTAGAATTTATTGATAACGATGATCAAGATGTGATTGGCGGTAAAAATTTGAGAAACGTGAGAGTCGTGCCTCTCTCGGAGAAGAAGTTGTTAAAAAAGGCAATTTTTTAAGAGATATTTATGTGTTTACAGGGTTAAGTTTTGGTTCATTAAGTTTAATTAAGATTTTTGTTATCTGCAGGATGGCGATGATCTCGTGGAGTGGGAAGATGCCTTGGTGGAATATGCCCCTGATGCCGGGTGGGCCTGGGTGGTGGCTGTTGCTTCATTACTGAATAACTTTGTCCTCGACGGGGTGTCATTTTCGTATGGCGTCCTCACACAGAAAATGACCGAGCATGGGACACTTTCAGAATTTCAGTACCACTTGTGTGGAAGTGTCATGTTGGGGACGACCTTGATCATTGGTACATACGCAATTAATCAAGAAATATTTTTGATTTAGATGTCGATTAGACTTGATTTTATGTCGTGATTTGCAGGACCGCTCGTATCCTTGATGGGGTCTCGATACGGTTTCCGCGTGGTGTCGATTCTCGGGTCGGTCATTTCCGCGCTGGGATTCTTCCTGAGTTGGGCGTGCTCACCGGAAGTGCCTTCGTTTCTGGCGTTACTGCTGGGTTTCGGGGTGCTAGGAGGGATAGGATTTGGTCTCATGTTTACAAGTAGTATTGTCGTACTTGGAAAATTCTTTGCGGCCAACTTGCCTCTTGCGACGGGTAAGAATAGAGATAGAGATTTTAAAATATGGGGAAAATGAGTGATTATTTAACTTGATTAATTACCAGGAATTGCAACTACCGGGAGCGCCGTGGGGTCAATCATCATGCCAAAAGTATTAGGATGGATAGTTGAAGCGTGGGGGTGGCAAGGGTCGTACATCTTTTTGGCGGGATGTTGCCTATTTTCGGCCGTCTTTGGAGCTTTTTATACGCAACCGCCGAAAAGAAGTGGGTACATTTTGTACAAAAAGTGTACAAAAAGTTGGAAATGCATAGTTGACAATTTTATTGTAAATGTTTTTAGTGGAAAAAGTTCGCAAATTCACAAAAGTCCAGTCTGACCTATCCGATTTGTGGGAACTCATGGCATCTCCAACATTCTGGATCCTCTCACTTGCTGGTGGGATCGTCGTGTTGGGATATTTTGTTCCTTCTGCATTTTTGGCAGGTTCGTTTCTCGTAAAAATATTGTCTGACCAATTTTAAAATTAAGTAATCTTATGCATTTCTCTCCAGACCGCGCCCTGGCACCTCCTTTTAACTCCACGACGGACGAGGCCACCTGGCTCCCGTCAATTATTGGCGGATCAAACACCGTTGGTCGCATACTTTTCGGAATTCTGGCGAATTCTGACCGAGCCGTGTACTCCCTCTTATTTACAAATGTGGCCGTTACTCTAGGTAAGATTTTATTGATAATAAATATTTCTATTAATTTAGGTACTAAGTTCAACTTTGACACTATTTACAGGTGGAATTGCCACAATTGGGAGCGTTTATGCCACAGAGTACTGGATGTTGGCCGTGTATGCGTTTGTGTATGGGCAAATTATCGGTAATTAAATACTTGATTATAATTTTGATTCAATTTGCAGTGTAATAATTGCGCATAATTGTTTTCTTGCAGCCGTTTACGCATCCCTCCGATCCGTCATAGTGTACCAACTCGTAGGCAAGGACAAGTTCAACTTGGCGTTTGGCGTGTCGTTATTTTTCATGGGGGTGTCACTCTACTTCGGAAACGCGTTTGCAGGTATTTTTCAGAATTTTTTTTTCTCCGAGAAACCACACATAACCAGCTTTATCTGATTTATGCAATGTCTCGTAATGTCAAAACGGACTAATTTTGACTAATTATTTAAATTTCAGGTTGGCTAAAAGACTCGACGGGTGATTTCGACATGACATTTCACTACACGGGCGCATTCTTTATTCTTTCTGCCATTCTTTGCTACCCACTTCCGTGGATATACAAGTATGAAACTTCAAAAAAACCGAGACGCTACTCCACCAGTGCTAGTCATCCTTAATTAATAATTAATATTATATGTAAGTAATTATTGTATCGTTTCATTACATATGCCATGAATATTAATAATTAAATTGTTTAATTAATAACCTATTATACATACATAATAATTATGTAAATAATGTTCAACTTGTATAATACTGAATACCGCTTATATATTTTTAAAGAATGAGTCGACGATTAACCTAATTTTGAAATTAATTGAGCCAATTTCAATTAAATTATATACGAACACATTAAAAGAAAACGTTGTTTGTTTGTAATAATACAAATTTGTACAGATTTTGACTTAATAAATATTATTAGGACAGAATTATTAGAATTGAAACATTTTCAGAAATTTTCATATAATTTTTTGCACCGTTTTTTATGAAAAATATTTACCATTAATTTCACTGTGGCTGGATGGTTATCATTCTTTTAGGAGACGTGTTGGTAAATGCACCATACGATTATTGGGACCATAATTACCTAAATTTGTATTATATTTTTTAGCACAGATTAAAAATTGCAAGTTAATTTGATCTCACCAGTGCGCCGATAATGTCCCCTTGCCTCTGCAGACGGCGAGACTAGAGATATTAATTTATAGGTTTATTTCACATTTATTCTTATAAAATCGTAAAATCTTAACGTTTACCTCGTCATCTTCTGGAAGGAATTCGTCATAATTGATGTACGGATTAAGCAACTTTTTATCATCCGCGTCAAAAGGGACGTTTTCCATCTCCATCCAAATGTATTCCGCGTCCATATCTAGTAGCAATTAATTCCGGTGAAATTTTCATGACAATTTGTATGAAATTTTAATATGGAGACACACGTACCACTGTTTCGGGAAGAAGCCATTTTGTGTTAAGAAATATATTTATAAATTATTGTCGAATTTTTAATTTATTTTTTCGTAAATCTCAATGGGTTTGCAATCACGATCAAAACCATGTTTTACATGGACGAGGTGGAGAGTGAAAGCAGAGTGACTTTCTCCGTGTCATCTCCTGCTGTTCTGGGAGAGAAAGTATTGATTTTTGTGAGGTGAAAGCACTTCCAAGGGAAACCCGGAGGAATTCCTCTTCGGATTTCACGGTGGCATCAGGCAGTCATCATCACCATCTGAAGATGAGGTTTGCATGCATATTACTACGTATGTAAACTGCATCTAACATGCATAAGCGTAGCATAGTCTAGCTTATAGTAAATAAAATAAGCAAAGTTACATAAAATTGTTTTTTAAATCCAATAAAATTGCTGCTATCTTCAAGTTTATGTAATACTTAGGATTAGTTATTGAAACTGCAGAACAACATCTTAACTTTGCTTATAATATACGAGAATAAACATTAAAATAAACAAAAATCGTATAAAAAAGATGGAAATTTTGTTCAGAAACATGTTTAACACGAAACGACACATTTGTATGATAAAAACTTTACCAGGTAAACGGTAAACTTGATATTTACACTAGCATTATGCTTGCACAAATTTCTTACTACATATGATTTCTATGTACATGTGCCAACCAGAAGGACTGAAACCATTGCAGGTTGCAGATCAACAATGATGACGCTGACATTCACGCATGCAAACCTAATAAGTAATCCTAACCTTTACTACAAACTAAATTCTTGGAAACTTTGTTTACTACGAACCCTCCGTACTTTTTACTACTCTAAACCGGTCTGCATTTCCACTGTTCCTTACGCAGAAATAAATAATATGCAAACGCAGCTCGTTATTTTGCAAAGAAATGACCCATTACATGGAAAATCGAGACTTGTTGTCATAAAACGGTTGAAGTTACAAAATTAGGGACACATTTCAAGTTCATGCATCGAACTGATTTCATTATCTGTTAAAATTTCTAGACTAATTTTGTGAATATTTCTATAAAATTTGCATATACGATGGGGTCTGACGCGGCTAAGAAAGAGAGCGATACGACTCCAGCCCCATACTACTCGTGCAACATGGACCGACCTTTCTTCCTCGATAAGAGAGTATCAACATGGTTCCATTTAGGCATGTCGCATACCTTTGGCATCGCTGGGTTCTACTTACTCGCCGTGGGGGCAATACCCAGAGCTGCGATTTGGCTCGGTAAGATTTAATTGAAATTATGTGCATAAATCAGGAAATAGAAAGTTCGCTTAAAACTGTCCAGAAAAATAAGTTGTCAACAATTTGTGAATTTTCGATAATAAATTGTAAAATTTTGAAAATTTCTAATTTTCAGTCCTCCTCCACGGTTACATTGGGGATTTTGGCATCACAATTGGTGCTCATCGCCTGTGGTCACATCACACGTTCAAGGCTCGACTTCCGCTACAAATCTTCCTTGCTTATTGCCAAACAGCGGCAGGACAGTTGTCCATCTTCCAATGGTGTCGAGATCATCGGCTTCATCACAAATATGCGGACACGTATGCGGACCCATATTCTACGAGACGCGGTCTATTTTTCTCCCACATGGGCTGGCTTCTCCGAAAGGAGCACCCCCTCTGCAAAGAAATGGAGAAGAATATACCACTCCATGACCTCAATGACGATTGGGTCATCTGGATTCAGTCCAAGTGAGTTTAGATTTATGTGTTTTATAAAGTTCAGAATTCTTTACAAGATTTCTGGCATGTTTTGGAGGAAAGATAAAATCTACATGAAAATTTGTGTCTGTTTTATAAGATTTTATTGGCCACTTTTCGCGATTTCGGGGTTCGTGGTGCCAATTTGGACATTCACGTATTTCTTTCCGGAACTGACGTGGTTTCAATTATTCGCGTTGAACTATGCACAATTATTGATTCCGATGCACTTGATTTTCTGCGTTAATTCGATCGCCCATCGGTATGGATTTCGACCATGGGATAAGTAAGTTTGGTAATTTATTAATCCTAAGTAGCGTCAGGTACTTCATGTGATCGTTTTGTCCATCCGTCCATCTCTTAGCAGGATATCTCCAGAACGGCTCAGTATAATTAATCGCCGTTTTCGACATTGTGCCTCTAATTTTTAGTTCTCGGACGAGTTCGATAATAGGGTAAATCGGACCATTCCCCCTCAGCGCGAGGGGGTGTGGTCCACAATTAAACTTAACCTTAATTGTCATATGGGGTGTCATTTTAAAGGAAATTTCATCCCGAATTCAACGCCGTAAATATTTTTGACCTCCGACGTACTCCTGACCGTGTAGACAAGGCTAAAGGTCAAAAATACTTAATTTTCATATGGGGTGTCATTTTAAAGGAAATTTTACCGCGAATTCAATGCCGACAATATTTTTGACCTCATGACCTTGAGGACAAGGTCAAAGGTCAATAAATATATAGTTGTCATATATGCTGTCATTTTAACGGAAATGCCGATAGTTCTGACGCTACTTTGTTATATTCGTTTTCAAGGGTTTATTATTTAACTAATGCCAATTTTTTGATAACCACAAATTTACTTACGTAGATATATCAACCCTGTCGACGTCCCAATCCTCTCCTACTTCATAATTGGCGAAGGATGGGTAAAATAAACACTCTAGCAATGAAATAATTCAAATTTAGCCAGTTTAATGACCTTATCATTCTGATAACCCTCCAATTTGACCTAGCATAACTATCACCATACTTTTCCTTGGGTAATTGACCTTAGACCTTAAGAAACAATTCTCACTAAACAATTTTTAAACAATTTTCACTTTATACCTTTAATCCTCTGAAATTCAAGGGAGGCTGTGTACTATCCTCGATGCCCTTTGGATATGCTATAGTGTTCCATGAATGAACAATAACCCTAAAGTGGTTTGATGCCATGGCCACATTTGCGCTCGCCACACCCACTCAAAGGTGCCCAAAAAACGCTTTCACTCCAGCTTTCACTCACTCAAAACCACGCCAAAAATCCAATTTTACTCGGATTTTGAAAATCCGTACACCATTATACTCCCAGATAGTTTATTTCTTATATCCCATATCAAACTCAACTTTTTGAAACCCTTCGTATTTTTAAAATTTAAAATTCTGAATGAGCATAGTTGTAGTAATCAACAACGCAAATTATGCATGCGTAATAATCATCAAAAAAGTTGAGTTTGATGTTGGATATAAGAAAGCAACTATCTGGGAGTATAATGGTGAAAGAAATTTCAAAATCCGAGCAAAATTAAATTTTTGGCGTGGATTTGAGTGAGTGAAAGCTGGAGTAAAAGTGATTTTTGGGCACATTTGGGTGGGTGTGGCGGCCGCAAATTTGGTCATGGCATCAAACCACTTCAGGGTTGTTGTTTATTCATGGGACACCATAAACTATCCAAAGGGCATCAAGATCCGGGACTTACAAAAAGTTAGTAGTACACGACATCCACTAAGGATAAGTGAATTTCAGGACCTTGCTTTTTACCAATTCTCACCCAACAATTCTCACTCAATTCTGACCATGTTTTATGATTACTGCATTTTGCAGTAGTTTTGTAGAATATGATCTGCATATGTACCTATAATTAATATGTACAACAAAAATTAATGTACATATGTACTTATTAATTATACATATGCAGATCATATTCTATAAAATTACTATAAAATACAATAACCATAAAACATTGTCAGAATTGAGTGAGAATTGTTGGGTGAGATAGGTATAGAGCTCAAATTGTTGAGAGAAAATTGCAGAGTGAGAATTGGTATAAGCTAAAATTGTTGAGAGAAATTTTTTAATTTACACCGATTTCTTTCCGTAGGATTACAAAAGTCATGAGGCTGGTCTTCCCGGTTTTGGTAGGTCGACACTTTGAATTTTTATCATGATTTATAATGCTAAAGTGATTTTATGAATCATTTTTAAAGGAATCAATTGGGGACGACTTATCATCGAATTCTTTGCCTGGACTGGACAAGCCTATGACCTGAAAACCGTCCCAATGGAGCTCGCCTTAAAGAGAATGAATAGAACGGGTTATCCCAAGTTAGAGGATAACCACTTTCACTCCGCCCCTAAAAAAATTCCCCTCAAGAACGAGAAGGGTGAAGAGATTGAAGAGGATGACGACCACAAAGAGACGCCAGTTTGGGGCTGGGGTGACGAGACGATGCACAAAGAGGATCTTGACATCACAGAGACTAGTTATGTCAGATCGTCATCGGGTTAATTAAGCATATCGATAATGAAAGCTGTAATATATGTATTTATTCAAGTGCTGTGATATTTAGGGAATAAATTGTTTCATATTTAAATCTGATTTTATGCAACATTGCGCTTTTCTGCAAGATGACATATTTACAGAGAAATTGAAAGATCTGCACACATCCTAAAATTCTGCTGAAGTCCGCATCCGTAATCGTTCGTACCATCGTCACATTCACCTATTTAAGAAAGAATTATTAAATTGGTTAAATTTTACGCAATTTATTGTTATAAGAATGACTCATTACCCATCATTCCCGATCTGTAGTTGACTCTTAGCACACAATTTCTACAAGACACTCCTGGAGGAAGCCTCATGGTCCCGTTGACCCAAAACGGTCTGCTGTCCACGACCGGAAACTCGAAAAATGTCCCCTCCGCAGTCGTAATTGGGAGATATGGCTTTCCCACGAAACAATCGTTCGACTCGGGCAGTTCATCGCAAAGTTGGAAGTGAAATGATCCATTGTGCGGAATGGTGACTTCGGCAATCATTTGGATTTCCTGATTTTCATGAAGAAAATTGAGTAAAATGCAACTAATTTAAATCCTGTTTTTAACGGACCTGGCCTGCTCTAAATCTGCCCGCAATGATGCCATTTCCATAAGTCCCTCCATGTTCATTTGGCCGTGGAACCGGATCCGCGAAGGGGTCGCCACAAACGCCACAATTGACGGGAACTGGGGGCTGCAAGATGCGTCCGCAGTAAACGCCATCGTCTCCCGTGTTCATGGGCGGGTTAAACTCGGCGAAACGAGGATCACGCCACAGTGTGGATCGACCTGGTGGCTCCCACAAGCGGATGTGACCACTCGAAAGGGAGCAAATTATGCCCAGGATGAAAATTAGCGAAAGTTTGTACTGCATTTTTTATGTATTTAAAGTCTTGTCCACTCCAGTTTAATGAGTCAATGAGAGATTTTTAGGTCCCCTTTATATAAGCAGAAAGTGGAATAAGCAAATATTTATGTCAAGTTTTAATTTGACAACATGTCCAGTTACTCATGCTTATCATGACTCGTACTTATCCAGTTACTCATGTTTGTAATTATTTGATTAGATTACAATGTCACATATTTTTGTACAGTAAACAGGTGCATGTTCACTTGATGAAGTGTTTAATTGTTATGTAATCTTATGCAATATTACGTATACCAATATTACATATTTAGTATGCATAGTTTGTTAATTTAATTACTGGTAAAAAGTCTACATTTTTCACTTTTCAAGTTGATCTGCATAATGTATCAGTGATGTCAATGCAAATAAAAATACTAAACTTTTCTCACTTGTTATCAATGATGTATTGAATATTGAATTACATACTCGAGTTCAATTAATGCATCATAGTTAAATTCAGAAAGAATTTTGCGAGAAAAAAAAACAATGATCAATCACTCAATAAATTTCCAATTTGGTTTGGATGGACAACATTATAATCTAATTAATGGATGCATAATAGATTAGAGGGGAAAGCCAAGTCGCATGATGAATTACGTATTAATCATAATTAAAACGTTTCCGAGATGTTGCAAATTTGTAAAAATTTATTTTATAAATTTTCAAAATTTCAAAATACAAATATTTTTGGAAAACACTGTCCACTAAATATATTTTATAATGCCGAATAATAAATTAAATAATAACAAATTTGGCATTAAATTTGGCATTAAAGTCTGACATTTGTTTCAAGTTAAGTATGTACAGTCAAGAGCAAAACTTTACGACATATGGAAGAGACTTTTGGGACATGTTATTCAAATGGGGAATTAAAGGCCGTAAAGTTTTGCACCGCGTACCTTTCCGAATAATTTTTTTAACGCTGTGATATAATTTTTATTGAATAAAGCGTGCAAAAGTAGGGGGTGACGTGGTAAATTATTTTTGTCGCGGAATTTTGTTCAAGGAACTACAAGGAATTGAAAGAATTAATTTTGGAAGAGACTTTTGGGACAGCCATAAGCACAATGTGTTGTCCCAAAAGTCTCTTCCAAAATTAATTCTTTCAATTCCTTGTAGTTCCTTGAAAAAAATTCGGCGACAAAAATAATTTACCACGTCACCCCCTACTTTTGCACGCTTTATTCAATAAAAATTATATCACAGCGTTAAAAAAATTATTCGGAAAGGTACGCGGTGCAAAACTTTACGGCCTTTAATTCCCCATTTGAATAACATGTCCCAAAAGTCTCTTCCATATGTCGTAAAGTTTTGCTCTTGACTGTACAAAAAAACGGTGGTATAATTCCATAAAAATAAATAAATGATCTAATGATACGAAAGATTTGAAAATTAATTGGGCTAAGGTCTCGTCTCAACCGGTGATTATCAATTCAGGCAATTAGTTAAATACATGCAAATAAATAATTGCGCAACCAATCCAACAACATAACCTCTAATCTAGAACAAAAAATCGTTCAACTAGTCATCAAACCACGACTGAACGAATTCTCATCTCATGAACCTATTTCACTAAAGAAAATGGACAACAATGAAAACAAAGATGACTTTTGTTTCATTGTTTTTGAAAGCGTGTGAGTTGGGATAATCTAAAAAAAAAGACAGCAACGAAGCCTTCTAATGATTCACTTGTGGTATTTTCCTACCTTTTTAGCACATTGTCCCCATTATTTGTCCAGATCAGGACAGGGTCACATGCTTTTTCACCTATAAAATCACCATGCGAAAAGTTTTATCTGTACAGTAGTCATTTAGTTGTAGACGGGAAACAGCTACACAGTTAATTTTAGGAAACCAATATTAGCCAAAGTTTCTGGAAACATTTTATGCTTTTACATATAATAGGAGTTTGATACCAAGAATCGTATAGGGAAATGGGGAAACTGGTAACATATTTTTTTGTAAATTATTTTTTGATGGACCCATTTTTAAAGCCGTTCTTTCGCAGTTGTTGGTGACCCTGTTGGGTTGCGTGGTCATGTTTGAGATGGTCTCATGTGGAGGAAGATTTCGTCGCGGAAACCGTGGCGGAGGGGGTGGTGGTGGTTCGTCCGGAGGTTACTCTGGGGGTGGTGGGGGTGGTTCCTCTGGTGGGTATGGGGGCGGAGGAGGAGGTCTGTTAGACCGAATATTATGTAGCTACATGAGGTGTCTAGATTTTGAAAAATATTATTTTTTGTGTAGGTGGTGGTGGTGGTGGTGGTTACTCAGGGGGTGGAGGATCCAGCGGCGGTGGGGGAGGCTATGGTAATTAGATTTTTAAAATTAATTCTAATTATTAATTAATTTATTTAATTAATTAATTTGTAAGTAACTAATTATTTAAAATGGGAACAATTTTTGTAGGCGGTGGTGGAAGTGGTGGTGGAGGATCAGGAGGTTACTCAGGGGGTGGAGGAAGTAGTGGGGGTGGTGGAGGTGGTTACAGCGGAGGTGGTGGGGGTGGTTCGAAGGGAGGTGGTGGATCTGGTGGTGGTGGATACAGTGGAGGAGGAGGTGGTGGAGGTTCCAAGGGGGGTGGTGGCTCCGGTGGTGGTGGTGGATACAGCGGAGGGGGTGGGGGTGGTTCAAGGGGCGGCGGTGGTGGAGGAGGTGGCGGAGGGTCATATGGCGCCCCACCTTCAAGTAAGTTTTCTCTGCTAAACTTTTTTTGCAAATATCTACTAATTGTATGAAATACTTAGGTGGTTACGGAGGAAGCAGTGGGGGTGGAGGAGGTGGTTCCAGCGGTGGTGGGGGAAGCTATGGTAAAAATCAGAATGTGAAATATTTTACCCAAGCAAGTAACTAATATTTTTGTTGTGAAATGCAGGCGGTAGCGGTGGTGGTGGAGGTGGAGGGTCAGGAGGTTACTCAGGGGGAGGAGGCAGCGGCGGTGGGGGCAGCGGAGGTGGTGGAGGGGGGTATGGAGCCCCCTCGCCAAGCACTCAATATGGTGCTGGCACTGGTGGCGGCGGCTATGGCTTGGCCGGTTGAGGACAAATCGTCGTATAATATTTTTTGTATTTCTTCCTTGCAAAAACCAATGTATTTATTTATGGAAACTTTTAGATTTATAGTTCTGCCATAATAAAACAAATTACCAGACTAATTAATTATTTGGAGCTCGACAGTTCATAATGCGGTGGTACACATGAAAAATGTATGATGCATTCAAACATGGAGATTGCATAGTTTTGCGATAATTGTAACAAATTGGGATTTATTTATTTCTCATTATTGTGTCCAGCACAAGAGTAAAAATTCTAACAAGTAGAAAAGTTGCCGTATCACATATCATTATTGCATATTTTCCAAAGACATCACTTAGACGATTGGGAGTGGGGGTGGAGTTGGGAGATGGGTGCCAACTGCGTGGTATCCGTTCTCTGCAAATTATCATAACAAATTAAAACTTATCCCAAACTAAGCAATCATACCCAAAAAAATCAAAAGACAATTACCATCAGCAGTCCATGACATTTTGACTGGAACTCCATCGGCTCCGGTGTAGCTGTAGCTTCCAGACTTTGCCAAGGAAGAGTCAGACTTGATCATCTCACCATTTTCACCCTCGTAAAAGGATCCACGGCCTGGGACGACGCGGGTAGATTCAGAGAGTTCGATACCGTTTCCGGTGGCGTAGCTTAATACAAATCATAACCATATTTTAAACTTCATGAATCTACCAGAAATCAATTACACCGTCGATAAATAATAAGTACCTGGTCGAGTCGGACACGGCTCCCACGATTTCTTGGTTGTAACGGGTGATGGGGATGAAGTTCCTGGTGAGTGGGACGTGATGGACGACGGGGGCGAAGACGTGGACCGGCCGGAATTCGGATAAGTCGGAAGAGGAATCAATCCGGATAAGGGTGGGATAAGCCAAACGGAGGCTTCCAGCAGATGCGACTGCGAAGAGAGCGGCGAGGATGAACTAGAATTGTTTAAAAAAAATTTTTGAAAATTTGGCTTTGTGACAAATTATTTTTGTAGATTTCAGAAATGGGAGCCTTACGGTTCTCATGATTGTATTGGTTTTTGTGTGGATTCGGATAATTCGAGAGAAGGGATGAGAAGAGACTGATGCATTTTCTGAAATTCGGGAGCCCTTTTATACGAAAAAGTTTGTAGTCTTTCTTCCTTAGGGAACAACATGTTATCGTCGCGAATCACGTAGGAGATTCATGACGGCGTGGTTCAAGGTAAGTCAGGGACTTTCGAGAGAAAAGGGTTCATCCTGGAGGTCGTAATCTTGTTGTTTTTGAGAATGCACATATTTATATTGCCCAAAATAAGTAATAACTTGGAGAAGAGAGTTAGAGGTGAGAACTTGGCAGCTACATAAATAAATCTGGAGACAAGGCTTTCAATTCTCATCCTCCGTCAAGTACTCAAGTGCAATGTCAATGTCAATCAAAAGAGAAAAGGGTATACGTGGGCAATGCATCATCATTCATCACCAGTACCCCTTTACAGCGACAGAAGTTGACCTTCGTGACCAGACTGTACTCAAGGCTGATATCACCAACTTACAACAACAGACTAAATTACTTCTTAGTCTTATCTATTATTACTTAGAATTATTTATGAATCAGCTATTATCGCATAAAAATAATTAAAACTTCATCCTCGTAAGTTAGACTTATTTCTGAAAATTAAAATTATGAAATGAATCACGAGGCAGTCTGAGACATGAGATTTGTGTGTACGAAAAATACAAGGACATAATATAAACAAATTACTTGTGCGAGCAGAGTGAGTCCTGGGTATAAATCCAGTTTGATAAACATGGACTCAATGATAAGTTCTTATCATCTTGCATGCCAAAACATGAGACGGCCTTTATTCAAGGACGATATGAGATGAGACGACAAAGAAACACGAAACAGGGCAACGTGAGCCCAGTTTATTCATATTTTATCCCAGCAGAGTCGCCCTCTTCCCACAATCGCCCGGTGTGAATGACATTCTTCATAAGCATTTCCTCTCTTCCTTTCTTTCTACTTCCACTACTGGACAATATTTTTATCAAATTAAATTTCAAGTGTTTTTAAATAGTAAAACTGTAACAAATAATGTCCCGTCGACCTTTTGACGCCTCCTTCAGTCGTCGTCCTGGTGGAAATTCAGTAGGTGGAGGAGCCGGGTTGATGGGAGATTATCATGCACGAGGCGGTGGGGGTGGTTATCATCACGGCGGTGAGGACGAAGTCGATTTTGGCGTTTCACGTGGATCTTCTGGTGGTCGTGGACCTTCCTTGTCGTCACAGTTTGACCGTGTTCCAAGGGACGGGGCGAGGGCGAAGTTACAATCGAGATTTGACGATGGGGGGGATGATGGGGGTGGTGATGCAGGCGGCAATGGAGGAGGATGGCGATATCGGACACCAAGTCCTCAAAGATTTCGGGGTGAGTGAAACATTAATTTTGAGTTTGGACAACGATTTTTAATTCTGAATTTAATTTTGAAGGCGAACAAGACCGTGGAGGGGACCGTGCTGGGGGACGAGGACCGTCATGGTCGACGCGAGGTAGCATTGATTACATGGATGGTGGCAGAGATTATGGCGGAAGTAGTGGTGGTGGTGGTTCGATTTTCGACACGATGGGATCAGGTTTTCAACAAAAGCAACAAATTCCACAACTCTTTCAACAGCAACAGCAACCCACTGGAATTTTGAGGAACAGTAATGATGGAGTTGTTTTACTGCAACCTGCCGGGGTAAGTGCGTTCTTAATAAATATTTATAATGAATTAATTCAGAGGCCTTTATCTGGATGGTATTCAAAGGACTTGATCCCTTGAGTACTTTCTTAAAGGCCGAGAACAAATAAAATGCCACGTTCTTATTGGATTGTCTGCAAAAATGGGATAAATCCTCCATGTGTGGCGTACAAATTTAGTTAATAACTAATTTTGTTACTTTTATGTCTGTACAGTAGCTATTAATTATATTGTTTATTGGTCACACGCAGGGTCTCATGGGCTTGAATACTGCAGGAGCTAATCCATTTGGCGGACTTGGCGTCCTAGGCACAGGTCCCGTTATGTTGGGAAATCTTCCAATGGCGTTTGGTCAGGTAGAGTCAAAAAATTCTTTCAGTGTTGCTTATTATTTATTTATCGCGTCGAAGCAATCCGCTCTTACAGTTTTAAAGAATTAATAACAAAATTATGACAAGATTCATACGTAACGCTGCGTTATTATCCGAGAAGAAATTGTATTCTTCCCATCATCGCTTCATTTCGGTAGAACAAATCGTCCTGTTGATCTTCAACAATGTAGTTGTTCTCGAATCAAGACCAAGATGAGTTTATGTGCGCTGCTGAGATTTGACCAATTTGACCTCCACTGCATTGAGCCGAAATTCCAATCTATGTATGGTTGCGTTTTGCGCTATGTGATGACATTACGTTTTGCGTTATGGGATTCCGAAGAATCTTCTGATGTCGAAATTTCAGACCCGACTGCGTTCATAAAACTAATTCTTCAAAGCTTTTAAAAAATTAATTCCGATAATTAAGTTAATTCCCTATACATTTAGATAGTCGTGTACTATCCGTGGCGATAGACAAACTTCTTATCCGACATTATTCCGCTTCTTAAACTAAACTTGAAAAATCCAAAATTATGTCGTGGGTGGAAAAATTGAATTGTTCTCAATGTCCTCCCTCCAAAGTCTAACTTTCCTTCCAGCAGCACCAGCTCCTCCAACAGCAGCAACAGTTATCCAACCCCTTTGGCGCTGGTATTGGCGGAGGAGGCTCTTCCATTTACGGGGCACAAACTCAACAGCGCTTCGATCACTCTCGAAACTTGATCACGGCTTCTTCTAACGATGGGGGTCGACTTCGACGTGACTTTAATCGTAACGGTGGAGTTGGAAGGAGATCCGATGACCGGAATAACCGAAGTGATTCCGCATCTTCACGAAATAATGATCCACAGAGAAAAAGGTAGCGATGATGATATGCAATTTGATAAGAAATACCAAACCAATTTATAATAGTTTCTTCACGGTGATCATCTTGGTTATTTTGAGGAGGAGTGAAAGCGTTCTTCATGAAATAATGTGCATGATATCTGTGTATGTATTTCCTAAACATTAAATTATTTTTCTTCTGAAGCTCTTCAACTCATTAATCTGTATATTTTTACAATCCTTGCGTGATGAAAACCAATCTTCAGTTTCATTATTATTATACTCTTTGATTTTGCGAATACTTGGCAATTTATTAGTCATTTACCTTTCTCACTATCAACATCAACAACTATTTATCATTTCCTATTCATTGTTCCTCTATGACCCTCTACATGCATATGACCTCGGTTCAGGTCGAGGGTCAAAAATTTTACATACTTCTAGTTGCTGTATAATTTATACGTATAAATAATTGATAATTAACTAATTAGTAACATAATGCAATTAGGAATCTTGTCCTGCGTGATCCCCATCCTGATGAAGCAGGATCCAATAAACGTCCCCGTATCTCGATGGGAAATAACAATAACAACAAGAAACCTGGCCAAGTGAAACGTGTCGACATTGGAAAAAAGCCAGCCAACGTTGGATCATCCCACCGACCTGTTAAAAAAGAGAGCAACAAAGAAGAAGAAGCCGAGATCATAGTAAAGGTGGAAATAGAGGAAGAGGAAGACGTCGTAGGTGAGGATGGCGTCATCACCAAGGTCAAGGTGAAAAAAATTGTCGAAAAGAAGGTCGTCAAAGATAAGACTGAAGAAAAGGAAAAGAAAACGGAAACAGAATACGATTCCATCCCGGGATGCGTCCTGGTCTGTAAAGTTTGCCAGAAAGTGATGCATGACGGACAGGTATAGAATAAAACATATTTACAAGTTTTGCACAATTTGATACTTTATACTGCCATGATTTTTAGAGTTGTTTTCGGACAATTTCTATAAACTACTACAACATTTGAATAATATGTTTATACATATTATTTTGAAATTAACAGAAGCGAGCTGAGCCTTTATAATTAAATTAAATTGATACAGATGTACTTGCCAATATTGATAAAGTGGGTAATAATTAATCATAAAAATATTTTTCCAGTCGTTCGAATCCCACCTGAGTGGAAGGGCACACCAACTTTTAATGAAAATGTTAGAGGAACGATTCATGAAGAGGGTCGAACTTTTGATGAATGAGAGCAAAGTGAGAGGAATATAATTGTTACTCAACTCAATAGACTACGTAAGCTGATAACTAACTAGAGCTTATTTAATGTGTAGTGTGCCGAAGACGAAATTGGTATCGAAATGGATCGCCAACGTCGCGCCGGAGCGGGCAAAGGTGCCGGTGGTGGAAGGGTGGAGAAGCATTCTGGAAATTATTGCAAAATGTGCGACTGTAATTATTCCCAGAATTGGGGGCAACATAAAGTCAGTTTGGGACATAGGGTAAGATTTTCTAACTACATTTTGATAATTTTTTCTACTACTTTTTGTGCAATGATGCCTTCTTAGGACACCTTTGAAATATCAAATGAAATAAACTTTTGATGAAGTGTCTGAGTAAATGCGATATCCGCACGTTTTTACTTTACACAAATTTGATATTGTGTGTCTAAAGTCGTCATATGTTTTTTTGTTTCAGGTTTTGAAAGAATTTCTTCACCCAACCTGCCAATTTTGTAAGGCACACTTTATGCACAGGAAAGACTGGGTGACCCATCTCGTCAGCCCTGCCCACTTTAAAAAGATTCAAGAGCTCAAAGCTGAGCAGGGGTCGACTCCCTCCCTCGAAGCGGCCGAGTCTCACTTCCAAGATGAACTATTCTCAATCCACATTGAACTAAATATGGAGGAAAGGGTGACGAATGCGATTACAATCCAATCTCGGGACGGAAAAGAACCCCTTACCGAGGAGATGAAGGAGATCTTGAAAAACGATCGGGGAGAGATTGTGTTGCCGGACGGTACACATATATTTCTTTATATTGGACTTAATATTGGTGGGGAATCTCGTCAATTAATTAATTAACTCCTTGCAGGCGAGATACCATTGCCTAAAGAGTACAGCAACGAACTGATGGTAGGCGCCGATGCAGTCGTGGCCGTGAACGGGAACCGATGTCGAGTTTGTCGCGTTTATATCCCGGAAGATAAAAGTGTGGATTCTCACTGCAGTTCGAGGGAGCATTTCAACCAATACGTTTCCTTCTTGAAGAGAGTGGTGAGCACAATAAAAAAATATTAGAGTAACAATTTTATAATTTGCAGAGACTATATACAATTGATTATACTAATTTTAGAATCGACACCGCGAGCACCGAGAGAGAGAAAAGAAGGAAGCAGAAGAAAAGGCTAAGAAGGATGAGGAACGGAAAATAGAGAGAGAAAAGCGAAAGGCCGAAGAGAAAGCCAAGCAGGAGGCGCTTCAGAAAGAGAAAGGTACCTAAAGTGGAACCATGAAAAAAAAAATGTTGACTTAATTCTTAAAAAATCATGCTGGCATTCATTTTAGCAGAAGGAGTCGTAGCTAATGGAGAAACTACCAAGACGGAAGATGGAATTGAGTCTGACAAGATCATGGAAGTTGATGATGCAGCTGCGGGAGTGAAAAAAGAAAGCGATGAGAACGCCAAGCTTCCCGCCGAGGACGGTGACGTTGTTACTGACCAAAAAGGCGAGGAGGAGCAAGCCGAGGTCGATCATGGTGAAGAAGATAATTTGCATGCTGAGGATGCAGAAGATGATGAGGACGATGTGGAAGAGGTAGTTGAAGGAGAAGACGCATTTTTAGGGACTGGTGACGACGGAACGACAGAAGTAGATTACGAAGGTGAGAAATTAATCAGTTATTTATAACCTGATGTCATTGAAAGTAATACTAATATCATACACAAATAATTTAGGTGGCGAGGAATTTGATACGAGTGGCGAATTCCCCACTATTGTTGGAGTTACAGGGGGCGTTGAAGTCCCTATGGATCAACACGACGTCGAAGATGTTCCAGATGATGACGACGTCGTGATTGAGGGAGAAGAATCCAGCGACTCTGTTCAGGAGATCGAACCGGTCATTGTCGTCCCCACGAGTAAAACCCCAGCCATAGGAGCCCGACGCGGTAGACGAGGAGCAGTTCGTGGTACTCCTGCGACAACGCCGGTGGGTACAAATCATTACATTACTAACTAGTGATCAAATGATTTCATCTAATTTATTGTTTCATTCTTTCTGTTTGGTAGGCGCTGAAAAATGTTCTTCCCAAGGTGGACACGAATATGCGTGGAAGATCACGCCCAACTGCAACTCGAGGTGTCCCGAGGACACCAGTTCGAAGAGGCCGTTAAAACCACTTAATTTTTACACACATGTACTTTTTTGTTAGATTTTTAGCTGATCTTTAAATAAAACTCGGAATGGTAATAAATGGAATAGTTTACAAGAATTTTGCATTTCAAAATATTACATTTATTAAACAGAATACAAGTCACACTAAACAAACTCTTCCGCTAAACAGAAGGGTCACTCCCATGCACCACTACTAAATATGTCAGATCTCCAAATTTCCAACTTATTGTTATAAAAAAATCCAACACCACCCGATAGATTGGAACTATTTTAGGGTGACGCCTTCATAAAAGCTGGCTTGGAATTCTGCTTCTTCAGCGGATGATAAAGTGGCCCCATGTTATAGGAAAATTTTGTCTCGTGCAAAATAAATTTGTTAATATAACTAAACTATAATTGTCAATATAAGTCTGAATGAATTTAGTTAAAGTTCATTCTTTGTAATGTTATTTTCATCGTCATCGTCATCATCATCCGTGATATCGTTCGGATCTCGGGCTGGAGGTTCGAGATATGTTTGTAGAAACTCAACAATCGTGTCAGTGTCCCACTAGGAAAAGTAATCAGGATTTAATTTTATTAATGATTAATTTCACTCATTATAAAGCTGATAATTCCTACTTTGGTGATGGATAACGTTTCGGCGACGGAATCGTCGCCCTCGAGGAGTTTAATTTGGGGCATTTGTCCTCCCATGTATTTCACCTCGAGATTTGGAAACTTCCCCGGTCGGTCGCTTTTCACGAAAGCTGGAAATATTTTTTTTATGTAAAATCTCGACGACGAACATTGTAGGCCAAACCACCAGCAATATATACGTTACCTTGGACCTGTGGGAAGCTTGCCAATTTTCATCCACACACTTCAAGACGCGCTTTTGGATAGCGCTTGACAGTTTTTGCACTCCCTTCGTCCTTCGTGGAGTCTGAAGTTTCTTGGACGCAACAAGATTCGCAGTGTTTCCTGAAGAGAGAAATGATAAGCGAATAAGCGATGCTAACAAGAGATTATCAACTAGAGAGTCTGTGCATAAATTACTTGAGGATATCCAAATCATATTGAGGCAATAAGGCGCAGGATGAGCAAAGCAGGTTGTTCTTGACGAAACCGAGTCCTTTACATTCCTCTACAGAGAGTTCGGAGCGGACATAGTTGACCTGTAGATCAATATGATAAATATTTTATTGTCGATAAAGGGTTTATTGTTCAGCAAAATTTTTTATATTATTAAAAATAATCCTAAGTAAGTTGGTTCTTTATCATTTAGTAATAGTTTAAACAAGATCTGCAAACTTCAAGTACAATGTACCATGAGGTAGATGATGGATAAGGAGAGAAAGGCGGAAGTTGATAACCCCTCCATTCTTCCAAGGTAAGATAAGCACGAAGCTTATCAACAAGGCGTATTTTGAAGTTATCACTAGACAAAAATATGTTTCAACTTTTATTTGTACTTATAAAACTTTTCTTTACGCAACAGGAATTACTGCCGGGGAACATACGTGGCAGAAATGAGGCAGTTTGGTACGGAAAAGTGAGACAATCTGACGAAATGAGATTAGTTAATTTATGATAAAACTATGATAAGTCCTTTTATCGCATCTATAATCAGATCAAGAACAGACAAATGCCATTTGGATATTGTGTAACATGGAGCTAGTATGATTACAACATTTGTTAATTACGATGTATTCCGATTTATGTACATTGGAAATTAAATTCATTATTGTTAAAAAATGTTGCGAAACTGTTTTGCTGGAGGACTTTTTAATTAATTTTAGTTTTATTTTGCTTCACCAGCTTTAAGAAAATAACTATCATCTTCAGGGTTAATACAGGTCATATAAATATTTTGCAAAATTTAAAATAAAAAAATAATAATTCGAAAATCAGGTTAGATATTGACATGCGACTAACTTCCATTTACTCCCCACCAACATACCTGTCGAATGTAATTAACCCCATGTCCGTATTAATTAACACTGGTTTTTGAATGTTTTTTTCTAAATTCTATGTTCATTTATGGTCATGATTTTAACTATTTCTACCAATGACCAAAGCGTATTTGTTTTTAATAAATGCATTCTACTCATCATTTCCTCTCATTTTAACGTAATTGACAATTTTATTTCCTAAATTAATCATCATACCGTTTCATGTTAACAGTATGACACATATGAAAAAGATTTATGATCAAAATTTAAAGAATATCGATTCTGAACACAGTAAATGATGAATTTATTTTAAAATCTCACTTTTTCATGAGACTGCAGGTTCACTAAATAAAACTTTAGCAGCGGTCTCTTCTTACCTCGTACATGTACATAAATAACAGCAGCAATACTAAAATCGCAATAGTACAAAAAAACAAGGATTTGGTATTCTGATAAAATAATCTTTACGGTTATTACAAATTCTTGAAGAAAATGTGTTGATTTTTTTCAATTTTCTACTCGAATTCAAAAAATGTATATACAGTCATTAGTATGGGGGACTATGGCCCTACTTATCTTCCTCCCACCGAATTTAGGACAGGATTCTTCGTCCGAAGAGAGAGATTTTGTAAGTTTGAAGTTTAAAATATGTAATATTTGCTTAATAAATTATTAATAATAATAGCCTTGTTAAATTAACTAATCAGTAATTACTGCACAACGACTAAAATATTTTATTAGTCTTGTTAGAAGTGTATAAATGCAATAAATGTTCAATACAAATATTCATTTTGCATTAAAATGTTTGTAATAATGCAAATGTTACCTAAAATTCCAGACAAACTTAATCGAAGTAGATTGCAGCAAATTAAGAATGGGTCAATTTCGATGTAATGAGACAATTGATCCAGCCACGCAACAGTTGAAGGACTGCACGAGAGATAATATTGCCAAAGGTACTCTTTAGGGCATAGACTTGCATTTGAATTAAAATGGCAAACAATTAACAATTATAAATTTTCCCAATTACAGTAACTTGTGAAGCAGCAGAAGGATTACGATGTGCCGAGTCGAATAGTCGCTATTTCTTAAAAAATTTTCCTTGTAAATGGACGTGAGTTACTTAAATAATTACACATATCGTAATTTCAGAAGTGAATTAATTCTTGTTTTTATTTTTATTTTATTTATTATTAATAGGAACGGCTACAAATACGACGTTGCTCTTCTTTTGTCTGTATTTTTCGGTTTTCTCGGCGCAGACCGTTTCTACTTGGGTCACGTTGGGATGGGGGCGTTAAAATGTTGTACGTTAGGTTTCTTCTTTATCGGCCATCTCATCGATATGTAAGGTTTTAAATTTCAACGTTTTTCGGTTTATGAGTACCGTTCGTTTAATTTTATGTTACGTTTGGCTTAGAATTCTCATCGCAACTCAGTACACCACACCCATCGATGGATCGCATTACGTGGTAGGTTATTACGGGCCATCAGTCGAATCAATTCGGGCTGATAATTTAACTTATGTAGTTAAAAGGCCAGATTGGTATTCATAGTTAATTTTAAAAAAACGCACAACAAATCTTGTCGTTTCCAACGGTTTGAAATTAGTAATGTGTGTTACCGCATTTTTATTCATGTTTTGTAAGTCGGAAAAGGTAAAGTATCCAAATCGTTTATATTAATATTATTATAACTAATTATTCGACTGAGTAGAACGTAATTTATTAATCGTATTTATATCAGACAATTATTTGCAATATGTTTGATTATCATCATATAATAATTAAGCGAGTACTATATTACCGTTTTTCCAATTATTGAAATAATGTACAAATTCCAATGTCGCAAAATCATAATGGACAATTAAATAGGACTGATTCAAGTTTTGAAAGAAATTACTCACACAAAGTAAATTTTCATGAATTCATGACTCAACAAAAATTGTTGGAATTTAGATTTTTTTAAAACAAGGAAAACACTACCAGGCTTTTCTGAATTACAAATTTGTGGTGATACTGGTACAAAATATGCAAGTAGGAATTATGTGAAAGATCCTCATTATGGTTAGCATAAGAGCATGTAGATCCTCGGAACTAGATAATACCATTTTTCATGTCATACTGTATTATGGATGTGCAGCTTAATGTTGGATTTTGCGAAGAGCAAGGAACATTCCCCCCACTGGTTTAAGCACGTTTGTCGCCGTGAATTTCACAGGAATCTTTATTTTCTTTGATGGCTCAATACGAAAGTTGTGAACCAAGTGAGAAATTGCGACTTTCACCTCGGCCAGAGCAAACCTCATTCCTGAAATTGAGACATTATTTACAAGGGTGCCAAAGCTTATTACAAAATGTCATAACTCCTACCGATGCAATTTCTGGGTCCAACGCCAAATGGGACATATGCATACTGATTAATTTTGGATTTATTTTCTGGAGAAAATCGTTCCGGATCAAATTTGTCAGGTTCCGGGAAATACTCTGCGTCGTGATGTAGCCCATAAACTGGAATTATGATGCCTTGACCTTTCTTTAGGACAAATTCAGTTCCCGGAACTTTATATTCTTTTGTACACCCCCGATCCGTCATCATTGGTGGATAAAACCTTAGCGTTTCTAAAAAATATAATTTTTTGAATGCCTTTATATAGTTAATGCATGTGTTAATCATACCATTAATAACCATCTCGAGGTACGTCATCCTGTTGAGAGAATCGTATGAAAATTGGTTGTCATTTTCTTCAAGCACGGTGTCAACTTCCGCTCTTAATTTGTCCTGGACGTCTGGATTTAAAGCGAGAGCATAAGCACAAAAGAGCAAAACCGACTGCGTCGTATCGTATCCACCGAGGATAAAAAGCACGGCGTTGGCAGCGATAACGTCATCATTCATTAATTCGTTAGCCGAAAGTTTTGACTCCTCCGATGACTTGTCCTCTTTGATGATTGCGTCCTTTTCAAAGGAGGACAATTCATTTTCCTCCGTCTTCAACTTCCCCTCCCTCGCCTCCAACATCAACTGGATGAAGTCGTTCCTCTTCTCGTTCTTTGCTTGCCGGTCATGAATAGAACTCTTTATCGCCAAAGCAAAAAAGTCTTGAACCTAAAATTACATGAAATTTGACGCACCCAAATAAAACGTCGTAGCATCTTGTTCTTAAAATTACCTCTCTCTCCAATAACGACAGTCGACACAGATTCGCTAACTTTGGCGCCATTAAGATCAATATTAGCTGGAAAATTTTAAAAATTCCGAACGAAAACTGCAACCTTGCTCCCATTTTTTCAAAAAGGGACGGCTCCTTGGAGGCAAATGCTTGTGAGTCCATCCCACAAACCGCCGTGGCGATAACTTCCATCGTGAACTTTGAGTAAATCAAGGTCAAATCCATCTCTTCACCATTTCTGGATATTTCCTGTTCGACAAACTTTGCCATTTTTTTACCACTTTCGTCAAACAGAGGAAACAATCGCTTAATCTTGCCCGTCGTAAGGGTCGGGCTTAACTTTGATCTCAACGACTTCCACTTTTCGCCCCGTTGAGTGAACACCATTTTACTCAGGAGGAAATCTTCTTCTGCCATCGGGAAGGTTTGGCGGTCGGTAAAGTGGTCAAAATCTTTCACTAGGATGGATTTTAGCAGTTCAGGATCGAGTATCATGAGGGCCAGGGTTCCGAAATCCCTCCCACCGGCCATTTTGTGTTTGTCAGCTTTAAATTTTGCGTACTGATTTCGAACATCTTCGTGGACAGTGACCCCTCTGAGTGTATTGATGATGAGACGGAGCATGCCATGGCCGAGGTATGGAATCCCTTGAGATTCAAAGAACACTTTATGATTGTGATTTTGCACTATGGCAAAAATAATCAGGAGCACGATGAAGACGACGAGCAGAATTAAAAACATTTTAACCCAGATTTTTGCGACACGATTGTTTTAATGTAATACAGCCCTTTATTGGTTTAATGTAAAAAATCGTAAAATGACATATCAACAGACTCAAATAACAATTGCCTTACAACGACTATCAGTTTATGTGGAATTCTAGAATTGTGAAGTTTTTGATGTGATGCGGAGTGTGGCTCGGACTTGAGTGTCACTGGCGTCAGTCATTTTTATAATATTTGGACTCCATGAACCAAGGTCGAGATATGATGTTGCTATACATTTACGTGCAAAAGAGATAACCATGCTCTTCAGATGATACATAATTTGTTATAATGTGCAGGCAAGCATGTATAAAGTGTTTACATTTTGCAGCCTTTACATACTGGATGGGATGGAATATGTGTACGCTGAATCTGTAGAACGCTGGAACTTTGTTAATCACAAAGCCAATATGTATGTACATGTTATATAAACAAAACCAAGTTGTTTTTTGCTCGTAGATTTTCACAATGCAGGCAAGTCTTATTTTTTGTATATCTTCTGCTGGTTGGTGATGTACCGAATTTATAACTGATGTAATATGCATGTTTTTGCAGCAATTTAGTGAGTATTGCATATTTTAACGCCACTGCAAAAAGACCTTCTGTCATTTGGTTGCAAAACAAGTCGTAATTACAGAATCGTATCTGTAATTTCTGAGGCCCACCCTCGGTCCACTTTTCAACTTTGAAGAGCAGCCACTGTGGTAGAACAGAAGAAGATGACTATTGAATTTAAGTCATAATATATTTTTGGACACTCATGGAAAATATAAGTGCATTAAATTAATACATATGAATTTGTTAGTTAGGATTTAATAACTAGATGTATAGTATTATGAAGGGATTTAATTAAACAAATATGTATGCATATTCCAACACTTTGATGATTCCGTAATTAAAACATGATCAAAACCCTAAAAACTAATTTTACGGTGACGTGATCAAGCAAATGCTCGTTTAGTGTGAACTCAGAACTGTGGTAAACTTTAGGTCAAAAATTAAATAAAGTACATGCATAAAATGCGAAAAATGCGAAAAATGCGAATACTCATATTTTCGAGGAAACATATTCATCCAAGGTTTGGTACTTGATTTCGTCGTTGAAGCTGCCAAAATACCCTAATCCATTTTGTGTTAATTGCCAAAGGAGCAAAACAATTTTTCAGGAGGGCATCATAAAAAGGATACATTTAAAATGCAATATTGCTATACTTAATTGAAGAGATTCAGAGAACTTTTACCTACTCAAGTAAATTGATAACAACAAATGACTACTTTATAACTGTTTGTTAGTTTATTTACCACTGATTTTTCCTTGATTATTCTAAGGGTTTAATATAAATATACGTACATATGCATTAGCTCTATGAAAATTGGTGAAAACCCACAATCCACATTCTCACAATTTGTAATGGACCACATATTCAAGTCCAAGGACTGATTCAACTTTTGACAGAAATTCATTACAAAAAATAAATTTTCAAGAATTCATGACTAGGACGGAATCCTGCTAAATAATATTAATCGGTTTTCTTGACAGCTTATCGACATGATTTATTGGCAGTTATTTATACAACTTGTATAGGTAGGTTCGTAACTTAAGCTGTTGGAATTTAATTTTTAAAAACAAGGAAGAACTTTCAGGGTTTCCTAAATTGTGAATTTGTGGTGATACTGATACATACAAAGGAAAGAAGGAATTACGTGAAAGATCGTCTTTCTTTTTAAGATCCTCGTCATTAATTTCTCATGTAATACTACATTGTGAGTGTGTAACTTAATGCTGAATTTTACGAAGGGCAAGAAACATGCCCCCCACCGGTTTAAGCACTGTGGTCGTCGTGAACTTCACAGGAATCTTCGTTTTCTTTGATGGCTCAATATGAAAGTTATGAACCAAATGAGAAATTGCAGCTTTCACCTCGGCCAGAGCAAATCTCATTCCTGAAATTGAGAAATTATTTAAAATGTGCTAACAATTTTTACAAAACTTTAAAATTCATACCGACGCAATTTCTGGGTCCAACGCCAAAAGGGATATATGCATACTGATTAATTTTAGCTTTATTTTCTGGGGAAAATCGTTCCGGATCGAATTTTTCAGGTTCTGGGAAATACTCTGCGTCGTGATGTAGCCCATAAACTGGAATTATGATGCCTTGACCTTTTTTGAGGACGAACTCAGTTCCAGGAATCTTATACTCTTTTGTACAACCCCGATCCGTCAGCATTGGTGGGTAAAACCTTAGCGTTTCTAAAAAAGGCGTTCAATTTTAACTACTGTGCTCTTACTTAGACTTGTCACCTCATTTGCATACTTCTCACTATGTCAATTTTCATGAATACGTCAAAATATCCAAATGAACAAATAATTCCAAATTGCGAATGTTAATGCATACCATTAATAACCATCTCAAGGTACGTCATCCTGTTGAGAGAATCGTATGAAAATTCGTAATCATTTTCCTCAAGTACAGTGTCCACTTCCGCCCTCAATTTCTCCTGGACGTCTGGATTTAAAGCGAGGGCATAAGCACAAAAGAGCAAAACCGACTGCGTCGTATCATATCCACCGAGGATAAAAAGCACCGCATTTGCAGCGATAACGTCATCATTCAATAATTCGCTTGCCGAAATTTTTGACTCCTCCGAAGATTTGTCTTCTTTGATGATAGCGTCCTTTTCAAACGAGGACAATTCACTTTCTTCCGTTTTCAACTTCCCCTCCCTCGCCTCCAACATCAACTGGATGAAGTCGTTCCTCTTCTCGTTCTTTGCTTGACGGTCATGAATGGAACTCTTTATCGCCAAAGCGAAAAAGTCTTGAACCTAAAATTACAAGAACTTGATGTACCCAAAGAAAGCTTGGTAGCATTTTTATTTTTGAATTTACATCTCTCTCCAATAACGACATTCTACAGAGATTCGCTAACTTGGGCGCCATTAAGATTAAGATTAGTTGGATAACTTTAAAAATTCCGAACGAGAACTGCAATCTTGCTCCCATTTTTTCAAAAAGGGACGGGTCCTTGGAGGCGAAAGCTTGCGAGTCCATCCCACAAACCGCCGTGGCGATAACTTCCATCGTGAACTTTGAGTAAATTAAGGTCAAATCTATCTCTTCACCATTTCTTGATATTTCCTGTTCGACAAATTTTGCCATCCTTTTCCCACTTTCGTTGAACAGGGGAAACAATCGCTTAATCTTGCCCGTCGTAAATGTCGGACTTAACTTTGATCTCAACGACTTCCATTTGTCGCCTTTTTGAGTTAACACCATTTTATTCAGAAGGAAATCGTCTTCCGCCATCGGGAAGGTTTGACGGTCAGTAAAATGGTCAAAATCTTTCACCAGGATGGACTTCAGCAGTTCAGGATCGAGTATCATGAGGGCCACGGTTCCGAAATCTTTTCCACCGGCCATTTTGTGGTTTTCCGCTTTAAATTTTGCGTACTGATTTCGAACATCTTCGTTGATAGTGATCCCTCTAAGCGTATTGATGATGAGGCGAAGCATGCCATGGCCGAGGTATGGAATTCCTTGAGATTCAAAGAACACTTTGTGACTTCGATTTTGTAGTACGGCCAAAATAATCAGGAGCAAGATGAAGACGACGAGTAGAATTAAAAACATTTTAGCGCAGGTTTTAGCTACACGAGTGTTTTATAATGTAACGAAGTTCTTTGTTGGTTTGGCGTCGAAAATCCTAAAATGACATTTCAAGAGACTCGAATAACAATTGCCTTACAAAGGCTATCAGTTTTTGCTACACGAGTGTGTAATAAACCCAGTTCTTTGATGGTTTGGCGTAAAAAATCCTAAAATAACATCAACAATTACCTTAAAAATACTACCAGTTGATGTAGAAAATTAGAATTGTTACGTTTTTAATGTGATGCAGAGTGTGGCTCGGACATGACTGTCACTGGCGTTGGCGTCAGTCATTAATTTGGAATATTAGGACTCTGTATGATGTTGTTGCTATACATTTACATGCTAAAGAGATGGACTGCTACATGTCTATTCTTTTCAGATGATGCAAGCAAAATGTGTAATGTACACACGAGTATAATGTGTTTACATTTTGCAACCTTCACATATATTGAATATATAAAACGCTGGAATTTTGTTAATCGCAAAAAAACGGATAAGTATGTATGTACATATGTATTACGTAAATAAAACCAAGTTGCCCACTTACTCGTAAACTTCATAGCAAACCTTCACGCTGCCAACTGCAGGCAAGTCTTATTTTTTGTATATCTTCTGCTGGTTGGTGATGTACCGAATTTATATCTGACGTAACATGCATGTTTTTGCAGCAATTTAGTGAATATTGCTTGATTTTAACGCCACTTCATAAGAACATATTTATCTGTCATGTGCTTGCATAGCTCGTCATTACAGAGTATCGCGTCTGTCATTTCTATTGCTGAGGTCCTCGGTCCAACCTTCAGTTAGAGGAGCAAAAAACACTGTCAACTGTGGAAAAGAAGAAGCTGAATATTGATGTCATAACTATTTTTTTTGACAGTCATGAGTGCATTAAATTAGCACGTCTTTGTCATGCAGTTTATGATTTAACAATGTATAGTAAAGCGATTTAATTAAACAATTATGTATACATATTCCAACACTTTGATGGTTTTGTAATTAAGACATGACCAAAACGCTAAAATCTATTTTATTGTGACATAATCAATCCTTGATTTCATTTAGTGTGAACCGTGGTACTAACTTTAGGTCAAAAATTAAATAAAGTACTTAAATTGTGTAAAATTCGAATACGCTTATATTGTTTTTTCTAGGCTACAGTACTTCATGTTTTTCAGCAAAAATATTTATAACAGGTTTGGTACTTGATTTGATTTCGTCGTCAGTCGTTGAAGCTGCCAAAAGACCTAAATCAATAAAGGAGCCTTCTCCCAAAACAAAATTTTTCAGGAAAGCATGCATCATACACGACAGAAGAAGCAATTAAAATGCAATATTGCTATGCTTAATTGAAGCGATTCAGAGCACTTTTACCTACTCAAGTAAATTGATAACAACAAATGAGTGTACTTTATAACCGTTTGTTAGTTTATTTGCCACTGTTTATCACTTGATTACTATAAGGTTTTAATATGTGTGCATATACATTAGCTCCATGAAAAACGTAGATTGTGAGAATTGAAGGAGAATGGCGAAGCTTATTAAATATGCAAATTCCAAATGTCGCAAATTATAATGGGTTATTAAATAGGACTAATTAAAGTATTGACTACACTAGTATTGACTACAAATTTTCATGAATTCATGACTAGGACGGAATGTTACTAATATTAATCGGTTTTCTGGATAGCTTCTCGAAATGATTTATTGGCAGTTATTTATACACTTGCATAGGTTCGTGAGTTCAAAACTTGTTGGAATTTAGATTTTTAAAAATAAATGAATTCTTAAAAAAAAGCTTAGGTGAGGCTTGCTTAAAAGAGGAAAACAAGCTGTTATCATCGTGTACTAAAATAATATGCGTAGTCAATGTTCATCTCACGATTTATAATTTTTGGCAAATATAACAGCAAATTATATGCGTTTGGGACAATATACCTCGCCGTGGGCCGTGATTAAATGTTTGATATAAATATATCTTTTAATGATCATAGCTAAATTTGAACTATATTTAGCTATGATACGTATTGCAATAATTAAACTTCGTTATTATTTGATTCTGTTATCTTTGATGACTTCCATGAATATGTTTCAAAAATCAGCCTACATATAGTTGAAAAATTAAGTGTTCTGAACTATGATATTTTATATTATAAATAACCCACACTTCGTAAATTTGATCAGCAAGCGATTATTAATAATGAAATTAACTAAATCCCGCATCATTCCGTATGAATTATTTATCGACATTGGACACTAATAAATTTTAAAATATATTTTAATTCTTCGTATCACAAACTGGCCCACGGCGAGGCAAATTGTCCCAAACGCATATAATTTGCTGTTATATTTGCCAAAAATTATAAATCGTGAGATGAACATTGACTACGCATATTATTTTAGTACACGATGATAACAGCTTGTTTTCCTCTTTTAAGCAAGCCTCACCTAAGCTTTTTTTTAAGAATTCATTTATTTTTTTGTTTTTAAGCCTAAAAATAAGAGTCCCTCCCAAATTCACTTCACCATCCCCTATGGTATAGATGCATTGCATTGCATACCAAATTAATTATAACCTTTGAGTGCGGATGCGTTACATATCAGATAAATTCCCTATATGTAAGTGTAAATACACTGTAGAAATCTGGTATATTCAGGTAGGTATTGTTTTCTCAGTATCAAAGTTTCTGCGTGGTATTAAAATTATACCGGTCCGTAAAAATTTGCTGCCGATATGGCAAAACTTTAGTACGGAGCTATTGCATGTTCTATTACACTCTTAAAAACCCGGTGTTAATCGTCACCAAACGGTGTGCGTATGTGACTTCACCGTGCGGTAATAAGGTGTCTCACCTAAAATTAACACTAGCTAGTGACAATTTGTCCCCATGCCTGGAAGATTTATCATCAGGCTGTGAAAAACATATCACCTTTTGGTTAAGTGGCATATGTACACCGTTTGGTTACGATTAGCACCGGGTTTTAAGAATGTACATTCTTAACTTCAGTTAAGACTCTTAACTTAAGAGTGTGCATAAATATTAGATATACACATAATATATGTAGATGTACATATTTCCATATGCCAGTACAGGTCTCAATTGTTTCACTTATGTTGGTTACTAATGGAAACCTCGTATTTAGGTATGCATGATAAGTAATGGAGGACTGATAGAAGTAACGTAACTGGTTGCAGATACCATCAAGAAAAGTTTTTCATTTCTTATCCGATTTCGCTCGGGTTTGCTTTAAATGACGCGTTATAGATTTCTGCACATGAAAATCAGGGTCTCGCACTATCATTGCATGGAAAAAATGAATTTGTCAGTCGTTTGAAAGTTTAAAATCGATTTTAAATGCGTTAAAATAAGATTGCCATGTCTCTAGACCTGACGGGCATCATCTACCCAGCAAGGTCTGCACGATTGTCTTTTACACCATTTTGATACGATTAGCCGTTTTGTCACAAACTTGAGTGGAACTTTGGGAGGGGGGGTCTGTATGCATTCTTAGGCTTCGCCGTAACCATGCACTTTTTCATGTGGTCATGGTTACTATGCCTCACCTAAGAAACAAGGAAGAACTTTCAGGGTTTCCTACATTATCAATTTGTGTTGATACTGATATTGGTACATACAAACGAAATAAGGAATTACGTGAAAGATCGTCCTTATTTTTAGCATAAGAGCATTACTCGGAACTAGATAATACCATTTCTAATGTAATACTGTATTGTGGGTGTGTAACTTAATTCTGGATTTTGCGAAGAGCAAGAAACATGCCCCCCGCCGGTTTAAGCACGTTTGTCGTCGTGAATTTCACAGGAATCTTCGTTTTCTTTGATGGTTCAATACGAAAGTTGTGAACCAAATGAGAAATTGCGGCTTTCACCTCGGCAAGAGCAAACCTCATTCCTGAAATTTAGAGATTTTATAAGGGTGCCAAAAATTATTACAAAAATTTATAATTCATACCGACACAATTTCTGGGTCCAACGCCAAACGGGACATATGCACACTGGTTAATTTTAGCTTTATTTTCTGGAGAAAATCGTTCCGGATTAAATTTTTCAGGTTCCGGGAAATACTCTGCATCGTGATGTAGCCCATAAACTGGAACTATGATGGTTTGACCTTTCTTTAGGACGAATTCAGTTCCAGGAATCTTATACTCTTTTGTGCACCCTCGATCCGTCAGCATTGGTGGGTAAAATCTCAGCGTTTCTAAAAAAGGCGATCAATTTTACCTAGTGTGCTCTTACTTCGGATTAGACTCGTCACCCCATTTGTATAAATCTCATTATGCCAATTTTCGGCGATATGGGCTTTCCATGTTGAATAAACTCTAGCTCTCTCGCGAACGCGTCAAAATATCCAAATGAGGTGACACGCGCAAATAATTCCAAATTGTAAATGTTAATTCATACCATTAATAACCATCTCGAGATACGTCATCCTGTTGAGAGAATCGTATGAAAATTCGTAATCATTTTCTTCAAGTACATTGTCCACTTCCGCTCTTAATTTGTCCTGGACGTCTTGATTTAAAGCGAGGGCATAAGCACAAAATAGTAAAACCGATTGGGTTGTATCATATCCGCCGAGGATAAACAGCACCGCGTTGGCAGCGATAACGTCATCATTCAATAATTCGTTAGCCGAAATTTTTGACTCCTCCGAAGACTTGTCCTCTTTGATGATAGCGTCCTTTTCAAAGGAGGACAACTCATTTTCTTCCGTCTTCAACTTTCCCTCCCTCGCCTCCAACATCAACTGGATGAAGTCGTTCCTCTTCTCGTTCTTTGCTTGCCGGTCATGAATAGAACTCTTTATGGCCGAAGCGAAAAAGTCTTGAACCTAAAATCACAAGAAATTTTATGTTCAAGAATTTTATGTACCCGAAGAAAGCGTCGGAGCATTTTTATTTTGAAATTACATCTCTCTCCAATAATGACATTTTGCATAGATTCGCTAACTTTGGCGCCATCAAGATCAAGATTAGCTGGATAACTTTAAAAATTCCGAACGAAAATTGCAACCTTGCTCCCATTTTTTCAAAAAGGGACGGCTCCTTGGAGGCAAATGCTTGTGAGTCCATCCCACAAACCGCCGTGGCGATAACTTCCATCGTGAACTTTGAGTAAATTAAGGTCAAATCTATCTCTTCACCATTTCTTGATATTTCCTGTTCGACAAATTTTGCCATCTTTTTCCCACTTTCGTTAAACAGGGGAAACAATCGCTTAATCTTGCCCGTCGTAAGGGTCGGGCTTAACTTTGATCTCAACGACTTCCACTTTTCGCCCCGTTGAGTGAACACCATTTTACTCAGGAGGAAATCTTCTTCTGCCATCGGGAAGGTTTGGCGGTCGGTAAAATGGTCGAAATCTTTCACCAGGATGGACTTTAGCAGTACAGGATCGAGTATCATGAGGGCCAAAGTTCCAAAATCTTTCGCTCCGACTATTTTGTGTTTATCAGCTTTAAATTTTGCGTACTGATTTCGAACATCTTCGTTGATAGTAATCCCTCTAAGCGTATTGATGATGAGGCGAAGCATGCCATGGCCGAGGTATGGAATTCCTTGAGATTCAAAGAACACTTTGTGACTTCGATTTTGTAGTATAGCCAAAATAATCAGGAGCAAGACGAAGACGACGAGCAGAATTAAAAACATGTTAAGACTGGGTTTTTGCGAGCTTTCTTTGTTGGTTTGTCCTAAAACAATATATCAACAGACTGAAGCAACAATTGCGTTGCAACTAAAGACTACCAGTTTATGTGTAATTGTAAAACGGTTAAGTTCTAAATGTGATGTTGCCTGTGGCTCGGACATAAGTGTCACTGGTGGCCGGTGGCAGTCATTAATTTATACTATTCGGACTCTATGAACCTACATATGAGCGATCTTGTAAGGATGTGCTATTCCATGCTATGAACCAAGGTCATGGTATGTCGTTGCTATACAAAGGAGATGTCCAAGCTTTTCAGATGATGCATAATTGGTTATGATTTGCTGCCTTTACTACATGATGGATGTTGAAAGGCTGGAACTTTGTTACTCGGTTAAGCGAATATGCGTGTACGTACAGTGGCCGCGGAAGCAGTGGGGACATTGTAGGATAGGGGAGGGACGGCGTTTTCATAACATGGGCAGATAATGGGACATTGCCCCTCTGTCCCCACGCTTCCGCGGCCACTGTTTACGTATTTGATACATGACACAATCAAGTTGCCTTTTTTGCTCGTAAATTGTCACACTGCAGGCCAGGCTTAATTTTTTGTTTATCTCCGTCCTGATTGGTGATGTACCGAAGTTATATCTGATGTAACATACTGACGTTTTTGCAGCAATTTAAAATTTAGCGAGGATCCCATGATTTTAACGCCACACTTCAAAAGAACATGTCTGTCTCGGGATTTTGTCATGTGGTTTTACAACTCGTGATTGCAGGTTCACGTCGGTCATTTCGGAGGAACATCCTTGATCCAAATTTCAATTAGAAGAGCAGCAAAAAACACTGAATGAAGTAGATTCACAGTGCCATAGAATTCAAGTCATTCGGCAGAAAAAGATCACCACCGCAGGCATTCAATAAAATGTGAATATTGGAGTCATAATTATTCTTTTGAGAGTCATGAGAAAATGTGAGTGCATTAAATTTATTAGCACACATCTTTGTCAGTTAGGATTTAATTATGTATGGATATTCCAACACCCTTAATTAAAACATGATCAAAATCGTATGGCGACATAATCAAACAAATCCTTGATCTCGTTTAACGCGATTTGTGATAATAAGTGAATTAACTCAAAAATTAAATAAAGTACTTCAAATATGTTTCAATGATTGCAAATATGTGAATATTTAGGTTACTATATTTTACATTTTCCATCAAAAAAATATACGTAAAGGGTTTGGTCTTTGATTTTTTTGAAGTTTTCAGATTTTGTGACTTATGTAAGAAAAGTATTTTCATATATACACTCATACTTACATATATGGATACAATAAGTTGAATTCGAGCCATATATTTTGTAGCAATGAGACAAGGGTGAAATATTAATTTACAGGCATTACTTTGAATTTGTATCATGCATATTATTGCTAAGAATTTAGTTTAGATCAGGATTCTTCAATCACTAACGGCTACGGCCGGTGTTTCATTAGTGTAAATTGTTTCAAATCATCCTGAGTTTAGATATTTACCACGATTGCTTGACATTTAGTATCTAGGTAACGCTTGGGTCTTTTAACGGTTGCGACAAATGGTGGAGTTGCAAAAAAAATAATTATTTTTTATTTCGTTGGTACACGTCCCCTGGGCCTGTGTACCAACGACTTTGACCTTTAATAACTTTTGAATGGGCAAACATAGAGATTTAATTCGTTAAGATGAAATCATCGTAATTTTTAGCTTGATTTTTTAAGATCAAAATCTCGAGGGTACTATTTCGAAAATTAAATTTGAAATCCCAGTGTGCAGCGTTTGTTTAGCCCGAGTCAGGGTCAGTGTCAGCTTCTAAATTTTAGTCAGACGACCTGCACCAACTACTATTCGTAATCGGCAAAAATGTTCCCACAATCCAGCATGCAAAATTTCAGCTCCTTGACCAATTTTAAAACCAGTACCGGTCTCAGTCTTCTGGGCTGGGCCCACAAAAATATTCATATTCAATGAATATGAACATTATTCATATCCTTTAGTCTGATGTGCCCTTACCCATGATACCGAATTTTATTTTTATTCTACCAGTATAAAAAGCAGCGTGGGTCACCTTGTTAAATCTCTGTGGAAAAAATCTTAATATTTCATATTTTTCAATCTGGTCTACCCCCACTCGTGCCAAATTTCAGTCTTCTACGAGTGTCTAGAGCGAATTTCATCTTTTTAATACAATTTTTGAAAATCGATATGGGTCACCCCCTTAAAGGTCCCTCCACATAAAAATTTCAATTCATATTCTTTCATCAGGGGCCATTAGCAATCTCTGCACTAATTTCAGCTCGATGGATAATTTTCAAAAATCGGTATGGTATCGGGTCCCTCCAGTCGGAAATTTTCCCAATTTAAATTCATATTCTTCAATTAGACACCATTAGCAATCTCAATGCCAGTTTACAGCTTTCAACGAGGATTTTGAAATACTCCACCCACCCAGATGACCACCACAGGTCAACCACTTAATTGATTTCGCCCATCTTCAAACTTAACTCCTCATTTGTCACATACTACATGTATACCAAATTTAAAGTCGCTAGGCCGAGTTTAACGAAAGTTATCGTAAAATGATCGGACGGACATGACGGACATGACGGTTACAAAATTACATTTCCAAAACTGTAACCAATGGCATATTTTCAACAATTTTTAGTTTTCTAAAATTGAAAATTTATTTTGTAACTCGGCCATTTGTCGTAACCTTATAGATTGATAAAGTGTCAAATAATCTTGGATATTTATAAATCAAGAGTAGAAGACCTTGTCAATAGCAACTTTATGTTTGTATTGTCATTTTTAAAATTCAAATAAAAGTAGGAACGACTTATGTGTCAACAGGTACGATTTGTAAATTTGGAGTGCAATATGCACTGATTAGTTAGAATTCGCCCCGAACTTCGTTTCATTGCAATTTGTGTTTTAATAATCATAATTTCAGTCAAGAACTACCCTGCAATTGTCCCCGATCTTCGTTTCAGGGCCAGCCACATGCCTTCCTTTGGTTTCAGAGCTGCTGCATTTTGATACTCCATCGGAATCGGTGTCCTTTTGGAGGGTTCGATATCAAAATTATGGACGAGTTGGGCAATCGCCAGCTTCGCTTCGGTCAATGCAAATCTCATTCCTATTCGATTAAAAACCTAAAATTCACCATTTCCGATTTTCCTTGATGTTAGTTTAATCGGTTCATTACCAATGCAATTTCTTGGCCCTTGACCGAACGCAAGGAAAGCATAAGTGTTAAGTTTTCTCTTATTTTCCGGTGAGAACCTCTCAGGATCAAACTTTTCAGGTTCTGGATAATGCCGGTCGTCGTGATGAATAGCCATGATTGGAATAATGACGCCGTCTCCTTTCTTCACCACCATTTCGGTCCCTGGGATCAAGTAGTCTTGACTGCAAGTTCGATTCGTCATTGGTGCTGGTGGGTAAAATCTCAAGGTTTCTGGAATTTTTCGATACAATTTTCAAATTTATCACTTACTTGGCATATTCAACTTGAACGAACATTTCTATACTCACCATTAATGACCATATCGAGATATGTCATTCTGTGTATTGAGTCATATGTGAAATCGCCATCATTTTCATCCAAAACGGCTTCAACTTCCTTCCTTAGCTTATCTTGAATTTCTGGATGAAGTGCGAGAGAATATGCACAAAACAGCAGAAGTGATTGTGTCGTATCAAATCCGGCCAAAATGAATAGTACGCAATTTGACACTATCCCGTCATCATCTAACAAGTTGGCAGTCGACGCTTGACCTTTGACCTCACTCTTTATGATTGCATCCTTCTCAAACGAGTCCAACTCACTTTCATCCGTTTTTAGCTTATCCTCCCTCGCCTCCAACATCAATTGAATAAAGTCGTTGCCTTTTTGCCCCATGTCATTTCTCTCTTTAACCGAAGACTTAATCGCACCTGCAAAAAATTGGTGCACATCATTCCCAAATAATGTAATCCCGAGCCGTTCTGCAAATTTCGGAAAGCTGATCATGACAAAAAACTTGAGAATTGTCCTCCCGTTAAATGAAAGCTGCAGCTTTTTTCCCATCATCTCAAAAATTGAGGGTTCAATTTGATCAAATGCTTGCGAGTTCATGCCACAAACGGCGGAGGCGATCGTGTCCATTGTGAATTTTGAGTATCCGTCGCCCAACTCGATTTCGCCATCGGTCGACTCCGCCATCCTTTCGTCGACATATTTGATCAACTTCTTGGCGCTGTCGTTGAAGAGGGAAAAGAGACGCTTTATCTTTCCCGTGGTGAAAGTCGGGCTCAACTTCGATCTCATTCCCTTCCACTTCTCATCACTGAGAAAGATGAGCATCCTCTTGACGAGAATGTCGCTTTCTGGCATGTTTAATCCACCCCGATTAACAAAATGGTCATAATCTTTGACAAGAATGTGTTTCATAAGATCTGAGTCTGCCACCAAAAAATTTTTCTTGCCGAACTGGGTTCTTCCACCCAACTTGGCGTTAGCCCTTTTTAGTTTGTCGTAATTCATTTGGTAGACAATCATCATGGGCTTTTTCTTCAAAATAAGGTAGATCATGAAGTATATTGTTTTATAAATCCCGTTACTAAAGTGGAAGATTTTCTTCGAGTGAAAGTATTGACGATCTTTAAAATCGGAATACGCGAGGTATGAGGTGAGAAAGACGATGAGAAATACGAAGATCCACAAAATATCGGTGAAAGCAATCATGATTAATTTCGGTTTTGATTCTAAGGTTCTAAGGTTTTAAGATTATTGGTATGCATTAGCTCCATGAAAAATGTGGATTATGATTATTAGGCTGAATAATGAAGTTTACTTACATTCCAGTAGAAATTTGCAGAGTACGTATGATCAAAGTTTTGTGGAACAGAGAAAATTGCAAGAAGTACTTATTTGTGTATGTAAAATGGTTCAACGCGTATTTCAAAAGTTTACTAGTTAAATAAATTTAGCTGTATTGAAAGATCAGTAGATAGATTTTAGCATCATCTGCTCATGGATTAGGTACATGTTGCACAAGTTTATTTGCACTACTAGCGCATGTCTGCTAAAACATTTTACGTCGTCCAGCAAGTCCCATACGTAGATATGCATATGCATATAGAGAATTTGTGGATTTGTTGCTGGTTGAGTTGCAAAATACAGTACATGAAAACAGTATTAATAAAATAACCTTGCCAGGACGTTTTTTGTGCAGCATTGCAATTAGTGGTCCACTGATAAAACAATTTTCATATGTATTTTTGATTTTAGCAATGAAATAGTCAATCGTATTTAGGATTAGAGTTGTGTCGAGCAGGTTAAATAGGAGAATGCACTAACTTAAAATTGAAACGGATCTATCTGAAATAAATGTTATTGTGAATTGTATGAATTAAACGCCGTAATTATTTTACCGGAGAATTAGTTACCAGATTTATTTATCGAACCAAATTTAACATTTTCCTTTCAACATACTCATTTTTCAGCATTTTATTATAGATTTTAATACTCACATTTTCATATAAATCTTAAATATGCAAATTAAATGAAGATACTTAAGTTTAAAGAAGAGTGACACGTATAAATAAAATATAATCGAAATTAATAATTATTATAAAAGTAAATTAAAAATTACACATTACTGTACTGACAATTTAATAATTATATTTTCAGTCAAAAACTACCCTGTAATTGTCCCTGATCTTCGTTTCAGGGCCAGCCACATGCCACCCTTTGGTTTCAGAGATCCTGCATTGTCATATTTCATCGGAATCAGAGTTCTTTTGGAGGGTTCGATATCAAAATTATGAACAAGTTGAGCAATCGCCAGCTTCACTTCGGTCAACGCAAATCTCATTCCTGTAAAAACCGTAATGCGTAAATTTACATATTAGCGTCGGAATGTTGTCAATAATTAATACAAATTTTCTCACCAATGCAATTTCTTGGCCCTTGTCCGAACGGAAGGAAAGCGTAGGTGTTAATTTTCTCCTTATTTTCTTGTGAGAATCGCTCAGGATCAAACTTTTCGGGTTCTGGATAGTATCGTTCGTCGTGATGAATTCCGATTATCGGAACCATTATTGCCTCTCCTTTTTTGACAGTGATATCAGTACCAGGAAGTAAGTAGTCTTGCGTGCAACCTCTGTCTGTGAAGGGAGCCGGTGGATAAAACCGTAAAGTTTCTGCAAAAATGTACGACATTTATTTAAGCCGGGTTTTAAAAGATGGACATATAAGAATTTATTGATGTCTTTGTGCTATACCATTTATGACCATGTCGAGGTACGTCATTTTATGTATCGACTCGTAAGTGAAATCGCCGTCGTTCTCTTCTAATGCGGTTTCAATTTCTTTCCTCAATTTGTCCTGAATGTCTGGGTAAATAGCGAGCACATATGCACAAAACAACAAAAGCGATTGTGTCGTGTCAAATCCGGCGAGGATAAAAAGCACGCAATTCGAAACGATGCCGTCATCATCCAAAAGTTCGGCAGTCGACGCCTGACCCTTGACCTCGCTCTTTATGATCGCATCCTTCTCAAAAGTGTCCAACTCACTTTCATCCGTTTTTAGCTTATCTTCCCTCACCTCCAACATCAACTGAATAAAGTCGTTGCCTTTTTGTCCCGTTTTAGTTCTCTCTTTAACCGAAGACTTAATCGCACCTGCGAAAAACTGGTACATCTCCGCCCCAAACATCGACATTCCCATCCACGAAGCAAACTTTGGAAAATTGAACATAATCATAAAGTTTATTATACTTTTCGGACTGAAAGAAACTTGCATCTTTTTTCCCATCAGTTCAAAAATTGAGGGTTCCGTTTGATCGAATGCTTGCGAATTCATGCCACAAACGGCGGAGGCGATCGTATCCATTGTGAACTTTGAGTATCCGTCGCCCAAATCAATTTCGCCATCGGCGGATTCCTCCATCCTTTCGTCGACATATTTTACCAACTTCTTTGAACTGTCGTTGAACAGGGAGAAGAGACGCTTGATTTTTCCCGTGGTGAAAGTAGGACTCAACTTTGACCTCAACCCCTTCCACTTGTCGTCATTGAGAAAGATGAGCATCTTCTTGACGAGAAGGTCGCTTTCGGGCATGGAGAACCCACGCCGGTTCACGAAATGGTCAAAATCTTTTACGAAGACGTGTTTTAAAATATCCAAATCTGTCACCATATAGTTTTTCTTGCGCATTTCGGTATTTCCTCCCACCTTGGCACCAACTTTTGTCATTTTATCGTAATTTGACTGGACTACATCAAACATGCTATTCTTCTTCCAAAGCATTAGGTAGAACATGTTGTAAAAAGCGTGGCCCAAGTAGAAAATATTCCTCGAGTGAAAGTACCGGCTTTCTCGAAAAGCAGCATAAACGAGGTATGAAATGAGGAAGAAGATGAGAAATACGAAGATCCATAATGCATCCGTAAAGGCAATCATGGTTAATTAATCTAGGGATTTAATATTTATACTTATTTAATATTTTTGTGACCAGTTTTTAACGAAATTTACTTACATTTTCAATATTCAGTTGTAGCAAAGAGCAGTTTGCACAGGGGTTGACAGCAGCGTGCAGAATACAGATACTTGCTGGTATTTAACGGACATGAATTTAGCATTTTGCATCATCTGCTCCATCAAATAAGAGGCATGGTACATTGTATTCCTCTGTCGTTATGCTTCTAGAAGAGCCCAGTTTCGCTCAGTTTTTTTGCTACATGAGTCAGAAATGGGCTTGCAATCTTTCATCATATGGCAAATCATCGTAAAGTTGACCATGAAAAGGACAATGCCGCAAAAACAGGTAATAATAGAGTTACTATACCATATGCATATATCAAGCTCGTTATCTGCTTGAGTTAAACATGAAAACAATAAAATGGCCTTGTTTTGTATATCAAGCTGTTGAATAATCTTCGGTCAATGTTTGTAATTTTATTGGTGACGGAATTGTCAATAGAATTAAAAGATAATGCTGGAAAGATCAGGATATAAATTTTAGTTCAAATGGAACTGTCTAATCAATACGAATGTATATTTTGTCTGGTATGCATGCATATATTTTAATTTCAACTCGAATAAAAATTATTGCATAAATTAAACAACTGTCGATACTTTATTCCTGAGATTTATAGAAATAGTGGAAAATTAAGAAATAGCGATTATGAAAATGGAAACTTATTTTTTGTACCCAAAGTTAAGTCTGGCTACAATTCATTTCTTCATAAAGTAATGATTAGATATATTTACATAATACTTCACGGAAAGTTAAAGACTTTTCACTACTTTTCAGTCAACTGCAGGAGTCCTTCGCTTGAGGGCCAGCCACATCGTTCCATCCTTGGGTTTCAGAGATCCTGCATTTTGATATGCCATCGGAATTAGCGTTCTTTTGGAGGGTTCGATATCAAAATTGTGAACGAGTTGGGCAATCGCCAGCTTCACCTCCGTCAATGCAAATCTCATTCCTGCAAAAACCATAATAATTTTGTCAAGGAATATTGCAAATACTTGTATTTCCAATTGATATGTTAAATCATTCTCTCACCAATGCAATTTCTAGGCCCTTGTCCGAACGGAAGGAAAGCGTAGGTGTTAATTTTTCCCTTATTTTCCGGTGAGAATCGCTCAGGATCAAACTTTTCGGGTTCTGGATAGTACCGTTCGTCGTGATGAATTCCAAATATCGGAACTATCACTACTTCTCCTTTCTTAATAGTGATATCAGTACCAGGAAGCGAGCAATCTTGAGTGCAAGCTCGATCCGTAGTGGGGGCGGGTGGGTAAAATCGCAGGGTTTCTGGAATTTTACATAAGAAATGCATATATGCCAATTAAGTATTCTGCAAGTACAAAATTTGTACACAAATGTACCCAAATATATTAAGTGAATTCGAAAGAACACTACTCATTACTAATGCTCACCATTAATGACCATGTCGAGGTACGTCATCTTGTGTATCGAATCATAGGTGAAATCGCCATCATTTTCATCCAAAACGGCTTCAACTTCCGTCCTCAGCTTTTCCTGAATTTCGGGATAAATTGCGAGGGCATAGGCACAAAATAACAAAAGTGATTGTGTCGTATCAAATCCAGCCAAAATGAATAGTACGCAATTTGACACTATTCCGTCATCATCCAACAGGTCGGCAGTCGACACTTGACCTTTGACCTCGCTCTTTATGATGGCATCCTTCTCAAAACTGTCCAACTCACTTTCATCCGTCTTCAGCTTATCTTCCCTCACCTCCAACATCAACTGAATAAAGTCGTTCCCTTTTTGGCCCGTTTCGTTTCTCTCTTTAATCGACGATTTGATCGCACGTGCGAAAAATTGGTGCATATCCTCCTCAAACATTGTAATGCCAGCTCCCTTAGAAATTTTGGAAAATCCGAGCAGGATCAAAAACTTGAAAATATTCTTCGAGTTAAAAGTAATTTGCAGCTTTTTTCCCATTAACTCAAAAAGCGAGTGTTCAGTTTGATCGAACGCTTGCGAGTTCATGCCACAAACGGCGGAGGCGATCGTGTCCATTGTGAATTTTGAGTATCCTTCGCCCAAGTCGATTTCGCCATCGGTCGACTCCGCCATCCTTTCGTCGACATATTTCACCAACTTCTTTGCACTGTCGTTGAACAGGGAGAAGAGACGCTTAATCTTTCCCGTGGTGAAAGTCGGGCTCATTTTTGATCTCAATGACTTCCACTTCTCATCATTCTGAAAAATGAGCATCTTATTCGCGAGAATGTCATGCTCAGACATTTGGAAACGACGGTTCACAAAATGATCGAAATCTTTGACAAGAATTTGCTTCAACATGTCTGAATCTATAACAAAGTAATTAGCGACCCCCATCACCATTTTCCCCGCAATGGACACTTGCGCTTTTTTCATTTGTTCGTAACTCACTTGAATGATGGCAAGTCTGCCTTTTTTCTTGTAGATCAAGTAGTAGAAGGCAGTTATTACAATGTTTCCCATGTTCAAGACTTTCTTCGACCGGAAGTACAAATTTTCTCTGATAATCGAATAGACGAATAACATGACGAAGAAAACAACCAGATACAAAAGTATCCACAAAATTCCGGTGATGGAAATCATTGCAACTTTACTAAGGTTTGCTGCTTTTTGGGTAATTAAGGATGCAATTAAATTTGCGACACTGTTTTGATTAAGGTGAATTAATTATTCTTAAATTAATTAATCTGTAAGTTCTTACTTGCAGCACGAGTAGCAGCTTAATTCTGCCCAGTGGTTTGAAATGTCATGCATGTACACATACATAAAATTGTTGTTTTGGCTTTGCTCACCTTCACAATAAACCATCGTAAAACGTAACTTGCTGAAGACGAGTAACAGAGATGAGTCAGGTCTCATCCTCAGTCACATGAAATCAGGCAAACAATTGCATCAGTGATATTATAATGGGTATGAGTCTATGGATTAAAGCCAGCAAAAAAATAAATGAAAAAAGAACTATGAAAGATGTCAGTTTGACATGTCGGCATTTGCATACATCTTTAATTATACTAATCTTTTGATTTAATTTATTAATATGAATTCGAATTTTTACGGAATTTTTTTAGTTATCACACTTATTTTACACGAATTTTTACACTCATCATAGTCAAATGATGATTTCTTGTACTATTTATCCGAAACAATTACATGTAAGCCTGATAAAAGTAAATATTATCGAAAGCTAGCAATTTAAGCTGATAAAATCAAGCTAGGGTCAATACTGGTTTAGTGCGGAGTGTAATTTGATTTTAAGCTTATTTTTAAAGTGTCAAGAAATTCCGTCTACGTAAACGAATTTTTAAGAATACCCGAAGGGACGCGTGAATAATGGAGCAGCCAATCGCGTGGGCTGAGTCCTATTCTGGAGTAATTAAGTGATTCAAATAATTTGGTAGGCTTATTAATTTATTACTTGCTTTCGAATTAGACTTGAAAGACGTGCGAGGTGTGTCATCTAACAATATTATTACTTTCAGATATAATATATTTTTTTTAAACCGGCGTTTAATGCTGAAATTATTAACGCCTAAATTTATTTGTGTTTTGTTCGTAAGGATAACGCGATAAATTATGTCATCACACTCGTACCTGAGAATTATAATGCGTTATATCAGATAATACTGTAAAAAAATCTAACTATCGTAGTTTGGAATTTGTATGTAAACTGTATGTATGCAAATATTCCTAAATTGTTTCAGAAAAATTAATACGAAATAATGTAAGAATATGTATTTTTGTCATATTTTAGACTGGTATGGTATTTGGTGTTTATATGTATAGGATAATTTCACTAATTAGGATTCATTAATCGCCGTTCTTCTTTTCAAAGCCAGCCACATCCCACCCTTTGGTTTGAGAGATGATGCATTTTCAAATTTCATCGGAATTGGCGTTCTTTTGGAGGGTTCGATATCAAAATTGTGAACGAGTTGGGCAATTGCAAGTTTTACTTCGGTCAATGCAAATCGCATTCCTGTAAAAAATCATTATGCATAAAATGTTGTAAATAATTAATACAAATTCTCTCACCAATGCAATTTCTTGGCCCTTGACCGAACGGGAGGAAAGCGTAGGTGTTAAATTTTCCTTTATTTTCCGGCGAAAATCGCTCCGGGTCGAATTTTTCAGGTTCTGGATAGTACCGTTCGTCATGATGAATAGACATTATTGGGACAATAATTCCGTCTCCTTTCTTCACCACGATATCAGTCCCAGGAATCAAGTAGTCTTCAGTACAACCACGATCAGTGGCCGGTGCGGGTGGATAAAATCTCAAGGTTTCTGGAATTTTATACAAGATGAAAGTAAGTACTTACTTAGGATTACTTATCACTTATTTATTGTGTAAATTCGAATTAACTCAGTTCTTACCATGAATGACCATATCGAGGTACGCCATTTTATGTATCGAGTCATAAGTAAAATCGCCATCATTTTCATCCAAAACGGCTTCAACTTCCTTCCTCAGCTTATCTTGAATTTCCGGATGAATTGCGAGAGCATATGCGCAAAACAGCAAAAGTGATTGTGTCGTGTCAAATCCGGCGAGGATAAAAAGCACGCAATTCGAAACGATGCCATCATCATCCAAAAGGTCGGCAGTCGATACTTGACCTTTGACCTCGCTCTTTATGATCGCGTCCTTCTCAAAACTGTCCAGCTCACTTTCATCCGTTTTTAGCTTATCTTCCCTCACCTCCAACATCAACTGAATAAAGTCGTTCCCTTTCTGCCCAGTTTGGTTTCTCTCTTTAATCGAAGATTTAATCGCACCTGCGAAAAATTGGTGCATATCTTTGTCAAACATTGTCATCCCGATCCGTTGAGAAAACTTGGGAAGCAGGATCATGACAAAAAACTTGAAAAAAGTCTTCGCAGTAAATGTAAGTTGCAGCTTTTTCCCCATCATCTCAAAAATTGAGGGTTCAATTTGATCAAATGCTTGCGAGTTCATGCCACAAACGGCGGAGGCGATCGTGTCCATTGTAAATTTTGAGTATCCGTCGCCCAAGTCGATTTCGCCATCGGTTGATTCCGCCATCCTTTCGTTGACGTATTGGACTAATTTCTTGGAGCTGTCGTTAAAAAGGGAGAAGAGACGCTTAATCTTTCCCGTGGTGAAAGTCGGGCTCAATTTTGATCTCAATCCCTTCCACTTCTCATCATTCTGGAAAATGAGCATCTTGGTCACCAGGATATCAGTACTTGGCACTTTAATCGATCTTCTGTTCACAAAGTGGTCGAAATCTTTAACCAAGATATGCTTTAACATATCTGAATCTGTCACAAAGTAATTGATGCAGCCCATATCAAAATTTCCTGCAACGGGCGCTTGCGCTTCTCTCATTTGGTCGTAGCTTTCTTGAAGCATCTCCACCAGTCCAATTTTCTTGTAAATCATGTAGTAAAATGAATTTACAAAAGCGTTTCCCAAGTGCAGGATTTTTTTTGAACGGAAATACGAAACTTCTTTTCGCTGAGAGTAGACGAGGTATGAGACAAGAAAGATCACGAGAAAGAGGATAACCCACAAGATATCTGTGACCCCCATGATTGCTGTGATCGATAATAAGTGATAAATTGTACAAAAATTATTTGATGCGAACTACCACTGCACACTGTTGGCTCCCAATGTTACTGAATGATTATGTACATATGAGACGAAACGTGATGATTATATATACCCGAGCTGACAGAGGTGAAGATTTGGTAATGATGCACGCAACGATTTGCTAATTAAGAATCGTCACCAAAATTTAAATGTTGATTTAGTAGCATATGCATACCGAATATTCACCGTTAAGATGCAAGTGGCGATAAAATATTGGTCAGGTATTGATATTTCATTAGGCATAAACAGCGCTTACACTCAGTACCATTTTGGTAGCTAGCTTTGAGTACCTAATCAACGCTGAAATTTCGTTGCTCAAAACTTGAAGATTTAGTAGCACAATATTGGCGTTGATAAATAATTCCTGTACAAGCACCTTGTGGGTACGGAAAAATCAATGCCGGATCGGTGCTCATTATCTTCACCACATCAACACTATCTCAGCATTGCCTGTATGTGAGACGCCACCGCCACTTTTATCTTTCATTTTTTGTTTGTGAATCACATAAAATCAAAGTATCATTCGCATTTATTTCGTCATGTCTGACAAAATTTTAAAGCAATTTTGTGTCGTCGAGTTTATTGCTGACCAGACTATTGAGGTTGTTCCAAAAACTTGGCTTTCAGAAGACAACAAAAAGTGTACATTTCCATAGAACAGGCCGAAGGGTTTTAAAAAAATTCAAGAAGATCCTCATTCACGACCGGACCCTTTATGGAAGAGCTGGGAGATCGTTATCAAGACAAGTTCTGGTAAGACTTTTTTATAGATGCTTTAGACCTAAACAATGATTAAATAATTATGTAATTATTTTTTTGCAGATAGTTTTAATCGTGCTAACACTAAAGCCAAGAAGCATTTAAAGCCAAGTTATATTGATACCAGCGACATTGAAATTGGCTGGATCTTCACAATCCACGGGACAAGTGGATGTTGAAGGTATCTATATGAATTTTTAAGAATTTTACAAATTTAAAGAATATTTAAGCAATTATTTCAATTACTAGGCAATGAAGAAATAAGTACCACGAATCAAGCAATTGAACCAATTCCTATCACAATTAATTATGATGAGCGTCTCTCCACTTTAATGCAGGAATTTCGGGGTATGTAATTATTTTTATTATAAATCGTAAATCGTGGTATAAGTGGATATTGCAATTAATTTCAGCTTTTAACTCAGCATTTCAGGTGACTTCGCTCCAAAATCAACTGATTTTACAAGAAGACATCAAAGACCTGAAAACAATAATATTGCGGTCTCTCAGTACTCCTTCACAGTTACGGTCAAGTAATATCGTTTGGCCAATCAAAAACCAAGAACAATTACAGCAAGTGAACGAGATCTTTGCTGCCGACAATACTTTATTTAATCTCGAGGTAATTTTTAATAATTTTATCTTGTTATGCAATTTTATGTATCAGAAATGGCGTACTAATAACTTATCATATGTACATATATTTTAAAGGTTACGTTCTTCTCGCGACTAGGAGGGGATTCAGTGACGCTTGCTGTCAACAACACGTTAAAGGCAATCATCAAACATGAGTTTGCACTAATTTTGAGGTTCACAGATTCCTCTAACAAAGCGGCATTTGGTGGAACTCTGTGCTGTAAATTAGTTAAAGGTAAAATTCGAATTCCTTATTACTATGTAAACGTCTCGAGAGATATAAAAGCGAGATATTAAAATTAATTTGTTCATTTATTTGGTGTAATTTACAGAATCCGTCCGCCAGTTCTACTACAAAGATGGGAATGTTCTCTCTGAGAAAATAAAGCTGGATTTAGTTGAAAGCAGATTGGATTCATTCATTGCTAAGTGGCTTCGGGATTCAGTTAACAGGGGAGAGGAAGGGAAACAAAAGCGTTCGAAGGCGAAAAATGCAGGCACCGAGGTCAACAAAGCACGGGAGGGTCCAGAGGCGGCTGAGTCAAATGCTGAATCAGATTAGAACCGTACGTGTAACTACAAGTTTGCCACAATCATCAAACAATTTCGAAACAACCCCATTTGTAATAAATAATAGTCTAAGTTGTGTTGAACCTTATCAAAATGACAATATTGTAAATTCATCTCAAATTGAATACAGTAGTAGTAGTAGTGATGATGAAAGTAATCATGAATTACACAATGAGATTGGTAGGATTTCCAACCTTAACCACATGTCGTCCCTTAGAAACTGGGCAGTAAACCACAATATTACTCACGCTGCCTTAAAATATTTATTAGAAATATGTCGCAAGTGGTTACCTACTTATGGCTTACCAATTGATCCGAGAACATTATTACAAACTCAGCGAGAAGTTCGGCAAGATATCGAAGGAGGCCAATTTTATCACTTTGGTTTAGAGAAAGGGTTAGCTAGAATCTTAAATTATAAGCAATTTGGCCAAAAATGTACCAAGAAAGTGGAAGTTAGTGGGGCTCCACTACAACTCCACAACTCAACCCAACTCAACTCAACTCAACCACAACTCCATGGGGCCCTTGATAATTTTAGTGCATTTCCATTCGAAAATTTTATGCAAATAATAAAGCGTATGCTACGTTCTAAAAATGCACCGTTAGCTCTAGTAGTTCGACGGCTATCAGAAATAGATTCAGTCCCCCCTAAATTTTCTGCCCAAAAACTAAATTCCTCTCTAACCCGATTTTTTTGCAACGAAACACAACCAAAATCTTATCCTATTTATTGCAAACAATTAGGGATAGGGTATGCACATAAACTGGGAATTTTACAAAAATTAGACCCCACAATTCTATCAAGGAAGTGTATTCTTCTTCCTTGTAAAAAGAAATATTTTTTCGTTTCATTGTGTAATTCATATGAAATCAATCATACTTAGCTATGTTTATTGCTTATATATGTTATAATTCTGTACATATAAAATATGAATCGATTCTTGTTCCAAATTAATTGTAATAAATAATTTTGATTTTTGGATACGAGATTTGCAATACTCATTTACACATTGTCATTATTTCAATGCCGAAATTTCGTTAAGTACTGTGTAACAAATAACCGGCATTTAGACCATGCTGTTAACTAGGTATTGATTAGGCAACGAAATTTCGTTAAACGAAGATCGAACCTCGTTCATTCGTTACTGGTCATCAACGCCCAATCAATACATGATCCTGTCCCATTTCGTTGCTGTTTCGGCACCAAGAGGTGCAGGTACCCAATCAACGCCTATCTGGCAGCTCGGGTAGCCACTCGTAAATAACATGCGGTTCTTCACTCAATTTCGCTAAAATGCTGTCGCTATGCTGTTGCTGCACCACTCAGGCTATTCGCCACGAAACAGTATTTAGCAGTATCAGTCATTGTCATGAGATTAGAATCATAAAAAATATAGTAAACAAAAAAAAGTTGGTGAAAAGGTAGCACTTTACGTACCAGCGTCATGTTGGTCAATACTTGTGTATGATTATGAGTCACAAAATCCACAGTGCAGCCTTATTTAGCCCGAGTCAGGTTGATATTAATAATTGAGGTGGGTAAACTCATTTATTTTTCGACAGATTTTGCTGATCTTGAAACCTGATTCTTAATTTTGTATATTTTACGCGTGTGCAGAAGTTCAAGTCGATTGGACAAGTTTCACGAGCGTATTCGACTGACAAACAGACAGACGACCATGAACGGGTACATAAGTAAACTTGGGCTAAAAATGTGATTCATAATACCAAACCCAAGAAAATGATTTCTTCAAGTCTTTTTGAGCGTGAGGATGAGTCATGGGAGTGGACAGATTCGAGTGCAATGAATAAATAAATCTAATTAGCTCATAAGGAGTGATGTAAATTTCATGTGTATTTATTTCTGTTAATTAGTTATATTACAGCTACATACATACATAAGAAAAATATCTACTAGCGCACACACTTTTTGTACCACAATAAACCTCATCCCATTTAATGAATTAAACGTATTTAATTAAACGTATTCAAAAGCATGCATATTTTCTATTCTTGCTTGCTTCTAAACTTGAGACAAATCTCCAAATCTGCCGGAGCCTTTGACACGGAAAATACCCTGTCCATCTTGATCGGAATGGGTGTCTTTGGGGTGGGCAAGATTTCAAAGGTTTTGACTAAATGAGCAATAGCTACTTTAGCCTCGATAAGTCCAAACCGCATTCCGATACAGTTTCTTGGGCCCAAACCGAACGGGAGGTACACGTACGGGTTGCGTTTAGCCTTATTCTCTGGAGAAAATCTCTCAACATCAAACTGTTCCGGATTCGGGTAGTAGGCCGGGTCAAAGTGGAATGCCTCTGGGTCAGTCATCACAATCATGCCGGATGGCACGACAAAATCCGACCCAGGAACTTTCCAGGCTTTCGTACACTTTCGTTCTAAACGGGGCTGGCTTTGGTACATTCGTTGCGTTTCTGAAAATTTTTTAAGGTCAAAGTTAAGTAAGGTTTTTGACACTGGACAAAATTGTTGTAAATTTTTGTTTTTCTTACCCGCAATAAACATGTCCAAATAATCCATTTTCGACGCGCTGTCATACGTCACCTCTCCCCCCGTCGACTCCACCGCGGCCTCCACATTTTCCCTCACCTTTTCCTGAAGCTCTGGATTCACAGCGAGCACGTAGCAGGAAAGTGACACCAAATTCGCCACGGTGTCAAACCCGGCGAAAAAGAAGAGAAAACATTGCGCCATGATGGAGTCGTCCGACATTGACATTGCTGTTTTATCCCCATTTTCGCTCTTTTCTCCTTTCCCTTCATGCCTCGCCTCCACCATCAACTGCAGAAAGTCGTCCCTCTTCTCCTTCGATGCCTCCCTCTGTTTCAACGCCGTGGAAAGAATCCCCTTAAAATAGTTGATCACTTCAGCATCAAAGGCTTTGATTTTCAAAAGGGTTGCTATCTTTGGAGCAAATATGAATACGAGAAACTTCATAATTAGAAACTTTGAAGGTTTCACTGCTCTTGTCGCCAGACGGTAAAAAATCGGATCCGGTTCGGACAGTGCGCCTGTCTCGATTCCAAAAACCGTCGCCCCAATAACATCGACGGTGAAACGCCTCGCTAGTTCGGGTATCGTGACGACGTGACAGCCAGTTTCCGGGTTTACTGGAATGTTTCCTACATGAGTTTCCAACCGTTTTCCGGAACTATTAAACTGTGCAAACATCCGACGTAGCTTGCCCGACGTGAAGGTTGGTGAGAGGAACGACCTCATGGCTTTCCACTCCTGGCCGTGAAGAGCAACGAGCATTTTTGACATCATGGGGTCGGTGGTCTTGACATCTCGGCGATCTTCAAAGTGGTCGAAATCCTTGACAAAGACGGCACGAAGGAGGTCAGGATCATTAACGAAGAGAGCGTGCGAGCCTTGCTCGTAAACTCCGCCAAATTTGGCACCAATTTTCTTCAACTCGGCGTAATAGTTTTGATCGAACATGGTCTTCTTCCAGGTTAAAAGTTCACTCCAAGTCGTCCCCTTTTGGACGAATGGGATATTCTTGGACGACCAGAAGGCGGCATGGCGTCGTTGGGCGAGGTGGAAGTAAAGGAAGCCGAGAGAGATGAGGGTGAAAATGAGGATAACGAGTTCCACCCACATTTTGAATTTTATTCTGGATACAAATTTGATAAATTGGTGCTTAGTCAAGTGCACAAGTTTTAATGAGACGTTTAAGCTTGGAGAGTGAGATTTTTATGCGAGAAGCGGGATCGAATTTTGCACGTATAAGTTGGACGTGCAAAATACGAAAGCTTTGGGAGTCTTTTTTTGCAGATCAGTTGACTCGTAGTAATGCTAGGAGGATGCACATACATGTGTATTTACAAGGCGAGTAGGCGGGTTTGTTTGTGATTGTCAATGCCAAGGTCATACAAATGAACTGAAGTTCAGGTATATACAGAACGATGAATAAGAGAATAACGTAACATACGAATGTAATTGCATGTATGTAAAGTGTTGTCTGTGGCACAAGTACATACAAATAATCCGGACTTGTTTGTTGTTGTGGGGCGAGGATATTAATTTTATGACGCACAGAAGAAGGTTAGTTGGGAGAGAAGTTGTGGGTGATAATAAAATATCATGTTATTATTTGTGAATATCAGAACCATGTTTATCAATCGCTCTGATTTATGAAAGTTTCATAAATGCATATAAAAATTTGTAAAATTAAATCTAGTGAATGAATCATATCCGCTTTAGTTTCCTGCATTTCTGGATTTTTTAAATCAAAATCAAAGAAACCTCAACCGCAAGCTAAATATAAGTATTTGCATAAATGATTCCACGTCACATATATTTTTGCCATCAAGGTTGTCCACATTTAGTGATTTAGCTGATTTCTAACTTCTCCTCAGTCAAATGTAGTTATCAATTAAAAAATATATTTCGTTTGCCTAGAATTTTCATTTGCAACGTATGAATTCACGTTAAAAATCTCAAAATGTTTGCGAAAATATCGTTCATTTTCGTTGTATTTGTTCTGCAAATAATTTTGCACTCTGAAAACATCGTGCTAGCTGAACCAGAACCATCCCTCCAATTTTGGTTCCCCATACTTTCAAACGGCCAGTCATCCTCACAGAAGGAGGAAGATTTGCAATACTCAACACCAGCTCAAAGTCGAAAATCAGGGCTAGAAATGCCATTGAGCGAAGAAAGTGAGGAAGAAGACAAAACTCCCCTCTCGAAACCGGAAATGTTTCAACTTCTCCTTAAACTTTCCCCACAGCGCAAGAACGGAACAGCTTTCACTACAAAGACTGTAAAATATTTGTCCCATCTGACCGAACCGGAAGTGAGAAAAATGGGAGCAGAACTCTTCCAGTTTAGCGAACAAGTAAACCATCTCTTGTCGGAAAAGTGGTTCGAAATATTGATGAATACGAACGAAGGAGTCGATTTAGGGGACGGGGACAGAAAATCCGGGGTTGAAGTGGACAAATTGTATGGCCAACTTTCTGTCAGAGTTGTAAAGGAGGTCGCTTTAATGCCGGAGTACAAGAGGTTGGGATGGGTGAAAAAGTTCATGGTTGACGGAAGGCCGAAAAATCGGGCGAAAATTACGAGTAACATGTATTAGTTAGAATTTGGCTAAAAACTCGATATCATTAAATACATGCGAACAATCTCACCTACCATTGTTACATAATTTAAAATTTTAAGGCATGTACTCGTTGATGCTCTAAATCTAAATTGATTATCAATTTTCATATTCTAAGATACAAATCTCACTTGCTTTATTGTAAATTCAAATAAATATGATCATGTATTAACATTGGTAAGTGTCCTTATGTCAATAATAATTCTAAAAATAATAAACTTCATCCTACGGATATTTTCCTGGAGGAAGTGTTCCCAAAATCGTCGTTCCCATTGAATTTCAATAAAGAGTCGCTGAAGTAGGAAACTCCAGTAATTGTTTAAAAACTTATTAAGAATTAATTACTGTAAATATGTAGCTATTGCTGTTAAATATTGAGAATTAGTAAATTAGATGGCCGACTTTTCATGCAAACATTAAGGCTTGAATTTCCGTCCCAGTGGGGTCCGTAGTCCATCCCGAGTCTGTGGAATTGCTTGTAGAATTTCTATTGGACAAATGTAGCATATTTTGAATCGTGGAGATTATACTTTCTCCTAGTTCCAAACTGCCATCATTTCCGGTTTCACTTGAGGACATTATGTCATTAGCGTCACTGCTATTGACACTGCCGACACGATTGGTCATCGTTGTCCACATTTCTTTAAAAAATATTATCCAAATGTACTGGTAAAGTTTATCAAGAATCTATGTACATCATTTTTAATTAGCTTCTCTACCATTTGATGGGGTCGACTGTCCAGAATCACTCGAATTGTCGACATCTTCCAAATTTTCCTCCACTACCACGGCAGACAAGTTGCCGTAATGATCCCCCGCCTTGGTGAAAATGAGGGAGGACGACAACAATGAGGTCTCATCCAGAGTAAGAATATTCGCCCCACTTCCCGTTGAATTTGTCATGTTGGAGGAATAATTTCCTGAAAGTAGGTCTGACTCCAGAGATTCTAACGAATCGTTATTCCCCTCAGTTGAGTTAGTGGCGTTGTTGAACTCGGTAAAATTGTTAGCGGAGAAAGTAGTATTTCTCATATTTGTGATGGTGTGATTCGATGTTCCAGGTAAATCGTCCTCATTGGGTAACGATTTTCCCTGATATGTAATATCATACACAATTAATAATTAAGTAGAAATCATAAATTTACTTATCGTCCCTTACCTCAATGCCGGTGATAACCCCACGGGACGAGAACTGTCCCAAGAGTAGACAGAAAACGGAGAAAGTTGCAGGAAAGCTCATTTTTGAGGCAATTTGAGACAATCAGGTAACTTTGAGTGTAAAATGGAATTAGTTAGCACTTTTCCTACACATCGACCGACCCGGCCAGCCAACTATCCGTCCAAATCAGCACTGAACTCGGATGACTTCCTTCCTGTCTCTGGCCAAACGAAGCGAAAGAAGTGTGTCACACTCACTCACCTGCCGGAGAAAGTTGGAGAAAATATGTACGTGCAAATCGTAGGCAGACTGTCGCCCTGCATTCAAACTAATAATCTCAACTCAATCACAATTCCCTTTTATTATTGAGTGTGAGAACAGGATTTGATGGATATGAAGAGATTTATGTGGGACGGTCCGGTTTGGAAATGCCTAGCGTGTCGCGTGAATGATTCAATTGCAGGTAAAATGCTGTACTACTACCAAATAAACCGAATTAACTGGATCAGGGCATGCAAATCTTATTGATCAAACTTTTTCGAGGTTGTTAATAATCTTGGTTTGCTTCTGGCTCTGGTGTCGTGTGTATTGCCAAAATTCAGGCAGCAAAATGAGGGATTGAAGCAAATCAACTTTTATTAGAATTCATAACCATCACCGATCTAATTATAGAGTTGATATTTTATGTTACGTACGTATTCTTTGACTGATTATATATTCAGGCTTTGACTGGTATATGTAGTTAGTTATGACGTTTTTGCATACTAATGAATTTGGCAGATGTTCACACTTTCGTGACTGCATTTCTGAACAATAATTTTGTAATATATACATACATATTTCATAAACTGAGTCAGATTCTAATTATCAATCCGCCTTTAATTATGACGTTAATGTAATATCCGGGTACGGCATTCGGTTGGACCAGTGGAAAGCAAAATTGACAGTTATTTCTCTTTCACCAGTTTGGCATTTTGAAACCTTGAGCTGTCCGTTCCTCTTGCAAATTAATCAAATTTAGTCGAGGAATAGCCACGCGACGAAAATCTATAACAATGCAAGTCTTTCTGCAAAAATGAGGTCGAAGAAATACTGACAAGGTCAATAATAATACATTAATGATGTCGCCCAAGTAATATTGACCCATCTTCACCATCTCCGACAATGTGTTGCGATGAAGCTGCCTGACTCGTATTCGAATTGGACCGTGATGTTTTCAAGTTGAAATGAACGACAGGAATACGCAAATTATTTCTCGAAGAACTTGACATCGATCTAGCAGCGGCTGAGTTAGAGCGATAAACACTGCTCTGACTTTGGTGTGGATTCGTTGCAATTAGCACGTTTGGCGAGGAGATGACAATCCTTCGATCTTTAATTCCCTCGAGTATCGCGTCGCACGGGAGTCTCGGCATTTTTTGTGAAAACCAAGGCAGATTTCTCGTCCTGCGAAAACTTCTGTGGTCATACCTGAAGAAAATGGTGGAATGTGAATATGAGGATGTACTAGTAGATGTTTTTCTTGCATATTTTTATACCACACTTTCCACACGATGAAGAAGATAAGGATCACTTCGGTCGCGATGATGCAGTAAATCCAGATTTGTTGATCGGGGTTTGATTCTTTTGGGATGATGCATACGTCAAAGATTTTGAGATCCTTTAATGGCTGCGATGAGTTTATGATTAAGTAGTTAGTTAAATATTTAAGTTTCAAGTAATCAAATCCATACCAAATATCCAGAAGAAGAGTACATATTTCTACAAAATATTTCTTTCCAGTCCGGATTTCTCATAGAATTCAGCAGACTCTGAACAATTATTTATTCACATTTTTGTGTAACTTATGCAATAATAAGCGCGCATAATCGCAAGCCACCTTTGTCTCTGTCGCTGTAGTGCAGTCACACTGGAGATAATTATACCCCAGGAAGGTGTCCCCTTTATTTTTGTCTTTATTATTCTGAACGTTCCTCACTGCAGTGAGGAACTCGGCAGGAATCTACACCACAAAGCGATACATATGTAAATATATAGATGAAAATTTTAAATATTTATCAAAAAAAATCATTACATGATGAATATGATTGCTCTGCAAACTCAGGGACATGAAATCATTCAAAAACGGTGACCCAATCAGCGACTCGACCCTCACCGAGTTGTTCGTGGCATCCAAATAAATCAAGTACGGTGCTGCTTTAATCGGGCTCAGGTCTTCGATCAAATTGTGACTGATATCCACTTTCCACGTTTGGATGGGCAGCGTAGGAAACTTGGTCAGGCTTCTGTTAGAACAATCGATCGCGAGGGAAATCGCGGTCGAGCCGCGCCGTCCTTTGTGACTGATTGGATAGTGAGCAAACTTGTCCTCCAGGTCCTTCTGGAGGCCGTGTAAAAGGCAGGAGGAACACTTTTTCTTGTCGATTTTGGCGCAGGTGTCCTCCACTTCCTGGGAATAGAGGGTTACAAGATTAGCTAGAATTTCGCTTATATGAGGATATGAACATAAGAGTGAAACTCGGCTTTATGTGTCAACTTTCTCTTAAAAAATTATGTCTATGCAAAATAGGAGTACTCCATTATATCGACGAATAATGGAATAATGGAAGATTCTCCCAGTTTACATCCGAAGTTTAAAATATTTTTTATGATTTTTCTTACCGTTTTCGCCTTGAGACACCCCAGCAAAGAGAAGACCTTATGGGGCAAAGGGAACACGCACAATGCATCGTCTGCATCTTTCAACATGTCGAATCCCAATGGGTTGATCCATTCCCACATCGTTGACCAGACGAAATGACCCTCTAAATGGTTCCCTAAAAGAAATTACGTTTTGATGCAGATTCATAAAGTTTGAGTATTTTCTTTCCTATTAAATTAGTTACCTCCCAAATACAGAGATTTAAGTGACGGCAAACTGAAAATGCTTCTCGGCAGTTCAACCTCAGTGTCAAACCAGTTTTGCGACAAGTCGAGAATTTCCACGTGGCCAAACGCCTCCAAGGAAAACGACTCCTCTAAATATTTCGGGTTGAGAATATTTCTCGAGAAGTTTACGGCCACGACATTTCTGTGAAGTCTGCCCTGCACCAAAGTGAGGCCAGAGTTGACGACGGAAATCGTCTGCAGTGTGGGAAACTGGTAGAACAGGGTGAGATTTAGGGTGGAAATATCGCCATTCACAATTTCCAACGATGTGATGGATTCCGTCTGAAAAAATTTTGCATGGGTTATTTTTGCATGATTTTTTTTTTTGCAAATCAGTCTTTTTCAAATACCATTTGCACCAGGACGAAATCAATATTTTTAATGTTTGAGCAACTCAAACTTCCTCCCGATACGACGAACATGTCACACATTTCAGGCTTGCCTTCCTTCTGCTTAATAAATTTGCTTTTCCTCGACCGATCAAAAATTGTGATGTCGGGTTGGTCGTGAATTTCAACTTCGTAATCGTCCCTCTCATTTGGATTTGTATCGTTGATGGTGTTTGATGAAGAACTGTTTGTTATCTTGTCACAAAGTATGACCCATGTCGACCTTTCCATGGCCATTATGAGAAAACTGACAAGTATGAACTTTATGTTTTGAGCCATTTTACATGAAAAATAAAATTTGGCTAAAATAATAAAAATCTACATGTGTAAGAAACCACTAGGTCGTAGGCAGTATTGATTATTACGAAAATTTGGATCTATTCTCGTACATTTTTAATGACATATTTTTAAAGGAAATACAAAAATAAATTATGCAACGTAGATGATTACACATTTATGCAAGTACGTGTATATATGTAACTCAACCTCATTATTAAGTATGTATTCTCCATATAAAGTAATTTTAAGACACAAGTCGAACTTAAATTAGTATTTAAGTCGAGCAAAACAAAACAAAAATCCCCGATTTAAATGCTATTAATATTCTTCCTCGATTATTTCTTAACCAAAAAAATATACCAATTGCACGTGAAGTAAGAAACCAACTAAAGGTGCGTTTATGCTTCACGCTATCGTCACGATCTCCTCCAAATCCGATTTTTTGATTGGCTGAGCGAAATTATCACTATGACAATTAAAAATTTTAACCAATCAAAAAATCGGATTTGGAGGAGATCGTGACGGTGACGTGAAGCATAAACACCACTTAACACTTAAATATTTGAAAACAGCATGCACCACGTAATGCACTTTGACAAATAAAAAATCCAGTTTTTTTTTCATTCAAGGAATGTGACCACCATGTCGTGCAGGTGTTGTTTCCTGGCTGTGTTGCGTTAAACGCCCATTAAATAGAGTAGCTGGGAGAATATTGTCTCAAGATAAGATAAGGCGAAGAGAACAACACATTTGTCATTGCTGACACTTTCCAGTGCGTTGAGATTTACGTCGAGACAAATTACGTGACAAATGGAAGATGACACATATTAAAGAAAACTAAAACTACTATCCGTAGATATTCTGTACCTAAAAGCGAACAAGAGAAATATCTGATATTCTAACAATACATTTTAGCTAATGAATGGTCATGGTACGCTGTTTCTTATTTTTATCATGAACGGATGCATATTGCGGTTTAATATTTATTGATAAATATGGCTCAACAAAGACCAAACTGACCAAGAATGTTTATCTAGAACGGGACAGGATCAAGGACAATAATATTTGCAATGCTAGAGACCACTTCACATTTCCACAATTTGTCTCACTGCATGCACTCTAATTAAACAAAGCAAACCAATTTTTACGCATGACATAATTATGAATTCAAATGTATGCATGGCTTCCTATCTAGGTTTAACTCGAGTATTGAATATTATGAATTTTAACTACTTCCAATTCTATTTTGTAATTTATTTTAACGCAACACTTCTTACGATAAATTACGAATTTATACATTAGATATTTCTAATGATGAGCAAGCTTTGGTATGGCGACAGGAGTAATGGTTTTGCCCTTGCTGTTGACGACACCTCCCTTCGGATGATCGGTCGTACCTTCTTTATGATGATCTCCATGTCCCTTTCTTCTATTTTCTTCCTTTAGCTTGGCCTGCAATTTTTCCAACTTGGCACGAAGGAGTTCTTCTTCAAGACGACGCCCGTTATCGTCCAAGTCGTCCTCCCCGGCCAGCTCTAATTCTAAGAGGTCAAAGTCTGGGGGCAAGGTCAGGCCGGCCTGCTCATCTGCTTTCAGTCGAGAGTAGAAATACCTGAGAAAAATATGTCAACCGTAAATTTTGATTGTAGATTTTTACTGTAGATTGTGTATAATTGTTTGGTGTGTAATAAGTACCAAAAAATGATTGCTAGGATCAACTGTGTAACGATTACGATGATTGAAATTGTAATATTGGCTCGCATCATGTGTTGCAAAGCTCTTTCGAAAAAGTGCGGATTGGAATTATTCTTCTTCTGGGACGTAGTGTTGACCTCTTTAGCCCACTCCAAGTATTCGTCCAAGTTCTCCAGTGTCGGCGGAGATGCTTGCGTCTTCACCAAATCTTTACATTTCAGCCCGACCCCGATATTTTTTTCGCTTTGCACATTCCTCTCACATCGCTAGGTGGGAAAGTATGCAAATGATTTATATATAAGCTTCAAAAATAAATTATAGACTTGAAATATGTATTTTGAAGTTACGTTTTTCCAAAATATCTTGTCCAATATTATATTTTCTGGGACGCCCCTCGTGATATAGTAGAGATTCAGAGTGTCATTGATCACTGGGGGTTCTATGGTTGATGAAATTGTCGTCTTTCGAGTTTCTATCGTCTCAGAGGGAGTTGTTGGAACGGGTGTCTGTGTTTTGCTGAATGGAGTTGACGACATTAAAGGGACAGTTTTGTCTGAAAAAGTACTCTCTGTTTCCCCTGCAAAAGTCTCAGATTTACTAGAAAAAGTAGTCTCAGTTATCTCTGAAGAAGTCTCCGTTTGGCTTGAAGAAGTAGTCTCAGTTTCGCCTGAAGTAGTCTGAATATTGCTTGAAGATGTAGTCAATATTGAGAGAGACGTAAGAACTTGACGCTTAGGTCGAGACTTTGGCATATTTTTGGCCAACAAATGAGTTCCCTTTGTGGTAGTCGAGGATGTCGAAAAATAGGTTCCGGTGGTGTTAGATGGTGTTGTCGACAAATAGGTTCCGGTGGTGTTAGATGGTGTTGTCGACAAATAGGTTTCGGTGGTGTTAGATGGTGTTGTCGACAAATAGGTTCCGGTGGTGTTAGATGGTGTTGTCGACAAATAGGTTCCGGTGGTGTTAGATGGTGTTGTCGACAAATAGGTTTCGGTGGTGTTAGATGGTGTTGTCGACAAATAGGTTCCGGTGGTGTTAGATGGTGTTGTCGACAAATAGGTTTCGGTGGTGTTAGATGGTGTTGTCGACAAATAGGTTCCGGTGGTGTTAGATGGTGTTGTCGACAAATAGGTTTCGGTGGTGTTAGATGGTATTGTCGACAAATAGGTTCCGGTGGTGTTAGATGGTGTTGTCGACAAATAGGTTTCGGTGGTGTTAGATGGTGTTGTCGACAAATAGGTTTCGGTGGTGTTAGATGGTATTGTCGACAAATAGGTTCCGGTGGTGTTAGATGGTGTGGTGGTAGGCGAAATTGTCGACATATAAGTTCCTGTAGAGGTGGATAGAGTTGCTGAAGCATCAATTCCTGTGGTTTTAGGCCAGGTAGTAGATATGTGAGTCGTAAATGTCTCTGCTGGGGTGGATCCCGTCATGTGAGCTGCTGTTGTAAACAAATTAGCTCCCGTGGTGTGACCTTCCGTTGTCGACATGTGAGCACCCGTAGTTTGAGCTGCTGTTGTCGACATGTGAGCTCCCGTCGTGTGACCTTCCGTTGTCGACATGTGAGCTCCCGTGGTTTGAGCTGCTGTTGTCGACATGTGATCGCCCGTGGTATGACTTTCTGTTGTCGAAAAATGAGCTGCTGTTGTCGACATGTGATCGCCCGTGGTATGACTTTCTGTTGTCGAAAAATGAGCTGCTGTTGTCGACAAGTGAGCGCCCGTAGTGTGACCTTCTGTTGTCGACATGAAAGCTGCCGTACTCGACATGTGAGCGCCCGTGGTGTGAGCTGTTGTAGTCGACGTGTGAGCGCCCGTGGTGGGAGCTGCTGTTGTCGACATGTGAGCGCCTGTGGTGTGACTTTTCGTTGTCGACATGTGAGCGCCTGTGGTGTGACCTGTTGTCGACATGTGAGCGCCTGTGGTGTGACTTTCTGTTGTCGACATGTGAGAGCCTGTGGTGTGACCTTCTGTTGTTGAAATGTGAGCTGCTGTTGTCGACATGTGAGCGCCTGTGGTGTGACTTTCTGTTGTCGACATGTGAGCGCCTGTGGTGTGACCTGTTGTCGACATGTGAGCGCCTGTGGTGTGACTTTCTGTTGTCGACATGTGAGAGCCTGTGGTGTGACCTTCTGTTGTTGAAATGTGAGCTGCTGTTGTCGACATGTGAGCGCCTGTGGTGTGACTTTCTGTTGTCGACATGTGTGCGCCTGTGGTGTTACTTGCTGTTGTCGACATGTGAGCGCCTGTGGTGTGACCTTCTGTTGTCGACATGTGAGCGCCTGTGGTGGGACTTCCTGTTGTCGACATGTGAGAGCCTGTGGTGTGACCTTCTGTTGTTGAAATGTGAGCTGCTGTTGTCGACATGTGAGCGCCTGTGGTGTGACCTTCTGTTGTTGAAATGTGAGCTGCTGTTGTCGACATGTGAGCGCCTGTGGTGTGACTTTCTGTTGTCGACATGTGAGCGCCTGTGGTGTGACCTTCTGTTGTTGAAATGTGAGCTGCTGTTGTCGACATGTGAGCGCCTGTGGTGTGACCTTCTGTTGTTGAAATGTGAGCTGCTGTTGTCGACATGTGAGCGCCTGTGGTGTGACTTTCTGTTGTCGACATGTGAGCGCCTGTGGTGTGACTTTCTGTTGTCGACATGTGAGCGCCTGTGGTGTGACCTTCTGTTGTTGAAATGTGAGCTGCTGTTGTCGATATGTGAGCGCCTGTGGTGTGACTTTCTGTTGTCGACATGAAAATTGCAGTCGTGTTGGGCGAGGTTGTCGTCATGAAAGTTGCTGTGGTGTTGGAAGGAGTTGTCGACATGAAAGTCGCGGTCGTGTTGGAAGGAGTTGGAGTTGTCGACATGAAAGTCGCGGTCGTGTTCGAAGGAGTTGGAGTTGTCGACATGAAAGTCGCGGTCGTGTTGGACGGAGTTGTCGACATGAAAGTAGCGGTCGTGTTGGGCGAGGTTGTCGACATGAAAGTTGCTGTCGTGTTGGACGGAGTTGTCGACATGAAAGTAGCGGTCGTGTTGGACGGAGTTGTCGACATGAAAGTAGCGGTCGTGTTGGATGGAGTTGTAGACATGAAAGTTGCTGTGGTGTTAGACGGAGTTGTCGACATGAAAGTTGCTGCGGTGTTGGACGGAGTTGTCGACATGAAAGTAGCGGTCGTGTTGGATGGAGTTGTCGACATGAAAGTTGCTGTGGTGTTGGACGGAGTTGTCGACATGAAAGTAGCGGTCGTGTTGGACGGAGTTGTCGACATGAAAGTTGCTGTGGTGTTGGACGGAGTTGTCGACATGAAAGTAGCGGTCGTGTTGGACGGAGTTGTCGACATGAAAGTAGCGGTCGTGTTGGATGGAGTTGTCGACATGAAAGTTGCTGTGGTGTTGGACGGAGTTGTCGACATGAAAGTTGCTGTGGTGTTGGACGGAGTTGTCGACATGAAAGTAGCGGTCGTGTTGGATGGAGTTGTCGACATGAAAGTTGCTGTGGTGTTGGAAGGAGTTGTCGACATGAAAGTAGCGGTCGTGTTGGGCGAGGTTGTCGACATGAAAGTTGCTGTCGTGTTGGACGGAGTTGTCGACATGAAAGTCGCGGTCGTGTTGGAAGGAGTTGTCGACATGAAAGTAGCGGTCGTGTTGGGCGAGGTTGTCGACATGAAAGTTGCTGTGGTGTTGGAAGGAGTTGTCGACATGAAAGTCGCGGTCGTGTTGGAAGGAGTTGTCGACATGAAAGTAGCGGTCGTGTTGGGCGAGGTTGTCGACATGAAAGTTGCTGTGGTGTTGGAAGGAGTTGTCGACATGAAAGTAGCGGTCGTGTTGGGCGAGGTTGTCGACATGAAAGTTGCGGTCGTGTTGGAAGGAGTTGTCGACATGAAAGTAGCGGTCGTGTTGGGCGAGGTTGTCGACATGAAAGTTGCTGTCGTGTTGGACGGAGTTGTCGACATGAAAGTAGCGGTCGTGTTGGGCGAGGTTGTCGACATGAAAGTTGCTGTGGTGTTGGAAGGAGTTGTCGACATGAAAGTAGCGGTCGTGTTGGACGGAGTTGTCGACATGAAAGTAGCGGTCGTGTTGGATGGAGTTGTAGACATGAAAGTTGCTGTGGTGTTAGACGGAGTTGTCGACATGAAAGTTGCTGTGGTGTTGGACGGAGTTGTCGACATGAAAGTAGCGGTCGTGTTGGATGGAGTTGTCGACATGAAAGTTGCTGTGGTGTTGGAAGGAGTTGTCGACATGAAAGTAGCGGTCGTGTTGGGCGAGGTTGTCGACATGAAAGTTGCTGTCGTGTTGGACGGAGTTGTCGACATGAAAGTCGCGGTCGTGTTGGAAGGAGTTGTCGACATGAAAGTAGCGGTCGTGTTGGGCGAGGTTGTCGACATGAAAGTCGCGGTCGTGTTGGAAGGAGTTGTCGACATGAAAGTCGCGGTCGTGTTGGACGGAGTTGTCGACATGAAAGTCGCGGTCGTGTTGGAAGGAGTTGCCGACATGAAAGTCGCGGTCGTGTTCGAAGGAGTTGGAGTTGTCGACATGAAAGTCGCGGTCGTGTTGGACGGAGTTGTCGACATGAAAGTAGCGGTCGTGTTGGGCGAGGTTGTCGACATGAAAGTTGCTGTGGTGTTGGAAGGAGTTGTCGACATGAAAGTCGCGGTCGTGTTGGAAGGAGTTGTCGACATGAAAGTCGCGGTCGTGTTGGAAGGAGTTGCCGACATGAAAGTCGCGGTCGTGTTCGAAGGAGTTGTCGACATGAAAGTCGCGGTCGTGTTGGACGGAGTTGTCGACATGAAAGTCGCGGTCGTGTTGGGTGAGGTTGTCGACATGAAAGTTGCTGTGGTGTTGGAAGGAGTTGTCGACATGAAAGTAGCGGTCGTGTTGGACGGAGTTGTCGACATGAAAGTAGCGGTCGTGTTGGGCGAGGTTGTCGACATGAAAGTTGCTGTCGTGTTGGACGGAGTTGTCGACATGAAAGTTGCTGTGGTGTTAGACGGAGTTGTCGACATGAAAGTTGCTGTGGTGTTAGACGGAGTTGGCGACATGAAAGTTGCTGTGGTGTTAGACGGAGTTGTCGACATGAAAGTTGCTGTGGTGTTAGACGGAGTTGTCGACATGAAAGTTGCTGTGGTGTTAGACGGAGTTGTCGACATGAAAGTTGCCGTAGTGTTGGAAGGAGTTGTCGACATGGAAGTAGCGGTCGTGTTGGAAGGAGTTGTCGACATGAAAGTCGCGGTAGTGTTGGAAGGAGTTGTCGACATGGAAGTAGCGGTCGTGTTGGAAGGAGTTGTCGACATGAAAGTCGCGGTAGTGTTGGAAGGAGTTGTCGACATGGAAGTAGCGGTCGTGTTGGAAGGAGTTGTCGACATGAAAGTCGCGGTCGTGTTGGGTGAGGTTGTCGACATGAAAGTTGCTGTCGTGTTGGACGGAGTTGTCGACATGAAAGTTGCTGTGGTGTTAGACGGAGTTGTCGACATGAAAGTTGCGGTCGTGTTGGAAGGAGTTGTCGACATGAAAGTCGCGGTCGTGTTGGACGGAGTTGTCGACATGAAAGTAGCGGTCGTGTTGGACGGAGTTGTCGACATGAAAGTAGCGGTCGTGTTGGGCGAGGTTGTCGACATGAAAGTTGCTGTGGTGTTGGAAGGAGTTGTCGACATGAAAGTCGCGGTCGTGTTGGAAGGAGTTGTCGACATGAAAGTCGCGGTCGTGTTGGAAGGAGTTGCCGACATGAAAGTCGCGGTCGTGTTCGAAGGAGTTGGAGTTGTCGACATGAAAGTCGCGGTCGTGTTGGACGGAGTTGTCGACATGAAAGTAGCGGTCGTGTTGGACGGAGTTGTCGACATGAAAGTAGCGGTCGTGTTGGGCGAGGTTGTCGACATGAAAGTTGCTGTGGTGTTGGAAGGAGTTGTCGACATGAAAGTCGCGGTAGTGTTGGAAGGAGTTGTCGACATGGAAGTAGCGGTCGTGTTGGAAGGAGTTGTCGACATGAAAGTCGCGGTAGTGTTGGAAGGAGTTGTCGACATGGAAGTCGCGGTCGTGTTGGAAGGAGTTGTCGACATGAAAGTCGCGGTCGTGTTGGAAGGAGTTGCCGACATGAAAGTCGCGGTCGTGTTCGAAGGAGTTGGAGTTGTCGACATGAAAGTCGCGGTCGTGTTGGGTGAGGTTGTCGACATGAAAGTTGCTGTCGTGTTGGACGGAGTTGTCGACATGAAAGTTGCTGTGGTGTTAGACGGAGTTGTCGACATGAAAGTTGCGGTCGTGTTGGAAGGAGTTGTCGACATGAAAGTCGCGGTCGTGTTGGACGGAGTTGTCGACATGAAAGTAGCGGTCGTGTTGGACGGAGTTGTCGACATGAAAGTAGCGGTCGTGTTGGGCGAGGTTGTCGACATGAAAGTTGCTGTGGTGTTGGAAGGAGTTGTCGACATGAAAGTCGCGGTCGTGTTGGAAGGAGTTGTCGACATGAAAGTCGCGGTCGTGTTGGAAGGAGTTGCCGACATGAAAGTCGCGGTCGTGTTCGAAGGAGTTGGAGTTGTCGACATGAAAGTCGCGGTCGTGTTGGGTGAGGTTGTCGACATGAAAGTTGCTGTCGTGTTGGACGGAGTTGTCGACATGAAAGTTGCTGTGGTGTTAGACGGAGTTGTCGACATGAAAGTTGCTGTGGTGTTAGACGGAGTTGTCGACATGAAAGTTGCTGTGGTGTTAGACGGAGTTGTCGACATGAAAGTTGCCGTAGTGTTGGAAGGAGTTGTCGACATGAAAGTTGCTGTGGTGTTGGAAGGAGTTGTCGACATGAAAGTAGCGGTCGTGTTGGACGGAGTTGTCGACATGAAAGTAGCGGTCGTGTTGGGCGAGGTTGTCGACATGAAAGTTGCTGTCGTGTTGGACGGAGTTGTCGACATGAAAGTTGCTGTGGTGTTAGACGGAGTTGTCGACATGAAAGTTGCTGTGGTGTTAGACGGAGTTGTCGACATGAAAGTTGCTGTGGTGTTAGACGGAGTTGTCGACATGAAAGTTGCTGTGGTGTTAGACGGAGTTGTCGACATGAAAGTTGCTGTGGTGTTAGACGGAGTTGTCGACATGAAAGTTGCCGTAGTGTTGGAAGGAGTTGTCGACATGGAAGTAGCGGTCGTGTTGGAAGGAGTTGTCGACATGAAAGTCGCGGTAGTGTTGGAAGGAGTTGTCGACATGGAAGTAGCGGTCGTGTTGGAAGGAGTTGTCGACATGAAAGTCGCGGTAGTGTTGGAAGGAGTTGTCGACATGGAAGTAGCGGTCGTGTTGGAAGGAGTTGTCGACATGAAAGTCGCGGTAGTGTTGGAAGGAGTTGTCGACATGGAAGTAGCGGTCGTGTTGGAAGGAGTTGTCGACATGAAAGTCGCGGTAGTGTTGGAAGGAGTTGTCGACATGAAAGTTGCCGTAGTGTTGGAAGGAGTTGTCGACATGAAGGTCGCGGTCGTGTTGGTTAAAATGGTTGACAAATCAGATGTTTGAGCGGAAATCGTCGATACTGGGATGGCTGTTGTATTTGGAAAGGGCGTTGTCGATAGTTGTGTCGTTGAGGGGGCTGGAGTTGTTGGAGCATCTGTGCAAAATTAATTTCATGAAGTTCATATTAAAGTGAAAAAACATTTTATCGGCACAAGAATGCAAGCTTACAAGTTGCTGAACATGGTCCTCCAAGCGTGGGGACGCAGTTCTGTAAACAAAATATAAAAAGTTAAATTGAATATTTAATAGATTTGATTACCGTGGGACTCATGAAAATATGTGGTAGGCACAAAATTCCATAACTGCTCCTACGACATTTTATGTGCACATCAAATTCAAACATTCAAATGTATCCAGATGTGCTTATTAGCAGTATAGCCCATAATGTGTTTTAAAGTTGTTTTAAAAATTTTACATACGAAATATAGAAGTATCGGTGCACAATAAGGTTGCCACTAAAAAACTAAAAACATTGATCAGAGGTTAAGCTAGAGTTTCTAGTAACAAATACAAAAGAAAAATGACTAGAAATATTTCGGGGTAAATCAGGCTTGCATCTTAAATAATACCTCTTTCTCTTTATCGAAATGATGTCCCACGGGACAAAACATGTGCGTTATTCTCCCATCCACGCAAGCAAAATATCCTTCGCAGTCATTTGGATCTGGAGCTACATTCCAGGAATCATTACATGGTTTCCCCGGAGGAGTCGTTGTCAGCAAAATTTGAGTCGTCGTCGGTTCCGCAGTGACCGTAGTCGGTTCTGTAATAGCCGATGACGTCGTCTGATCAGTGGGGGGCGCAGTTGTCTCGTAGGTCGTGAGCACGGTCGGGAATGTGATGGGAGCCATAGGAGTTGAAGGTTTACCGATAATTGGTACTCGTTTCGGAGGCCTCGCGTTTATAAAGATGGCTGGAAAATTGGGGAATGAACAGTTAATTTTGCATAATCTTGCATAATTTTCATGACTCATTGTAATTTATTTCTTACAGTTATTTCTGTCGACGGGTATTTTGAAGTAGAACCACTCGTCCCTCTTCAGAACGGGAGGTTCTCCATCCTTATTCTCCAAATAGAGAAGTTGCTCCACAAAGAGGTCAAACTTAATCTGGAGCTCGGTAAAGACTTGCGGGGTTTTCAGCTCCTGGGTCGCATTGTTGTAAAATCCGTTGGAATTGAGAGTTGCATTATATTCGACTCGAAACTCGTCAATTATCGTCTCAATTAAACGTTGCATCAAATTCTTTGTAAAAGTGTCGTTAAATTTGGAACTGAATTCATTTAATCTGTAATCCTTCCGGGTCTCCCATTCCTTGTAGTCGTCTCTCTTCTTGCTTTTCCAGAAATTCATTTGACTCTCCCATTGGAGCAGTTGGAATCCACCCGTAGTCCTGAAAATTTTTGACAAAATTTCACCTTGAGTTGAGTTAATTTGCATAATTGATTATTTAATCAACCTAGTCTTGTTTTTGTACGTCCATCCCACACCGCGCCCACAGGTTTTTGAGGAGTTGAGAACATTGAACTTTTTATGACGGATGCAACACCCGCTTGGAAAATCTGGACTTTGTGTTATCACTGGCCAACCCTTGACACGATCGATCTCGGTGAACCCGCAGCATTCCTACGATGCAAACAAATGTATAAACAAACCTTTCCGAATTTTTTTCGGCTTTAAAGAAACCGTACACAAGTTGTTTGGAGGAGATTGTAAAAGTGCTGGGTGCGATTCGTCTTGTTGAGATGTTGCTTTATTTCGTCCTGCATGTTCCCAAAGAGGCTGTCATTTTTATTGCTGCCGATCGAACTAGTGATCCCCTTAAGGTACCACAAGAGGTTGAATATTTCAATTTTTTCTGGACTTAGCAACATGATTTTTTAGAGAAAATGAGTCAAGACATGAAGTACGGCTCCGCATAACAACAAGGGCATTGGGGCATTTTTAAGAGCTCCCCGAGATGGAGGGGATGGACTTTAAGGTCATAATGGTTGTTATTTGGAATCATTATATATTTCTGCAGGGTGTATAATCGGTTTGTGGGCTCATTTGTGTCTGGTGAAGAGATGTGAACCATTTTTGTCCTCAGAAACATAAAATAATATGGAGGGGCAAGTATAGAAATGCTATTTCGAAAAGTATGGAAGACAATATGGAAATGAGACCCATTATGCTCCCCAAGTAAAACTATTTCGCACGATGTGGGAGTCGTCCCACGTTTGTGCTCCGTATGGTTTTGACGCTAGGACGTTTTAAAAAAATTCATCATGGTCGACTATTTTGGATATAAATACGTAAGTATAAGTAACAGCAGAAGGGGACATTTACCAAAATTTAGAGTAGTA